ATCCTGCCGCTCATCCTTTCCATGATTCTTTTTCCGCATTAGATGCATTTCTACCAGTAAATTTCACACACAACACACTCCATTGTAATGAAGACCTCTCCAAAAACAAATACATTTGCCATTCTTCTTCTTCGTTCTTTTCTTTCTTGCTTTGTTCTGTGCTTTTGTCACTGTCCATCAATCGATCAGTCACTTTTGTTTTGTTCTTCCTTGGTTCACTTTGAGCAACAGCGCAAACAATGATTGATCTCGGGACGGTGATGGCCGTGCTCGCTGTCCTTGCGCTCGTCGCGCTGATCGTTGTAAGGCCCGCTCGAGTTTCCATCGTCTTCAGATTTCCCCGCTCCACCACGCACCAGCCACCCGAGTTGAAGCGTTCAAGTTCTTGATCCAACATTCCAGCTCTCCTGCTAGGAGCAACAACGGTCATAGGACTCGTGGGAGAGAGAGAGAAAGAGGGAAGCGAGGCGTAGTCGTTGTTGTCGTTGTTGCCATCGGGGTCGGGTCGCCTGCCATTCACTCCCTCCACCTTCGCCCTCCCTCTGCGCTCCTCGACTTCCTCAAGTCGATTCATCATTGCGTTATTGTGCAAGTTGACGGGGGTTGCGGGTTGAGCAAATCTCGCTCGCAACAACCTCGTCCTATGTAATTCTGCCACGTCTTGCTCCCCTCCTCCTCGCTGTCAGTCTCACTCACTCATCCACTCACTCGTACACTCTCATACACTCTCATACACTCTCATACACTCTCACTCTCACTCTTCTGATGTCAAAGCCTGAACTCACAACGCTCCCGAGGTCTTGTCCCTTGTGCAACCACTCACTGCCGCTTGTTGCTCTCGTCTGACATTGCGACCTCGTCCTGCAGCTCATCGCCGCACTCTGGTACACATCGCCAGTGCTCCATCCTCGATCTGGCACCGAGCTGTCGTTTGTCAACCCGGCGTCGGGCGGCAGGCAAGACTTCCCCTCGCTGCTGCGCGATCCCGCCACTGTGGACTTGTCCCTGATCGTCCCTGCGTACAACGAGGAGAAGCGCATCGATCTCATGCTCGAAGACGCGCTCGGCGTGCTCGAGAAGCGACCGGCCCCGTTCAAGTACGAAGTCATCCTCGTCGACGACGGCAGCAAGGACGGCACCACTGCCAAGGGACTCGACTATGTCCGCAAGTACGGCTCTGACAAGATCCGAGTCCTCACGTTTACTCGCAACCGCGGCAAAGGAGGCGCAATTCGAATGGTAAGGGGTTCTTAGTTTTTCTCGCTTGTTTTCAGTGAAACGCATCATACTGAAGGAGCGCACTTCCATGTTAACAGGGCATGCTGAGCGCTCGGGGCAAGTACTTGCTCTTCGCCGACGCCGACGGAGCAACTTCGTTCAAGGACGTCGTTCGGCTCGAAGACGCGCTCAAGCAGCACGAGGCCAAGAACGAGCACGCTATGGCCATCGGATCGCGCGCTCACATGCAAGACGATGCTGTTGCAAACGTAAGACGAGCTCGCTTGAAACACTTGCCTTTTTGTTTGTTTGTTTGTTTGTTTGTTTGTTTTCAACACAATCATCTCACACCATGATGCAACATGACAACTCTTAGCGCACCCTTCTCCGCAACATTTTGATGTACGGCTTCCACATTCTGGTGTTCTTGGTGGGCATTCGAGGCATTCGCGACACACAATGCGGTTTCAAAATGTTCACCCGCCCTGCCGCCCGAGTTCTCTTTCCAGCAATGCACGTCGAGAGATGGTGCTTTGACATTGAGCTGCTCTTCCTTGCATTGCGCCTCGGATACCCGGTGGCCGAAACTGCCGTCAACTGGCAAGAGATTGACGGCTCCAAGCTCGACCCCATTTGGAGCTCGGTGCAGATGTTCAAGGACATTCTGTTGATCCGCCTCTACTATCTTTTTGGCATCTGGCAGCTGCCACGGTCCATGGACGCCAAGAAGGTCAAGTAAGAGGATTTTGCTCAAGCTTTTTTTTATTAATTTCTCATGTGTTGTGCGTACGCGGGTCTGTGTCTCTGTGTCTGTGTTTTTTTTCTTGAAATTACAGCCGTGCCTGATACAATCACTTAACAGCATTTGCAGCCCCATTTATATGTAGTTGCAAAGCAGTCACTTGTTGTTGTGGTTGGAACGCAATCTCGTCGCTCTGTCTGTAATGTGGCGTTGCATACGCTCGTGCTCGACGCTGCTTCACGCTGCTCTTGAGCGACCGCAGTCTGCCCTTGCGCTCCATTCCACTTGTGGAGCTGTCTGTCGCACCAGCAGCCCAACAGCAACAAGAAGAGCAACAGTCGCAGCCACGCGATCGCTCAGCGTATCTGCACTGGCCTCCTCTGCTGCTGCTCCAACTCCAGCTCCTGCCACCCCGCCACGAGCCATGCACCCGTCGTTCGCAACCATCCCGGGCATTCCCTCGACGCTCCTGCACCACTTGACTTTGATCGCGCCTGGGACTCTGACCAGCACTGACGAGAGCAGCAAGCCCGTCATCGTCCCTCTCTCACACACGTCCGCTGCCGCTGCCGGTCGTCGCCGGATTCTGCGCATCTCGGGCCCAGAGGCTGCCGATGTGGTGCAGAATCTCACCGCGAATGACATAACAATCACACCGCATCCAGTCGTGTTCACGGCCATGCTGAATCACCTCGGACGCGTTCTGGCAGACGCATTCGTGTTTACGTTTCCGCCAGCAACCAAGGCAAATTCAATCACGAGCGAGACAGAATTCCTGCTGGACGTCGATCAGGAAACGTCTGTGCAGCTCATTGAAGCCCTGCAGCCTTTCGTCCGGTTGGCAGATGTGGATCTCGACACCAATGTTGCCGAGTGGCAGCTCGTGCAAGTCTTTACGCCTCCAGCATGGAGTGCCTCGCAGACGATCGATTGGCTGCACCAAGTGCAAAACACTACTAGTTCTGATGCCAGTGCCAAGGCTCGTGCGCACGTGCTCGGCGGCTGGGATCCTCGTCTCGTTCGCCCGCAAAATTACCTCGACACCCAGATCGATCAGGTGGGCAGCAGTATGGGCCTGCGGCTGCTGCTCAGCGCGTCGCATCCTCTCGTTGCGGATTCGGCTCGCTGGGCAACGCTTGGACGGCTGGGATCTCTCGGCGAGTACGACGATCGTCGCTATGCTCTGGGTCTGGCCGAGGGCGTGTCCGGCTTTCGATTTGCCACCAGCTTCCCGCTCGAATCTAATTTTGAGCGACTGAACGGAGGTGGGTCGTTCGTATTGCTGTAGCTGTTGACAAAAACAGTGCTGGATCGCGAAGGGGAAAAAAGGAGAGAGATTTTGATTGTTTCGTTTCCTCGACTCCAAATGTAAACTCGTGCTCCTCGTCACTGACTCTGTTCCCATCAGTGCATTTCAACAAGGGCTGCTACCTTGGACAGGAACTCACCCATCGCTCGCATTCTCGAGGAGTTACGCGAAAGCGGATTCTGCCGTTTGTCACCTCAACGTAAAGTGTTTGTGCAGTATTTCCCCGCCCCCCTTCGATCATTGTTTCTTGATTGTTGTGGTGTCTATTCTTTTGTGTATCCAAGCTGCTGCTGTGCTTTGTCGACTCATCGACGTTTTCCCTTTCGTTGCGTGCAAACAACAGCGGTGCTCCACTCCCTAGCGATGTGGTTGGAGCTGATCTGCTTGGTCCAGATTCGAGCAAAAGCATTGGCGTCGTCAGATCAATACATCATGGCAAGGGGCTCGCCTTGCTGCGCCTCGATTCGGTCATTCCAAGCAACGTGGATGAAGTTTGCGGCACAGTGTTGCCCTCCCTTCGCATTGCGTCGCATCCCGATATTTCCGTCCAACCGTTTCTTCCTGCCTGGTGGCCGTGGCGTGCAGCGCGAGGAGGAGATGGAAGCGTTGATTCATCGTGAGCTCTGATGTTCATAAAAACAAATGTATAATTCAAACAAGAAAAACCACACTGTCTGCATGGGGTTGGCCGGGCTACTCTTCAAATTCAAAAGAAGCAACGACCGGTTTGTGATCAGAAACGGTGAGATCGAGCACCTGTGATCAAACGTTGCAAAGGCGACAGCAAAAGTGAGCACATCCACAAACAAGGTGTCGATGGTTTTGTTGTTGTTTTTGTTGTCGGTCCGCCGTCATGCGTACCGAAATAGACTTGCAAGTCACGTCGCGCGAATGCAGTAGCCAGTCAAACCGTTGGGTCGGGTTGCGCGAGTGAAAAGTGTAGCCCTGAGCCTGCTCGAGTTCCGGCCAGCTGTCCACGAGCCCTCGGCTCTGCGCCAACTCCGCCTCTGGCCCTCCTGGCACGCTATTCAAGTCGCCAAACACCACTACACGTCGAATTTCAGGAGGCTGGGCAGAATCGGGGAGGGGAATGCTGGACACTGCCGAAATGATGGCATCGAGCTGAGCAATGCGAGTTTCATGGTCTCGCTCAGCGTGATGCAAGTGCGTCGTGACGAGTGTCACGGGTTTGGTGGTGCCCGGTATTGAGAGGGCGGCCCAGATCATGCCACGCCTTGACTGCTGCGAGACGCCACTGGGTAAGGCGACACGACCGCTGGCGATGAACGGGAACTTGCTCAGCAAGATATCGCCACCAGAGGTGTCATAGGTGGGGTTGTAGGTCACGTACGGCATATCCAAGCGCGCGGATAGCCAGGCCAACATGTCAATGCCTCCAGCCATCAGCAAACCGCGCGAAAACTCTTGGCACCCCAGAACGTCGACATCTTCGGCCAGCAGTGCAGTGACTATGCCGTCCAGCTGCACCTGGTAGTTGGCGGAAATACCCATATGTGTGTTGAGCGAGGCCACTCGAAGGATTCGGGACTGGAGCAGCGAGGCAGACGGGCGCGCAAATTGCTCGTCGTTGTGGTTGTGCACCGTGTTGCCGTGCTGATCAAGATGTTGTTGGAGGCCAAAGGATTGCGTGCCCGCCTGCGTTTGCAACAGGAAGAGCATCAGTGTGGTGAGCGTGACCAAGCTGATGAAATGCAGCGGCAGTCGTTGCACGCCAGACAAGGCCGACGGCGTGAGGAGCGATCCAGAGGTTTGCACGCGCTTGCACGCGTAAAAGGCACACACAATGATCGCTACTGCCGCGAGACGGACATGGACTTCCGTGAAGACCGAGTTGATGCTGCTCGTCATATGCGCGACACACGTCAGGATTGTCAAAGTCAGGACGGCCATAGCCATGCATGAAGCTGCCCGCAATGACGCAACCATCGGCTGGGAGGACGATCCAACGTTGCAGCACAGGAAGGAGATACCAGACGTCAAACGACCAAGCCATGACTGGGTTGAATTCAGGCTGGCCGTCAACGACTCGCCGATGGTGATTGAAAGGACCCCGTGCGACAAGGACGCCTGTCGGCCTCCATACATGGACGTGGCCATGGGCTGTGAGGCGCGCGACATTGAGTTGGCTTGGAAGGGCGAGTTGGAGGACATGAACGGAGAGTTTGAGAACAACGGCGACGGCGATGGCGTGGACGACGCAGACGATGCCAGGCTTGGCGACATGTACTGCCTACCACCGCGCTGCGACGGTTGTCGGACTGTTGGCGTGGCCGAGGTGAGCGACACATCGCCCGTTGCCAAATGGAGAGGGATCTTCACCGACGGCACGAAAAAGTTCTTGCCAAACGCGAACGGCATCAAGAACAGGCAAGAGATGGCGGCTTGTGCAGCCAATAGAAGCAAAATCACGGCAGCGGACGACGAGCCGGTGGTGGGAGCTTCCGAAAGCAACGGAACGGAAGAAGACGAGCCCGTGGTTGCAAGCTCTTCCCCGCCTGGTATCTGTCTGAGAACCAGCCGTTCCAGGACTGGTGCGTACAACAGCACTTCTGGGGTGAGTTCGTCAAGGGTCCCTTCGAAAAAGCTGACCGTTCGGGGCAAGGCCTCGAACGCCATAAGCGACAGCAGCCAGGTGAAAACGGCAGCCGCAAGTGGTACCAATACAGACGCGCGCGCCCATGCCACGCTCTCGACGCGTCGAAACGACATGCGTCGCAGGAAGGTGATCGAGAGCGCAAGACCGGCCGCCGCTTGCAGCACCAGAATGGACATTGTAGCGCGGTTGCCCAGTCCGGTAGTGGTCGCAATCCATCCTTGCGACATGGTGCAAGAACTGGAAATGAACAAGAACGAGCCAAGCGCAGCGCCAATCCATGGTGCGCCGGAGCTGGTGACACCAGTCGAGTTTGCGGCAATAGCGGAGGCTATCGCGTTGCCTGCTGCACCGTTGTCGTCATTGGCTGCATCCCCACTTGCCAGTAATCGAGCACTCGTGGCTGCAGTTATTGTAGACCCAGCCATCGGCAGGCTGCTAGAGCTGGAGTCTGTCCCGCTCGAAGGTGAGGAATCATCGGTTCTGCCAACATGCTCCCCGCTTGGAAATCCGACGGCTGACGACCGCCCAGACGCACTGCCAACCGGATCATACATGGCTGCATTGTAAGTCTGAGGGGTGGGCATGATGGCTATCGCGCCTGGTCGAACAGGCAAGCCATGCGATACGACGGGCGCATAGTGTAATCGCGAGTGTTGGTGTGGTTGTTGTTGCTGGTGTTCTTGTTGTTGTTGTTGTTGTTGTTGTAGTTGCTGCTGCTGCTGCTGCTGCTGCTGTTGATGTGCCCGCGAACTTGCATCGCCTGACTGGTGGTAGGGATGCTGCTGTTGGTGGGGATGGAGTAATGGTTGCTGAATGTGTGATGACGGATGGCGCTGATGGGGCGTTGCCAGCGCTGTGGGCACGACCACACGACGCTCGGTCAATCGCATTACGCGATACTCGTCCACCGATTTGCACACATAAAAGTACACTGCACACAGCACGACCACCATTGCAGTCCCGAGAAATCGAGAGACGTGTGACAAATCGAGCGAGTAGAAGGCGCTCCGAATCCAAACGTCTGCAATAATGCCAATGAATATGCCAATGCCATGGTGTAGCACGTGCGATGGACCTTCGTTCGCGGCCAGAGAGAGGGCGACCGCCAAAATGGCAAAGGCCAGCACAGAGCCGGCGAGAGCGACATGCAAATCCGTCATGGCGTTCGTCGATGTCTGCTCAACCAGCTTGAGAACGATTAGCACATTGCCTGCGTTCTTGAGCAGGGCACCTCCACCGACAGCGTCCTTGTAAAAGCGTCGAATGAGCGTTGCAGGCAGCCAGTACGTCAGCACCGCTGGCAACAGCATGTACAGGATGACGGCCACTCCGGCCACAGTCGACGACATGCCCGACGCGCTGGCAGCTTCGTGCGTATCATTTGCGTGTATAGGTGGCTCGGGAATGCTTCCTGGGGCGGGAGGACTTCGATCGGACAGCAGCGACTCGCGCAAGCACCACCATACCTGCCCCCCCCCAACGATGGGTTGTGGTTCAACGTACCATGCAAAGACAAAAATGTCAGCAAGCAACATTTCAAACACATAGATCGGTTTCCGCTTGTGAACGAGCATGCCGAGCATGATGGGGGCAAGAAACAAGCAGCACGGGAGGAGGAATACGCACCATCGGGATGTAGACGCCTCGGAACAGCTGACATGCAAACAGTGTCGTGAACGCAGCAAAGATGCCCAGCACGTGCGGCGGAGTGGAGGACGAGGACGAGGACGTGGCCGAAGGGGATCCTCGCCCTGGTAAAGGCGACGGGGCCCATGCGGAGGCGGCGCTCGACTGAGACTGCGCCATTTTGGAAGTGCTCGCGTATCGGGCAGGGCGAGCAGCAGCCGGGGCGGGGCGGCCGGGAGGCGGGGGGGGGGGGTTACGACGGAGACCGAGAGGCTGCGATGCGGGAGGTCGCTGCTGCTACTCCGATGGTGCTCTGCCGGCAAGCAAGACAGGAAGGCCCCCGCAAAGGTCTCAACCAAAAACACAAAAATGGACGAATGAAGAAAAAGCTCGGTCAAAACAGGGACAGCGGGCGTGTCTGTGGTGAGAACGGCAACCAACTGGACCAGGGGAGCAACGTGACCTCGACTGCAGAGCAAGACTGGGCTTGTAAAAATGCTCGGATTTTTGGTGATGAATGATGGTGAGTGCACCGTGTACAGAGCCAAGAGCCTGGTTGAACAGAAGGCTTGAGATGCTGATGCTTTGCTCGTCTGCTCAGAAAATTCATGCTTCAGTCGTCATTTTCCGTCCCTGTTCTTTGGTTCATTGAGTGGATCCTTTGTCTTTTGTCTTCTTCTTTTTTTTTTCCAAGTCGGTAGTTTGTTGTCTTGCTGTCTGTCCTGCTGTTCTGTGAGGTGGGAGTTTCCGTGCTATAAAAGCCGAGGCAAGCGCGAAATGAAGGTCAATCCCAGGTAAAGCGAGATGGAAACGAAGAGCTGCTTTCCGATGCTGGGGCAGCTTTGTGGGGTTTTTCCGGTTGTGATCGCTCTCTGGTCGCTGGTCTCAGGATGTCTGGATGTCTGGATGTCTGGATGTATGGATGCATGTCAGTGAGTGGTGTGATGTGAAATGTGAAACACTGACACGCACGAGTTGTTTCCTTTGGTTTTTTTTTTTTTTTTTTTGTTTCTTTGGTGGCAGTCGCCTCGTTGTGCATGGCGCGCTGACGATTGTCTCGGTGGTGATGCCGATGCGCATCGAGGGCTTGCTCAAGTGCGACTGGTGGTACATCTTCATGCCGCTGCTGCTGTGGAAGGCCATTGCGTTCGTCGGCGCGGCGGTCGGGGCGCACGCGTGGCTGAGCGATGTTCGGCTGCGCAAGACGGTCGAACTCCTCCGCGCTCGGCAACAGCAGCAGCAGGGCTACCAGCCTCCACCAGTGTTGCTGGACAGCCAACACCATCACACAGGAGGGCTGCTCCCTTCAACACCAGCAGCAGCAGCAGCAGCAGCAGCACAACCACCGCAGCCAGGCGCGTCATCACAAGCTGCCGCAATCCTGACGAGTAGACATGTACCATTGCCTCACCGCGCGACGACGCAACTCCGCGAAATGCCGCCGAGCGAAGCGTACACGACAGACCGCGAGCAGCTCGCGCGGAACTGGCGCGGCTCGGGCGACCAGGAGGAGCAAGTGCTGCCCGCGGTTAGCAGCGCCGATTGGTCTCGTGCTGAGGCCCTACTCCGGCTCACAGACAGGCAATACCAGTAAGGCTGCTCCACAAAAACGTTGGCATGGCTTTGTTTTGAGTAGCTTGAAGCTTTGCTGTGCCGCTTGATTTTGGGGGGCGGAGGAGCTTGTTCTTCGGCGATTGACCATTTTTCTCACCTCTGCCTTCGTTTTTGACTGCTGTGCATCAGAGTCTACGTGTCTGAAATCACGAGCCAGTTTTCAACAATGCTCTTCCTCACAATCATGCTGGGCTTGCTGCTCGGAGCAGAGATTGTGATTTGCCTCAATCTCAACTCGTTCGACAGCGTTGTTAACAACCGCCCTGAACGATTGCTCATGCCGTGGTGGTGTGCCTTTTTGCCTCTGTGCTGCACATCCTTTGTGGCCCTCGTCTCTGTCGTGGCTCAGCGACGACGTTCTGGCTCAGCTCTACCGTTGGTAAGCAGGGGGGGGTGCAGAAGCGGGTTTGTGATTAGAACACCATTGACACTTATTTTTGTGTGTGTGTGTGTGTGTGTGCTCATGCTCGATCAAACAGCTGGAGATTACTTTCATTGCTCTGTTCTTTGTCTTTTTGGTGGTGGGGCTCAAGCTCGATGGTTGGATCAACTGGAGTTGGCCGGTGAGTTTTTGGTTTGGTTGGTTGACGCCTGCTTTTGAAGGCGTCTGTTGCCCTCACTCTGGACGCAAATCTTTCCCAGATTGTGTATATTCCGATCTATGGCCTATTATTCATCGGTAGCTTCATTCTGACAATGTACATGATCCGCGCTTGCATTGCAATTCGGCGCTCGCGAGACCACCGCGCTGTCGCCATGGAGTACACGCGGCTGCTTGTCACTGCCCTCGGCGCGTTATTTGTTTGTGTTCCGAGTCTTTTGTTTCAAGTAAGCCTTGTTTGTTCAGTTTGGTTTGCTTGGATGTTGTCCCAATGCTCATTGACGTGTGTTCGTGCGTGCTCCAGATCTTACTGCTCGTCAAGCTCAATGGTCATCCGCTGAGCACGTACGAGGTCTTTGCGCCGTCGACCCTCATGTTTCTTTTCTTGTTTTCGACCGGGTTGGTCAAGCAGAAAGTTCGCGGCTGTAGGTTTTCCTTTTGCTTTGTTCTTGGGATTGTTTTTGTTTTTTGCAACTTCCCCCTCTCGCTTTCGCTTGGTATGCAGCAATCTCATTGCAACTGGGTTGCCGCGTCTTCTTTTCTTGTTGTTTCAGGGTGGTTTGGTGCCAATGTTATGGAGTCTGTGTGGAGCGACACAATGCACGATATCGTCGAAGAGGACGAGCTCAGTGATGTGGACGGCACGCCCGAGCGCGGGTATGGCACAATCGCAACCGAGATTTCCAGTGCACTGTCCGGCACCGCCAACCTCATCATCGATGAAGACAAACGATCCATTGCGAGCGAGTCGAGCCTGGCAGATTTTGCTGTGCCACCCATATTATCGCTGGACGTACCTGATTGAGCTCAGTTCCTTCGGTTTTTTAGGTTTTTATTTTTGCTGTTCTTGACACTGAATGACGCTTGGCCTATCAATTCGATTTCGCTCCGGCTTCTTTCGTTTTTTTGTCTTGTTGTAGTTGTATCAGCTGTTGTACAAGTAGTACTTTTTGTTTTCTTTTTTTTCTTTTTCAAACAACAAGACTTCAACATGACGCGCTGTCCTATGAGAACGGTGTGGTGATTATGGAAGCTTTTGATTGTTACATGCTCCAGTCGGCGAATCAAAAATTAGCTGCGCATGGGCACGACAGAGGTGTGAGATCTGAGGGACAGGGCCTGCGCATGCTGTTCCAACGAGCGGTTGTACTCGGCAAGGGCCTTGGTCAGCTGAGCAGCGAGAGAGTGCAGTTGAGATTCCGACGGGGTGGCAGTGGATCGACCCGCACGAGTGCTGCTCGTTGTTGTGGAGGCGTCGCGCAAGGCGGCGAGTAGTTGATCAAACACGTTGACTGGGAGCCATGTGGCAAACGGTAGTCGCTCGGTCAATTTACCCTGCCCGACAGTCTGCGGTGGCAAGAATGCTGGGCGCAGCGCGGCGACCGTGTCATCAGACTGCGGCACAGAAATCTCGTCGGCAAACCGCTTCATTGCGTTGATATAGTACAGGGCTACACCTGCAGCGTCCTCGAGCAGGGCGAACTTGAGGAACACTTGGATGAGATCGACAGGATGCTTGGACTAGAGTGCAGGGAAGCCAGCACACGTGGGAGAAGCAACCAACAAACCAAAATGAGAAAAATCAAGAAGCCGCCATCCACAATACAAAGCAAATCATATTCTTTGGCGTTTCGTTTTTGTTTGTTCTTACCTTGGCGGACATGATGAGCCATTGAGGAAGCTTAATCCGGCGATCGATAGCCAAGAGTCGATGCACCACGGCTCGGTGGTACTCATAGTTGGTATCTGCTGAATCGAACGCGTCGAGATAGCTCTGCAGAAGTCGCCAAGCAGAGTCGGTCGCGTCGCGAGAAACGAGCGACAGAATGTTGTGTTGCAGCCACTCGACCAATTTGTGTGACGTCAATTGCGACGGCTTGGTGGAGGCAGCGGCAAGATTGGCGCAGCGCGAAGCGAGCGACTCAAACAAGGGCACCAGGTTGATTGAGAACTTGGTCGCGAGAGCAACGGCCGTGTCGTAGAAGCCGGTCTGCAACAAGAGTGAAAACACGGTGTTGGGCGATGGCGAAATTCCAGCCATGGCAGTGGCCAGCTCAGGATTGTGTTGCAGCAACCGCCATCGCGCAGTCACCAGCAAGTGCTCGCGAGAAATGTCGTCCAGCTCCACAATAACGCATCGTGAGTCTCCGTGATCCTCTGTTCCAAAAACAACAAGAACAACAACAACACAAAGAAAGGAGCACAATGTCAAACGTCAGCTTGCGTTCTCAACCCCTCTTCACTTTGGCGACACCACAGGAACTGCAGCTGGTTGCTCACCTTCGATACGCGTTTCATCACTCAGGGCCTCGTCTTGCAACGCCGAAGCGGTTCGTTTTCGCTTGGGAGAGCTGAATGATCCTTGAATCATGGCTTGATTCGACTCCTGCACCGAAGAGCTGGAAGGAACGCGCAGCCAAGCATTCTCCGGCTTGACCAGACGCAAGGCGTTCACAGCCGCAAGGTAGCAACGTGCCTGCAAATCGCACCAGTGTACCATCTCTTTCGGTGCGACTTCGCTCCCCAAGCGTTGAGCAAACTCGTACATGGCCAGCGCAGCTGTCGAGACAATCGAGAGACAAAACAATACCAGTGGAAATAGGGTGAGCACGCAAACCCAAAAACCGGACAACAACAATCAACCAATCGTGGCACGTACCGCTGCGGTAGTTACTGCGGAAGACGTGGAACGAGTACAGAATTTCGTAATAATTGGGTGAGGCGGCAACCACGTTCATGTTGTGGGCCTTGAGGAGCAGCGCCGACTCGACATCGCTTTCGAGACCAGTGTAGGGCATGCGGCACAGGAGATCAATCTCCTGACGCTCGCTCAACACCACAATGAACCGCAGCAGACAATCCAGGCATGCTTTGCGATCCTGGTTGGCAATCATCGCGGCATACGCCTTCATGTACAACGACGAGTCCTGCGGCGCGAGATCGAGACAGAACTTGAAAATGTTCGACCACAGCGAAGACTGAAGCCCAACCAAACATGCAAAGAAAGAAGGGGGAAAAAACCAGAGACAAGGGACCAAAAGCGTGAGAAGAGGTGAGACGGATCCAATGTGACGATTGCGATTGTTTTCAACAAACAAAAACGTCGAACAACAAACAAACCTTGCGAGGATCTTGATCGGAAGCCAAGCCGAGCGCGATGGTAGCAAATTCGAGGGCCTGAGCTGTTGCAGCGCGACGGTCGAACAGTCGAACAACATGCAAATAGTAGGTAACGAGGGCAAAGCTGGTTTGCTTTTCGGAATCCGTAAAGGCGATAGAGTTCATGAGACTTTCAGATTCCGCATCGTTGATCACGGCGAAAAGGGCAGAGTTGCCATCCCCTGTAAGATTGTTCAAGTGATGAGGAAACCAGAATGAAACTGTCAAGTCAGCTTTCATCCTCCTGCAAATGGTCGGGTTTGTCGACATGAGAACAGCAACATACGAATGCCGACACTGGCTTTGGTAAAGTATTCCTTCGCCGCCGCGGGCTGGTTGGAAGCAAGGAAGAATTGACCGGCGAGGAAGAGGACCGAGTGGGGTGGGTTGTCAAGCAAGCTCACGAATTCCTGCGACGAATAAGGACGACATGTTCCAAGGGTAAGCATGCGTCGAATAAAGAAAAAGAAAAAAGCAGTCACAGCAAAACATACCATCAACAAGCCCTGTTGGCCATGAGACTGCAGGCCCGAAGCGACAAATTGAACGTTGCTATCGGTCGTTGACACTCTGGGAGAAGCAGTCAAACACACAATTCAGCGCTGTTGCCATGCCACAGCAAGTAGTACCAGCCGCCAAATCTTACAAGCGAGAAATCAACCAAGAGACGGTCGCGTCAACTTGGGCCAGCGGAACATTAAGACGAGACTGCGAGCTATCAGCCAAAATCAAGTGGACGAGGGCGTCGGCATTTTGCAAGCGCGCAGCCGTGTGTTGCCTGCGGTCTTCGCCAAGCAGTGCAAGCATCGTTTTGGAGGATGTGGACCTGGAGGGTACAAAAGGGACGACCGTGAAAATCAGCCAAATGAAATGCGATGACTGCAAATTCCATGAAAAACCACCGCATTCCGAATCAACGTACACCGACTCTGCTGAGACCGACGGAACCGGTCGCTGAAGCGAAATCCAGTACAAAATCATGTACTTCTTGACCAGCGCAATGCATTCAGGAAGCAGGGTCGACATGCACTGGGAGAGTTCCTTGTTTGTCAAGCAGGTCTGCAGAAAGCCAGCGAAAGGAACGAGTGATGAGCCAAAAAAAAAAAAAAAAAAAAAAAAAAAACGTCCTGTGCATGAAGGAAAATGCGATTGCTGAGGGACCCTCACCGTGCCACGCAAGCGCGTCAAAACACCGAATAGCAAGAGCAGATCAAAGCAGAGCGCCAGGCGGGCAGTCACTGTTTGCTGGAAAGCGGCAGCCACTAACGAAGCCGGCCACGGGGCGATGGCGTTCCACTCACTCTGTGCCGGGCTGAAAGCTGCGGTTGCGCCCACAAAGCATTGCAAATGAAACGAATCGTGAAACGGACATGCTAAAGCAAAACAACCGATAGCCAAAAACAATCAAACAACAAAGTTCTGCTTACCTTCGTTGTCGTACTGCTCAGGCTGCAGCGCAAGCAGCAACCGGGCAATGACGGCTACCTTGCAGCGAAGAGGCTTAAATTGGGAGGAAAAGCGGATGGGGAAGGTAGCCGTGGCACTTCCCGAAACGAGCTCGTCAAATTGGCCATCCACCAGCGCGGCCACGGCACCCGTCCTCAGCTGCGAGAGCAGTTCGTTTTTGCTCCAGTGAGGATAGCGATGTCGATGCAGAGACGGCGCCGAGTCAAACACTGGGGCAAGACGGGCAGCGACAGCAGTCCATGGGTCTTGCGGATCCAGCAGCAAATCGTCGATGGTGGCGTTGGTCTCGCCAGACACAAGGGACATGCACAACAGCAGGCGCGCCATTTCGATCGGCTCGACGTTGTTTGCGAGCGAAGCAAGGTCGGACCGCGAGTCGGCTTGCTCAGAGGCGCTGAGGACGGGCCGCTTGTGGTTGGGCTCAGCAGAGACTGCCGGCTGGGTTGCCAAGAGCAGTGACGCACAAGCCGAAACCAAGGGTGCGCTGGGTGTCAGAATCGGACTGGCGGACGGCGTCGAGCTTGATTTGGCGGCACCAAACAGGGTTTCGCGCTCCACATGAACGCGTTCGAGGGCCGCCACAGACCTGATCAGAGAAACACCGTCCAACCGAACAACGCCAAAGACATCCGATGAGGTGTCACAGAACAGACCGAGCGCGACATTCGCATGCGAGGCACAGCCAAGACAGCACGAGTAGAGTCGGGCCCACGAGGCCATGGTCGCTTGCGCCAACTCGGACTCGGAGGGCGAGTCACGACCCGACACAGCAAGACTCTCGCGAATCTCAGAGTCGACAGCATGCTCTGCCGCCACGTGGAAGCGTGCAATCGGTGCGGACGCCGCAAGCGGGTCGGCGGGAATTCGAAGTGCAGCGGCAAACGACGAAATGGCCGCACGGAGCACGGTTCGCGAGAAGCGACCAGCCGCGAAAATACGAGCAATAAATACATCACGGATGTGACTGGCGGTCAGCTGTGGTCGGCTGCCGGACGGCGTCGGGTCCGCGTTGCTGGCAATCATTTGAACAAGCGACGAGTTGGCAAATGTCGCTGCGGAAGGACCAGGAACAACCGCCAACGGCAGAGGAGTAGCATCCAGTCCAATGTAATCGTGACTCAGAGGGAGCTCAATCCATTCACCAAATACCAACCCTTGCATGCCCGAGTGAAGAGGCGCGACGCGCGCCATGGAAGTGTCGGCGCCACCGTCGGCATGCACAGTGCGCCACAGGGTCCACAGCGACGTCGCCGTCAGGGACATGTCGAGCAAGGATCCATGCGCCGACACAAACTTGGTGGCAATGTGCGCCAACTGCACGGGGAGGTCGGCGGTGCTTGTTGCGAGCGTGCCGTCAAAGAGAAGCAGTTGGGACAACTCGCCGATCGAAAGGTAGACGGCCAAGCGGAAGGTGGTCTCGGACAGGAAGGCAACTCGCAAGAGATGCTTGGAGCTGGTGGCCGCGGCAGCAATGCGCTCGCGGGTGATGGAGGCAGCGGAAGGGCCAGTGGCATCACGAGCAATGGCGCCGTGCCCGAGGGACAGGAATTCAACCAAGTCAACGTCTGCAACGCACTCGTGGACCAACGAGCCGGTTTGCCACATGCGAAGTCGCGCGTCCGCATGGAGCACGGCGACGGTCGTGTCAACATCCTCTTCCGTGCCCAAAGGCTCGTCGTCGTCCTGGTTGTCATCCGATTGCATGGCATCAAACCGAGATTGCCGCGACCGTTGTCCTTGTTTGAGACGGTCAGCGGACATGGCAGGCAGCAAGGTTTGGCAGGCGACCACGCGAGTCAGCGCGCGTTCTGCCGCGTTGCGCGAACTGAACGATCGGCGTTGGCGAGGTGTGGTGCTGGGCCCGAGAGCAGCCGAGGAGAAGACGGCCAAGCCCGACCAAAGTCGCTGCATCACCGAAGCTGCAGCCTGTTGCAGCACAGTTTCCTCGTAGGTGTGTGAGCCGAGTCCGGCGTACGACGACTGGCGTGGGGTCGCGTCTGGGAAGCGTAGCAACAACATGCGGCCGTCCTCGCAGCCAACCGTGAGTGTGGTTTCAGAGACTGCGGAAATGGAAGAAGGGACAGCGCCTCGGGTGGCCACTGCAACGTGGTGACGATTGGCACAAAGCTCACGGGCATCGACCCTCGCCAAAAAGGAGAGGGAGCTGTTCGAATTCACGTCGCGTTGCTGCATGCTTTCGGTCGGGCCCAGCACGGCACTTGCGTTGGCGCCGTAGAGTTGGGCAACGCTGACACAAATCGTGTGGAGCTGGGCGCGCAGTTTCGCTGCAAGCTCCAGCTGCTGCTCCGTCAGAGGAAGTGAAGGATGCGGAAACACGAGGCGATGCGCCGTGTAGCGCGTCACAACAAACACGCACACGGACGTTGCCGTCTCGATGATGGCTGGGCGCTGGCCAACGATCGCGAACGGGAAGCGCAGCTGCAAGCAGGCGTCGAGCAGTGGTCCGCCCGAGGAGATGTCCTGCAGATCAAGCACGTTTCGGTAGCAGCGCCACACGAGGGCCCGCGTCGTGGCCAGGGGCGCTGCAGCAGAACCTTCGGACGCGGATGGGGAGAAGGATGCAGAGGCCGACGACGGCAGCGACGACGACGACGACGACGGCAAGACGCCGGCCGCACCATGCGCTTCCAGATCCGCATCGTGGGGAAGGCAGAGTGGAACCGAGCCTGCATTGACCTGCTCTGGCGGGACAACAGCAGCATACGCCGAGCGCAGGCCTGAAACACGAGATCGCGCAGATTTGGCGCCAAGCTGCTGGTCTGGCAGCGACAATCCCGCGCCCGATCGGTGCGCCTGTCGTCCGCCTGCACTCAAATGAACATTGCCGTTCGATGTCGTCGAGGCGAGCTCTGCAGTCGCAGCAGCGGCGGCGGTCACTGCGGGCGACGGGATGAGGTGCATTGCGTTCAGTGCCTCGTGTGGAGCGTTGCGGTCTTGTGCATGGCTGTGGCGCTCCTCGGGCGTCCCTTGCAGCTCGTGTGGGTTGAGAAGACACTCGTGGCCTGCATCGTCCTGCAGATCCAGCGCCTTCTCCTGCCAGGTCGCGCCACCCCCGACAGCGTCCGCGCAGTCAACGCTGCGCAAGTTGAACAGCTGCATTTTTTAACTTGAGAAGATGAAGGAGACTGCGTTTTTGATTCAAGGCGTCATGATTGAGGTATCTTTGGTACAGCATTTTTATGCAAGATTGTTCGGGGAGGCAGGGGACGGAGCCATGGTTTTGGACCATCAACAGGTTGGGGTTTTCAAATTGCTGTGGTGATCCGGCAAATCGCCTCGTCCGCGTTCGATTGGCCCACTTGACCATGGATTGTTCGCTTAACGCTGACACCATAGGCGAGCGTGCTGGTGGGTCGTCGTAGTTTCAACAATGGCGCTCTCGGCCGTTGGTTGGTTCAATTCCCGCCAATCGCTCTTCCTTTCCATCCCTTTTTCCATCCTTGCCCAGCACAGCACTGGTACAGGAATTATTCTCGACCTGATTTGATCTCCTCTTCTTTTTTTTTTTTTCTTTTGAAGCCATCTCACTTCACTTTTGTCCAAATCAACCAAAATGTCGACCGAGCGTACTTTCATTGCTGTCAAGCCCGACGGTGTCCAGCGTGGCCTCGTAAGTTCGTTCAACGGCTCTCAGTTTCACTCGTGTACCCCAACGCCTTGTCCCTTCCCCCCCCCCCGCCTCGCTCATCGGGCTCGTTCCTGGCATTCCAGCGCCCTGCCTTTCCTTCTCTGCGCAAAGCAGCGAAGAGCGAGGACGTTGACAAAACGCTCAAGCCGTGTGGAGAAGAAAAAAAAAAAAAAAAAGAACGAGCGTTTTCGCGATGTTGATCAACAGGGAAAGCGAACACCAACGCGGCGAAGGGTGCGCGTGGCTGGCTTGCAAGTGTGATACGCGCGTTGCTTGATGGCAGGCGAAGGGGAGGGGGGAAAAAGGGCGAACGGGAAGCAGAATCACAGCAACTGAAGCGCCCAACAATACAAAAAAAAAAAAAAAAAAAAAAAAAGCACATGGTTCTTATTGTGCTTTTCATTGGATTTTTTTTTTTTTTTTTTTTCCCCTCAGTTCAGTTCAGTTCCGTTCAGTCAATCACACACCAAACAAGCCGCTCGACCAAACTCACAATCAAACATCCTTCTTCTTTGTCTTCTTTGTCTTTCTTCTTTGACAATCCCTCTGCTCGCAGGTTGGCGAGATCATTGCTCGCTTTGAGAAGAAGGGCTTCCGCCTCGTCGCCCTCAAGCTCGTCACTGCCTCGGAGGAGCTCCTCAAGCAGCACTATGCCGACCTCGCTGGCAAGGGCTTCTTCAACGGCCTGATTGCTTACATGGCCTCGGGCCCCGTCGCCGCCATGGTTTGGGAGGGCAAGGGAGTCGTCAAGACCGGCCGCAAGATGCTCGGTGCCACCAACCCCCTCGACTCTGAGCCCGGCACCATCCGCGGTGACTACGCCATCGACGTCGGCCGCAACATTTGCCACGGCTCTGACTCTGTCGAGTCCGCCACCAAGGAGATTGCTCTCTGGTTCAAGGCTGAGGAGCTCAACGCCTACACCCAGACCATCCGCCCCCAGGTCTACGAGAACTAAGCGCTGCTTCTCAACGAAGGCATGACATTTGCAATGTCTTGATTTCAGTTTGTTTGTGTGTGTGTGCGTCCATTTTTTTTGTGGCGAATCAACATGCAGCAAATTTTCGATCCAAATTTATGTGGAAGAATTGGAGTTGACGATGAATTCATTAGTATATGGCTTGTATTTGGTGCAATCCAACATCCATCTGGACGAGAGAGGCGAGGATGAGTGCGGCCTCCCTACTTCTTGGAGCGCCGACCGCGCGGGCGAGGGAATTGCAACGGCACACCCAACACGGCGAGCTTGACCGAGCCGGTGGCCGATGCAGACGTGTCCATTTCGTCGCCCATTTCTTCACGACGCGATGAAATACGACAGCCGAGAGCGCGGAAGTGCTCGGTAGCGCTGAGTAGTGGAGCCGGCAGGTATCAAAGTCAGCTCAAAATGAAAAACCTGCAACTCACTGCAGCACACGCAAAAACCAAAAAGGTCTTACCGATCGGGCTTCATCTTGAGCATGGTGGTCAGCTCTTCGAATGCGAACTTGTATTGGTTGAGCATGAGGCAAAGCACAAAGACGTAGCTGAGCAGCTTGTCCTTCAAGAAGGTGGGAACGGCAAAACTGGTGCAGCAGTGAAACAGACCAAAGCGTAAGTGCAACAAAGCCCAATCGACGATTTAAACAGAGCCCTCATCACGAAACGACGGGAACACCGTACATTGGCTGGCCACGGTCGTTCGTTTGAACTTCGGCAAACTTGGCTTTAAGATGCTTGAGAACATCCTCCGGAATGCCAGACAAGGCGTTTGGCTCGGTCGAGTTGGGGTTGTTGAGATGGCTGTGTCAGAGCAAAACGATGAGCTCCAGATTCTGGCCGGATGAAACAAAAAACCAACAGGAAAACAGCGACAAGAAGAACTCACGAATCGTTTGCGCGGCGGAAATTCAAGAGATAGTTGATGTACAACAAGATGCGCGCCTGTCGTCGGCGCTCCTCCTTGTCTTGAGGCAGATCGCGGACCCAGTTGAGAATGAGAGGAGCGTAGGTGCGAGCTGCTCGCATGGCTTGGATTTCCTCGGCGTTGGCCTTCTCGAGCACCTTGGCTTCGTTCTTCAGCACCTTGTACTCTTCGGGGGTAATGACTGTCAACACAAAGGAAGCGGCGGTGTGAGAGAGGCAAGGTGGTTTTGAAGGGCGTTTCAAGCACATACGGTTCTCGAGAGGGTAGACTTCATCGGGCGACAGCGCGTCAGCATTGAAGGCGGGAATGGGACGGTGTTCGTCAGCCTGATCCATGACTTCATCTGCACACACGCACACACATTGACGGTGAATACATGCGTTGAATACATGCGTTGAAGGCCACTCTCAAAGCTTAAAAACTTGCGTACTTAGCGTCAAATCATCCTTTGCAGCAGTATCAAGCGTGCTTTGAATGTTCTTGGCCATCGAGCCAAGCGAGGCGTCCTCGATCTTGTTCTTAATGTTGGTCAGCAGTTCGTTCTTCTTCTTGCGACCACCGAAAGCCTCAACGAGGTCGTTCTTTTTCTGCCGAGGTCAAGTAGCAACAGACGAGTACAGTAAGTACCAGCCTGAGAGTGGGGATGTTTGACTTCAAAACTCGTTAACTTTTGCAAAACAAAAAAGCCAGGTGTCAAACCTGAGTGTACTGCTGGTATTTGGACAGACCCTCTGCCTCCTGCTTCTTGTTCAGCGCATCCGATCGCATGCGTTTGACGGTAGGCTTGAGTGCAAACATGTCCGAGTCATACACGTCCAACGTGTGCTTTTTGCGATCAAAGACGCCGACCAAGTATCTAACACAAAAAACAAACACAAAACAAAAACGAAAAATCAATCAGGGTTCGCAACAAAAAGGCCAAGCAATGCATCAATCAGCCAACAACTCACTTTGTCATTGGTTGGGAGCTCTCGGACGACGAGTTGTACAGCATGCGGCCGTTCTCGGCAGCCTGAAATGAGAGTTAGGTGATTCGACAATAAATTCAGTGTGACACGCCAGGGAGGAAACTTCCATTCTTTTTGGTGGCATTCACACGCATGCTTTACCACAACGTGCTTTGGTCGCGAACCAGACGCGGTGGCAGCGTCGCGGTCGCGCTGTGCTTGTGTGAAGACGGCGAGACGAAGCGAATCCTCGTTGCCTGGCCGCAATGCCTCGGGCGCTGGCGTTCCTGACGGGAAGTGGACTGCGGGAGATTCACACGCAATCAGAGTGAGGTTGTAGGTTTGAGCTGGGCTCTGGTCAAACGGGAAACGACCTGGGATGGTCGAGCAGTGGCACACATGGCGATGCAAGCGAGAACGAGAGAGATCAGGCCCTCCCCAGACCGTGATCTTGCCCTGCCTCCGACGCTCGCATGTCAACGATTGATTCATAGAGCGGCCATTGAATTGGGGACGGCTGGGGGGGGGGTTGGCTGGCAATCATGGCTGCTGAGCACTGGCGCGACGTTTCACCACATGCGCCTTGCTCTCCCTTTGCAACTCACTCTTCCCCCCCCCCACTCCTGCGCCCAACCCCAAATCACCATGCCGTGTCTATATGAGGGATTCACTGCCTTCTATCAAGCAGCAGAGTTGTGGATTCAAACGCACCAACAAGAGGACCAGGCTGGCTGGTGTACCGGACTTGGACAGTCGATTGTGAAGCCATCGCTTGCTCACACAATGTCAATCCAAATGATTGTTTTCAGAAGAAGATAGAGCTAGCATATAAAAGCAATAACAGTAATAGAAATGGGGCAAGTTGCAATTATAGCAGGACAGCATTCAAATCCATTGACCTGGTGCAAAAAAAAAAAAAAAAAAAATCGAAACTTTCGAAGCACAGCTGCATTTTGCACACAACCTCTACAGCTGGAGCACACGAATGCCATTGCCAATCAGCGTCCCAAGGAAAAGCTTGTTGTCAAATCGAGAAACGGATGTCACAGGCATTGCGTGCTGCCCTGTTCCGTGCAAACTTTCAACCAGCCGGCCACTCGCATCGTAGTGCAAAACAAGATTGTACGGGCTGGGAACAATGGCAGGCAGGAGCATCCACCCCGGCAGATTTGCCAGGATTTTCGCGACAAAGGGCGTTTTCGAGAGAAGCTGGGACATGCCGTCGCGGAACGCAAAGACGGCAACCCAGAACGTGCCGTCCTCCGGGTCGGTCCAGATACCGTCAGCCATGCCGACAAGATTGTCAATCAACACATCGCGCGTGCCAGCCCTGTCGCCCTTGAGCCACAAGCGCAAAATCTGGGCCCGGCCCATGTCGCCAACGACGAGAAAGTCCTCGTTTTTGGACAAGGCCACACCGTTTGCAAACAACAGATTTCGCATCAGCACTGTCGCTGTGCGCGTTGCCGGGTCGTACTTGACGAGTCTGCCCGAGCCACGACCCTCCAGAAGCTCCAACGCCGAAATGGTGAGCACTTCTTCCGATCCGAGGCCCAGTCGCGTCGCATCCGTCAGGTACACTGTGCCATCTTGAGCAACAGCCACATCGTCGGTCAAACCAAGCGGAATACCATCCACTTCGGTCACCAGGCAATGAAGCTGCCTTGTCGTGAGATCCACCGCCATCAAACCTCGCTTGTCTGCGAAAACGAGCTGATTGCGAGGCGTGTCCATCGCCAGTCCTAACGCGCGACCACCCGTGTAAACAAGCTTCTTGGGGGCTGATGCCGCAGTCACAGGCGCCTCGATGAAATAAATCCAACCGTCCGAAGCCGAAAGGTACAAGGTTCCGGTTCTGAGCAATCAAACCAAGAAGCATGAGGAATACTCGCGGGTGTGTGGGCTCCCCCCCCCCAAGTCAAAAGCAAGACCTACCGTAAATCATGCACGCAATCTTCCGGGCCTGGAATGTTGCTTGCCAGCAGTTCTTGCTTGGCAGGGCTGTGCGAAAAGGAAAAACAAACGGAACCAATCAAAAAGTTGGTGAGTCTGCCGCTCCAAACCGTACGCTTGCTCCGCCACACCACCTGCGGATACTGCATGAAGCCACTTACTCGAGTCGGTTGTTTGGCGCCAGAACGCCGGTCAAGGGTGGAATCGGTGGCCAGTAGTTGGCGACAGGCTCAATCTGGCGATCAACTCGCACCAGCACGACGAATACCGCCACCTGTGCGCACAGTGAAGGGGGGCCAGTCCCCGCCGAATCAATGAGGTAAGTGGTCGGCAACTACAACATGTACGTCCAGACAGACAGCAAACAGGAGACACGCAGCCGCAGCCGTACGGCAAGTGGAAGACACGCCCAAGCGACTCGCATTGCAATTCGAGGGTGTGGGCAAAAGTGAAGAGAAGTGAGAAGAAGCGGTGTTGAATGAATTATATTGGGAGGCAAGAATTGAGCAAATCGCGATTCATTGTATTGCCATCCTGGCGGATCAAACGCTATACAGTCCATCCAGTACACTAGTACAGTAGCATTGATCGAGTTGTCGACTCAAAAACCCAAAATTTGGCCACAATCGCTTAGACTACACCAAACCAAACCCTTGTGCACTCAATGCAATCCGCAGCTTTTCGGCGAGCTTGGCCTTGCTCGAGTACTCGGGAAGGAGAAGACGTCCAAAGCACGTCATGGCAGACGGCAGGCGATCGGAATCACTGCCGTTGCGCTGAAGGACAAACGTCACGGCGGCGAGTCCTTGCAGAGGAATGCGGTTGCTGCCAGTGACAAATTGCAACAAGGCGCGCCGCTCTTCATCCGAAAAGTCGTTCAAAACAACGTCCCAGAACGCAATGGCAAGCGGTTGGTCGGGCCGCATGCCATCGTAGGCCGCTGCCCGAGCGAGCACGCGGAAATCCAACCCTTCGAGATCGCTTCCGCAAAGAACAGAGGAAAGCTCGCTGGCGGTGAACAGGTTTAACGCACGAGTGTCGCACACCAGCCAAAATCCATGCGCGATGGCTTGCAACTGTCGGTTGATACTTGACACCATCACGTAGTGCACGTACAAGGCAACAAACTCCTTGCGGTTGTCCTTGGTCACGGGAATGGCGCTGCCACCAGGTTTGAGCTCGTGCGTCACGCCTCGCCCATGAGGGTCGGTGGCCGAGACCTCAAAGGTGCGGCAAAAGACATTCTCAACATCGCCGTCGAATTCAAGCAGCTGCTGAAGGCCCTGGATGAGCGCGGGGTGTGAGATCTTGATGTCAGACATGAAGAGCTCAATCCGATGCTGGTCGGGCACCTCGTCGATGCGCGCCTCTTCCAAGATGCGACCGAAAAGCCAGATTGGCATGGGTGCGTTCACCACAATTCCATTGTACAAGGCCAGACCCAATGCCACGCCAAACAGCGTGTACAGCTTGAGCTTTGCATCTTCTGAAAAGGTCGAGTAAGAAATGGAGGCAACAGAAGACGAAGCGGCAGAATGGGCTGGAGATGGAGATGCGGCGGCGGCTGCGGTAGCGTCGGCATTGCCACCTCCAGCAAAAACCGGCGAGTCGGAAGGAGCAGCAGATCGTCCTGGCTCGGCCGCGCTTTCGGACGGCTTGTCGGAGGATGAGGCGATGAAAAACGATCGCGCGCGCTCAACAGCCTCAACGTCGCTGTGACTGGAAAAGTTGTCGATGGATTCCGGGCGGATGAGAAGCTGGCGCGTTTCGGGGCTTGTGACAAACAACCCAAACTCGGGAGACGCGAGCTGACCGATCAGTGCCTGCAGAAAGTCTTTCTGAACACCGCCGAGGTCCACGCCATCCTCGCCGCTCTTGACAAATCGCACTTTTAGAGGCTTTTGCAGATCGTGCACACGCGCTTTGAGCTGCCGAAGGGCATCGGGGACGAGAAACTCTCGACGCACCTCCATGAGCAGGCAAGTGTTGCCGTTGCAAGCACCCACCGCGCCGACAAGCTTGCGACGGAGGGACTCTGACACGTGCTTTTGTAAATTGGCAAGCCAGGCAGAGTTGAAAAAGGCCGAGTGGAAGGCTGCACTCATGTGCGTTGCCGACCAAAAGTGCAGAAGGCGAACCTTGGACACAGTGCTGAGCAAGCACGGATAGTTGAGCAAGGCATCCGTCGAGTCGCCCGGAGAGCGTGTGGCCTGCATCACGCGAAGCGCACTTTGAAAGTACCGAGGCAGCCTGCGACAAAGAGACAGGAGTGAGTGTGCAAGGGGGAAAATAAGCAAGCAAAAACATGAGGGTGTTCGACTCGTGCGGCGCCGTGCCACTCAAACCCAGCAATCATCAATGCTCCACCACTCACCGAGAAAAAGAGGTCGCGCTCACAGGCCAGCGAAGAAGCTGCCGCCGAATGTCCACCATCACCTCCACAGCAATGTTGGCGAACGTTTTCTGCTCCGTCCGCCAGTTTTCGTTGCCCTGATACAGAACAAACGCAGCCGCAGCCGCGGGGGGTCGGCCACCTTGATTGTCAAGGGTGTCGGGTGGTGGAGACTGGGATAACATGACATTGTTGCGGGCTCGCTTTTCCAGCGCATCGTACACAATTTGGATGGTGGCTGCCGTTTCGAAAACGGGGTGATTGAGCTGCCGCACGGCAGAGAATGGTGCGCGGGCCACGAGGAGCCTCGACAAGTGTCTCCCTAGCGGATTTAGATAGGCAGTGTGTGAGATCAGGTCAAGACGGGAGAGCCAGTCAACCACAAACTCGCGGCGCTCGAGGGAGAGCGTGGCACACAGTCGACAAAAGAGCCGCATGAACGCATCGCTACCCGCCTCGTCTGCGTCGAAAAAGCCACAGAGCAAAAACAAGGCAACGAGAATGGGTGTGCGCTGCGCGCCAAGTCCGGACACCCATGCGAGCGGCAAATTGATGGGCGACGGAACGAATGGAGCAAAGTCCTGGTGGATGAACACGTCCAGGTCGTAGCCCGTCATGTCGCTCTCATTGGCATGCTCAAAAGCCTCACGCAACTTGCGAAGTGCTTCCGATCCAAACAGCGAATTCAGCGCCATGTTGTCGCCCGCGTGCGTTTCTTCGAGCTTGGCAAGCATGCTGGCCAGCGACGTGCAAAACTGAAACCGCAGCGGGTGGCTGCTCGGTTTCTGGATGAGCGCATTGTAGAGATCAATGATTGGATTGAGAATGAGGGGGCGTCCGATCTCGTGGGGCAGCGGGATGACGGAGAGGAAGGCCTCCGGCGAGGATAGCAACGACTGGATGATGGAGATGGCGGCACTTTGCAGCCGTACATCGCGGCTCCGGGTCGGGTTGTTGGCCGGGCGTTCGAGCAGATTGACGTGGGACAAGGAGTCAAACCAGTAGCTGAGAGCAGCCTTCCAGGACTTGTCTTGAATAAAGGCAGACAAGTTCTTCCACGATTCGAGAGGGTCTCTTGGCCTGGCATGAGTGAGGGGCGGATTGTCGGAGCAAGCAGTCACAGCCGAAGCTAAGAAAACGAGCTTTTCCATCGAAGAAAGTGATTCGAGTCGGTCGGAATCGGACGCGTCAGTGGCTGGTACGGGCTCGCCCAGCGCGCTTCTAGAGGGAGTGTGATTGCCAGAAGAGGAGCTGATGGGCCTAGAAGAGGAGCTGATGGGCTGGGTGTCTCGCAAACCTCGCACTACCGAGGAGTGAGCGATAGAATCAGTCGCGTGATTGGAGGTAGCCGTATTTGGAGGGCTTGCAGGAGGAACGACGGAATGCATTGTCGAGCCAAAGAGAAATCGGAAAGCGGAGGTGGCGGTGAACAGCGTCCCGAGCAAGGTGTCTGGGCCCGAACGCGGCTTCTCCTTCCTGTTGCGCTGGGTTTGCGGACGATTGAAAACGCCAGATCGCGACGTGCCCTCGGGTAGAGATGCAAGTCCGACATGGTCGCGAGGGACTTCTGGCAAGGCGACGTCGTCCGCAAGGTGACGCGTTGTCAGAGCGACGGCCTCGGCATCGCTGGTCATTGTTGCCGACCTTAGTAAGCATAGAATCGGCGAAGCATGCAGCAGCATGTTTGGACCGTGCGTGGTTGCCATTGTCGACGCGAGCTCGAGCGTCATGAGCGATGCAACGTCGAGTGGGTAGCGATGTCGGCCTGACAACACAAGATCAGCAAAATGCAAGTCAGTCCAAAGCCCAACAAGTACAAGCATCTCCGATTCGCTTCATGGCTCATGGAGCGACCAACAGCCAACAGCCAACAAGGAGCGAGAGGTTGGGCCAAAGCTGCTGGTTGGGGTACGTAACTCCCGTTTCGCTTGAAAAGGACGGACGCTCCTGCTCACCTTCGAAAGCAGAGGCGCAGTATGGATTGCGGCAGGCACCAGAGCCGCAGCCCAGGCTGAGCTGGCGGTAGAGCAGCCGGGCGAGCAGCTTGAACGACTCGCTGAGCCTGCTTTCCAGTCCCGGCTCGCGGCTGTCCTGCATGGCGTCATCATCGTCATCAGCCGTGCTTGCGTGAATGTCACTCTGGTGCAATGGAGATGGAAGCTCGTGGGACAGCGCGGCGCCCAGATCCTCGTCCCGTAGCCTAGCAGCACTCATTGTCACTATTGTGCGCGTTTCGAAATGAAATCGAGACAATGAGAACTGAGCTCGGCATGCTTAATGCTTGTTCTGTTTTGTTTGAAGGTGGATTCTCAAGTTGGAAGTCAGACCTGTCGAAGGCGCGCAGAGAATCGACCAAAGCTGCTCAGACCAAAAATTTACAGTAAACGCAAACACAACACAACGCAAAGTGTGTTTAATGCTCAGTCCATCGATTGCATCTATTGCGTTTTTGTCCGTTCTTCAAAACTTAGGGTACCCAGTCAGTCTTTGGAGGATGCAGACAGAGCATCAGGACGACGACGAGTTGGACCGGTTGAGCCGAGACGAGCTGCTCAGGCGACTGCGTGCTGCAGAGAGCGAGCTGCGATCCCTGCGACGACAGAGCGCACCAAGCTCGCAGGCAGCCGCAAGTGCAAGTGCAAGTGCAAGCACGGCGGGCAGTAACTGCAGCAGCAGCAGCCGGGACGCTGCGCGGACTGAAACCGAGCAGGATTCGCAGCCAGCACCGCATGGCGTCAAACGACGCGCCACCGAGACCGATGGATCGGAAACATGCACGACGGACGATGTGGAGAGCGACAGTGCTCAGGCGAGCATGGGGAGTGGCGGCGCGGCGGCGGAATCCGAGAAGCCGGCCAAGGGCAAGTCGAGCAAGCCCGAGCGCGCGTTCGACTTTGCGCGCTTCCACAAGCGCCACATTGCACTCAAGATTGCGTACTTGGGCTGGAAGTACAATGGGCTGGCAATCCAGCCGGACGTCGAGACCGTCGAAGGCCATCTCATCAGCGCCCTCAAGACCTGCATGCTCATCCCAGACCTCTCGTGGGCCAACTATTCACGCTGTGGTCGCACGGATGCAGGTGTCAGTGCATTTGGGCAGGTCGTCTCGCTGGATGTCCGCACCAACTTGACCGAAGGCGTTGGTGTGATTCAGCAAGAGTCTGCCATCCCGTTCCAAAAGGGGCGGAAAACCGAAGCAACCCATGCCGAGCTCGAGTACGTCTTCAAGCTGAATCGCCAGCTTCCGGCCGATATCCGCGTCGTTGCTTGGACACCAGTCCCGCTGGCCTTTGACGCACGGTATGGGGGCGACCTGTGTGATTTGAGGGGCTTTTTTTTTTCTGCAGAACTGTGACTTACAACTTTTTGTTCAAACGTTCACATCATTGCGTGAGATACAGGTTTAGCTGTCTTTATCGCAAGTACAAGTACTTTTTCCCCAAGAACAACATGAACATTGAGGTGTGTGTGTGTGTGTGTGTGTGTGTGTGTGTGTGTGTGTGTGTGTGTGTGTGTGTGTGTGTGTGTGTGTGTGTGTGTGTGTGTGGCGGTGGCGAATGAGCTGGTCGAGACGATTCATTGCGTCACCGACCTTCACATCCGATCTTTCCAACTGACATGATTTTTCTCAATCCATCACGAACAACTTGCGTAGGCGATGCAACGTGCCGCGCAGTACTTTGTGGGCACGCATGATTATCGAAACTTTTGCAAAACCAACTTTGACAACGGGGTCAAGAGCTTTGTTCGCCGCATCCTGGCCTTTGACGTGGTGAAATCAACCTGCTTGCCCATCAACAGTGCGACAGATGCCACAGATCTCGAGTAAGTGATTATGCTGTCTTTTACTTTAGCAATTCGTTTTTTTTTTTTTGTTTTTGGTTTTTTTTTTCTGTCTTTCTTTGGAGATGGCAACTCATCAGCTGTTGGCACTCATCCCAGAGGCCAGGCTGCTGAAATGTACGAGCTGAACGTTCTGGGCTTTGCCTTCCTCTACCACCAAGTGCGCTGCATGACTTCCATTCTGTTCATGGTTGGTCAAGGATTGGAGCCCCCGGAAGTGAGTGAAATTCTGCAACCGACGCCGAAATCTTTCGTGGCTTCGATTATTTTTAAACACACTGTGCCAACACTTGCACTCCTTCTAGGTCGTGGAGCACATGCTCGATATTGAGAAATGCCCCAACCGTCCAAACTACAACATGGCATCCGATGTGCCGCTCGTGCTCTACGACTGTGTGTTTGAAGATTTGGAATGGCGGGTCGAGCCTAGTAAGAAGCTGCTGGTTGTTGCGATTTTGGCGCACTTTGAGTTGGTCTTCTCTGCCTCTCTGTTCACTGTCGATTTGTTTGTGCTCTGTCTGCTTGACATTGACAGAAACGCATGACAGGACGATCGAGACAATCACGCAGCTCATGCAAGAGCCGCTCATTCGGACGACCGTCTATCGAAGCTTGGTTGCCCAACTGAATGACGTTGTTTTGGGTTCGCACCACTGGAATGCACAAGCCCGCGCTGCACTCGGTTCGCCAAACAATGGTATGGACTACTTTTTGGGGAAAACAAATGGTGTTGTGCGTCTTTGTTGGTCGAATCGCCCCGTTTCCTCGCCTCATTTTCCTTGTGATGCAAAAGCTTGGATACCCTGGAAGGCGATTCGAGACCAGGCAGGACAATCGTTCGGAGCCGCTAAAACCCATAAGCCTGTTTTGCAGCGAGGCGCGCGCGGTAAATAACAACTGTTGTTTTTTTTTTTTTTTTTTTGCTGTTGCTGTTGTTCTTGGTTGCTGTGACTCACTGGTTGACTTGCTCAGAATCTGTCGCCGAGATCTTTGCTACTCATGTCCGAAAGAAGATGCGACAAGGGACAAGTGAAGACTCGAGTCCATCAGCCAGCGTTGCAGATTTGACACAATTGGACCAATAACACGCAAATGACGCTGCCATTGTCAGCCAAAATTTGAACATGACAATCAAGGATTACGGTGCGCAGATCACTCCTGAAGGTGGCTCAAACAGCGAGGAATTCTGGGGGCCTGGATTGAAGGTGGAAAATAAGTTGGACGAGGTGGCGTATATGAGTCTGCGCATGAGCAAAAAAACAAAAAAAAAAAAGCGTGAGAATCAAGCAAACAAGACCCGTTTTTGTTGGCATCAGGCGAGCTTGACTCAACTGATATGGGGTCGAATCGTTTGTCCGGAAGTAGGCCTGATGAACCAAACAGACGTGACCAAAACCAAGAATGAGAGACATTGATTGAAGGGTGTTGTTGAGCGCAACTGACTGGACATACATCGACGGAAAACAAAAAGTAGTCGGTGCGCCAGTGCCACAACTCCGTTCCATTGACGACGGAGGTCTCTTGGAAGACGGCCCGAGAGTCAAAGTTTAGCGGTGCCGGAAACTTTGCAGTGATGTTTCTGTGTGAGAAGCGCCAAACCAACGCCGTGAGTCAAAATTGGGCCACCCATCCCCCCTCGAGCTCACGAACGTACGATTGATGGCAGATCGACCCTTCTGGACCGGGTGCAATAAACCACTCGATGCCCAAATCAAAGTGCCAGATAAACACGTAGAGCGGCGGTCCCAACTGGCATGTTCCGACCCCAGCAGCGATCGCGATTGGAGGCTGCTCGTCGGCGAAAGATTTCCCATCGGCCTCGCCGCATTGACCAGCAACATGTTTGGCCATGCGATCCAACGCTTGGCTACCCAGAGACGGATCCGGTGCAAATCGGCCTGCGAGCAGAGTGTTTCTGCGTTGGCGATCGCAGAGCACGGCAAGCGGAACACCATAACTGTCCAATCGGACGGCCTGGTGCTGCTCGTCAAGATACCACCCGGCGCGCACGAAATCCCGGTCGCTGGAAGACACGTACATGGAGACGCATGTCTGTTACAGACCAAACAAGCAAACAGCGGCACAAAGACAGTCCAAAGAGGGCGGTGAGCGACCGATGGATGAGAGTGAAAATTTGATGACCTCCCATCAAGATTAGAACTACAGGTATTCGACACGCCAGAAACGGGTGCCTAGGAGAGAAGGAAGAAACGACGTCATGCTTGTTACATACATTGAACGCGGACGGCCAGGCTGGCGGCTGCGGCGGTGGAGGGGCAGCAACAGAGATTGCCAACAATCCGATTTGAGCGAGCACAACGCCCACAGCAACCGCCGACCAGCCGCGAAGCTGCTGTGCCTGCATATCAAGATTGGAAAAATAGAACTGACACTACTATTTGTTTACTTTATGACGCGACTGTTCGTGTCCTCAACCGAAGCGTGCGCTCGCTGCTCAGTCGTTGATTCGTTTCAGATTGGAAACAGCCACACGTCGTCGTTCTGTATGGAATGGTGCTTGCGCCGGCATGTCTCGCGGCACTGGAGGCGGCCGAACATGGACGACTACGAGAGTTGGAGCGCATCTTGCTCGAGTCCCCAGAGACAGCGTCCTGCGCCGACACGGACGGGTACACTCCAATCCACCGGTGAGTGCGCGTTTCGACCAGGAACGAACGAGATGCTGACTTGTTCCGGTGGCCCGAGCTCTGAACCTGCTGACCCACATGTTGAATCATTGCTCGTGACGGCTTTGTGCTTTTTGTGTGTTTGATGCGAGGTAGCGCGAGCTACAATGGGCACATCAAGACGATTGAGCTGCTGCTGGCACACAAGGCGGATCCGACTGCGCTGACGAACGATGGCTGGCTCCCACTGCATTGCGCAGCCAAGTGGGGATTTGCTGGCGTTGTGCAGATGCTTCTCAACCTGGGCGCCGGCAGTGTCAATGCTACGACGCATGGAGGCCAAACGCCGCTGCACCTTGCCGCCGCGAGTGGAGAACGAGGCTACAATGTCATCATGCTGCTCATCTCATGGCCACACGTCCAGCTCAACGCAAGAAACTCGCAGGGCGACACTGCCAGCGATATTGCGCGCCGTCATTTGCCCTATGGCATGACCAACATGCTCGATCGGTTGAGTGACAGTTAGGGACAAATGCTTCAAGAATTACGAGTGTGCACGCAAGTGTTGAATCAGAAGGAAAAGGGGCACCACGAAGGTGCATGTATAATACAATAATTCACAACCACAAACGGATCAACTGAGAAGGGGGGGGGGAAGGAGAAAATCAACCATGAAGAAATTTGTTCAAAATTTGATCGAAACCAATAAGAAAAAAAAGTCTCGTCTCGTGCCTCATACTGAGCCGGAAACAGCTCGACCGCATCCGCCACAGAATTTGGCGGCAGGGGGGCTGACCGCATTGCATGAGGTGCAATGGCTCATGCGCAACGACATTTCGTGGCAAGGCACGTTGGCCAGCACGCTTGCCATCCGGTGAGCACGATACCGCTGATAGCCGTGGAAGAACATCATGCCCCATTGGGCACACCAAACGAGCAAAAAGACAATCCACGAGGCCGGGTCAATGAAGGAAAAGGATTGGATGGTGAGCGCCAAGCTCGTGGTCTGCATGTCGACTCCGACCGTCAACGCCATGACCTTGGTGTGCATGGCGCCCGAAATGGCCAGCTTGTCAAGGTCCATCACGACGTCGATGCTGGTGGTGTGCGAGTTGAGCGCCACATCAAACGAAACGTTCGATTCTCGCAGAATGTGCGCGTTCAGCGACATGAGCGGTGAAGTGAGCACGGGGTCGATGGTCAGCACCTCGCCGTTCAAGTCGCACGTAAAGAACGAGTAGTTTGAGGCGCCTTCGATGGGGAAGCGGAGGATTTGCGAATCGATATCAATGTAGATGCCGACGGCGTCCAAGTCGGCGTCAATGACAATTCCAGGCTCTGATGAGACAAGTGCAATAGTTACAAGTAATGTGAGTCGAGCTGTCGGGTGCGCTGCAACACCAACAACAACAACGATCGACGACGACGACGACGACGACGACGACTTCGACGACGACTTTTTGGGTACGCACCGTCGAGGACAAGATTGGTCATGTTGACAGCAACGCTTGTGATGTTGGTGTGATTGATGGCGTCGACGATGAGCTCGGTGAGAAAGTTCTCGAGTGCTGGGTCGTCTGCAGCAGCTGGACTGGGCACGACGGCAGCCACAACCAAGAGTGCGGCAACGAGGGTCGCAACCAGCGTTGCCAACGAGAGCATGGACGACGACGTTGTTGCCGCTCGTGGCTGCGGCGCTAATGACGATGGGGAAGCGCGTCGGACCATGGCTGTTTTGGGGGGAGGGGGAAGCTGTTTGGTGTGTGCTTGTGTGTATGAAGAAGGTTGAACAGGGCAGGAGGGAGGAAGAGGGAGGAGCGTGTGGGGCGGAAAGCAAAAAAAGCCACAAAGGTCACACAGCGAGAGAAAGAGCACGTCGAAGCCTGTCCGTTGAAGAGAGGGTCAAGGGTGCTGCTTGAGTCAAGTACGTCGGCTCGGCAGTCCCAAAGCGAGGAAGGAAGAGGGAAAAGGGGGAACAATGCGGTAAATCGGTCAAAGAGGAGGACGCTGAAAAAAATAGTTTCAGCAAAGACTGCATTGGATTCACAAAAAAAAACCAAAAAAAAAAAAAAAAGCCAAACTCGCCAAAAGGGCGCCAAGAGAGATAAACCCACCAAGTCACGGACAGTCGGGGAAGAGTTCGAAATTAGCCAAACTGCACAGAGGTACAGGCAAAAATCAGCAGCGAAAATGTGAACATGCGCACAACAAAACAATACGCGAGACACGAAAAAAAAAAAAAAAAAAAAAAAAAAGATTGTCAAAGAAAAAAACAACGCTGCACATCACCCGTTTGTGCGCAGCCAATCGGCGCGTGTCGGCCTTTCGTGCGAAAATCAACTTGAACGCCTCCAAATTATGACCACAAAGTAGAATCAGGGTGAAGGGAGCAGGCGAGCAGACGGTGCGTGAGGCGTGCAGAGCTGCAGTCGCTGGCCGTGCGGGTGGCTGGGAGTGCGACTGGGGGGGAGGGTAAGGGGGGAGGGAGGGAGAAAGAGGCGGGAGAAAGAGAGGCGTTTGAATTGAAACACTCCATTCGCGTTGATGATCACCTGTCATCCGCCTGAGCACCCCTTTTCCGGAGCCCGACCCGCCTCGCAGTGCAACCACCCTGCGCCTCATAAATCTGCCTCGCGATGGGATGTGCATTGGAGGCGATACGCAACAATCCCTCATCCATAACAGGCCTTCAACCCTAAACGGTTCGTATCAGTTTTTGTTTTTTGTTTTTATTTTTATTTTTATTTTTTTTTTCTTTATTTTCAGATTTTGCGCAAAACTCAACAAGCAGCCACAGCCACCCGCTCTCAACCAAACCAACCATGGCCCCACGAGTAGCTTCGACACCACGCTTCACACAGCAGCGACGCTCTCTGCGGTACGGCGGCGCACTGGCCTTCTTGGCAGCGGTCGTCCTCGTGTACGCAAGCCCAGCCGCAGCAACAGTGGCAGCAGACCATTTGTCGCCGTTCAACCCTGCGCTCGCCCAGCGCATCGCCCAGGCCTCGCAGTCCACAGCCAAGATCATTTCTGGTGCGTGCATGTTAGCTTCTCCCGTTCCGCGCGCGCGCTCTTGTTTGAGGCCGTTGTTCCAAAAACTGCTTTGCTTCAAACCCAAAAAGCCACAAACGACATGGCGCTCGTGGCGTCCTCCTTTGTTTTCCATGACATTGGAGGCCGAGGGAGAGAGGGGGTGGTGCTGTTCCTTCGCCTCGCTTTATGACATGCTAGCGTGTGCCGAGTATCTATGTGCTGAGTGATGTGTGTGTGCCGGTGGAGCGTGAGTTATTATCGTTTGCGCAGTTGCTCGCTGATATTTCGGGCGCTTCCTCCTTCCTCCCTGCCTCGCAACGACAGCTACCCAAACCCCTTCGTCCATTCCAACTCTCCAACGGATGCATATTCTAAGTGAATCAAACTTTCTGCACGTTGCTTCGCTGAGTGAGCATCTTTCCTTTTGCTCTGTTTCGCTTTGCCCTCTCAACCACGTTCCGTTTTTCTGGGTTCAGGCGAGATTGCGTTGGCCACAGCGACCCGCTGCTCATCCCCGCACTTCTCACACTTCTGCCATCCTTTTTTTTTTCTGTCTTGGCGGTGCTCTGTTGTTGCTTCCTTTGATCACGGACACGTCTGGTGGAATGCGTGCGTTGCTCCCACTGTCAAAAGCTCACCAATTGTCGTGACCGTGTTTTGGCTTTGCCTTATTTGCTCAATCGACTCAGACCAAGTCGTCGCGCGCCGAGACATCCCCTCTGACATTGAGAAGCTCGTCGCGGAGGCCATCGAAAAGGTCTTGAAGGACATTGTCGAAGGCCTCAACATTACAGCAATCGACCTCGCCATCAAGGACATGCACCTGCCCCCAATCACCGTGGACATGACCTCGCCGCTGATCAATGTCACCCTCGACGTCGCAAGCAAAAACTACACCGAGATTGACGTCTCGCTTCACGCGCCAACCGAGCTTTTCGACGTTGTGCTCACTTCTGGCGACATGGACATGGCCGTCAACCTGACCAGCGAGTCGCTGCCAATGAATGTCACGCTCAACGCCGACCAAATGCCCATGCAAGTCGAAATCGACTCGGACAAGCTGCCCATGACCATTGCAATGAAGAGCGACGAGCTCCCGATGAGCATTCTCATCAACGGCGATCAAATGCCCATGAACGTGGCGCTCCAGACAGAGTCGATGCCCATGACCGTTCAGATGGAATCGCTGGACATTGGCTTTGTCTCGTGGATTATGCTGTCCGTCCTCCTTGTTCTCCAGCTGGCTCTTGCATTCTTCCTGTTCCGTCACCAACGGCGAGTCTCGTCGCTGGAGGCCGTCACCAAGACGCTGCAAACCGGCTCCACCCATTCCTACTGCACCGAGTGTGGCACCCGCAACGGCTTCTCGGCCAAGTTTTGCTTCTCGTGCGGCACCAAGATGGTTCGCAACATTCTGTCCACCCCCTCACAAGTTACCACCGTCTACGGCTCCGTCCAGTACCAGCAAATCGAAGACTCCAAGTAACTGCCGTCCCAAAAAACAAAATCTCAGAATCATCCCAGTCTCGCACACGTGTATGTCGTCTTATTACACTTTTTGTGGGATTTCTTTTTTTCGCTAATGACTTCGAAGGGCGGCGTCCTTTCGTTGTGTTTAATTGATTTTTTTCTTTCTTCTTTGTTTTCTAAAAGTCAATTCGTTGTAGAGTTTGGTTTGTGTTGTGTAATGAAAATGAAATATGAAATTGCCCAGAACAAGATGATGATTTTGGTATTATTCTAATGGTACAATCGCATCATCCAACAAGTACAATCGAGCACGAGCTATGACTGTAGCTCGTCAAACAGGCTACTGGCGAGTTGATCGGTCGCCAGTTGTGCAAGCAGACACTCTGTCCAAGCAGCGCTCGTCCCGTTGGCATCCAGTCCAACGCGGTGGCCCTTTGGATCTCCAGCATCAGATAATTCTGCGAGCAGTCGGGCGTGGAGAGCCTGCGCAAGTTGGTCCGACGCGGCTGGATTGGTGGCACTGCATGGCTTGCAACTCATGCCAGACGGACACGCCGAGCTCAATGCAGCGACAAGCTGTCGGCCGTAAGCTGGCTGGTGCGCGGCAATTTCCAGCCGACAGCTCACTCCAGGGGTGGATGAGGCGCGCATTGTTACAAAAGCAAAACGGGACACGTCCGAATCGAGCTGGCGGATGGATGTAAACAGCAACGAAGCCGGCTGCGTTGAGGGCAAAGTGTCAAGGCTGGAAGAAGAAGCACTTGAGTGCATTGGAACGAGCCCCAAAGAGGCCAAGATTCGGGTGACTATTCGCTCCAGAGGCTGAGACCATTCGGGTTTGGTCCGCAATTCGACTGCCGTGACAGAGGTACAAATGTTGGGCCACTCGCTCCAAGCAGGAAGCTCGCTGTGTGTGCTTTGCAACGGGTTGGCGGATGTGCGTGCACGAATGTGCAGCGTGTGCTCCCCCAACGCTTGGAACCGGTCTGAAAACTGTGTGAGTTGTTCCGAAAAGCTGGCTCCGTCCATTCTTTCGTCGATTGGAGCAAAGCGCCAAGCAGCAAGCACGGGCTGTGCCAGCGTCGTCGCACACGGCGGGGCGTCCAGGTAGTACGCTGCAATAATGCACGCACGAGCGCCAGGCTCGAGTCGAGAATGCGTTGCAGACCAAGACGGCGACGCGTCCAGCTGGTTTGGATTGGCGGCTTGCAGCACGAGCCGCAAGTCAAAGAGAGGACTGGACACATCAAGCAAACAAACAAGCAGGCAAACAAGCAAGCATGCACAGTCAGACATTTGCAAGCTCATCTCGCCCATGCTCCAAGATGGAACAAGACAGCGCCAAATATCGTACTATAGACCAGAATTCTCAAGAATGCATCGAACGACGATCAACCGACCACCAAGGACACAATAGTCGAGCTGATCCAGCGCCACCTGCGTCACGGCAATCTCGGATGCTGCCTGAGCCTGCGACTCTGCCGCTGCAGGTTTTCCCACGATCGTTGATAAACCGGAAGTCATACTTGGACGATGGTTGTTCTGCACGGCAGGAGACGGCAGGCACACTGACAAAGAAGCTGAATCCGCGAGCAAGCCCACTCTGAAGCGGAGCTCTCGTTCGTGCGCAACGCTCAATGCAGCAAGGCTCGCAAGTGCTTGTCGCTCGCGCTCGGCTTTGAAGGCATCCATGACGTCGAGAGAGCGGATTTGCTCCCAGCCGCAGCTAATTCGTGAACGTAGGATGCGAAGCACGCGGTCCAGGGCCCGCTGCTGGTCCTCACTGCTAAAGGTTTCGCTCAGAGCACGGTCGCCTTGACATGTGCGGTCTTTAGCAGCTCCAAAATCGTGTGCACCCGGATCTGCGATCGCAAACAAGTTCTCCTCGTCATTGAAGTTGTCTGCTCCTCCACCAGCCCGAAGTCTGGGAAGCAGAGCCCGCGGAACCGGCGAAATTGCAACACGGGGCACCGTTGGCGTAGTCTCTCCGCCAGAAGAGACATCGGCGACGTGAGTGGGGAGCTGCGGAAACTCGACCAACACGAGCATACCCGCGTCGCTTGACCGGGCTTCGTCGCAGTGACAAACGGCTGGAAGAGTGACTGCACCATGCATGAGCGAGCTGTTGAGCTGGGTGCTCTGCAGTCTGCCGTCCCGACTGAGGGAGATGGCAGAGACAGCACTCCCAGCCTCATTGGAGAGCACAACTCCTGCGCAAATCTCAAGGGAATGGGCAGAGCCTGTTGTGCACGGCCGAACACAGCCGCCGTTTCCAAGGCTCACGGTTGGCAACTGAACTGGACAGATTGAGCTGGGGATGCCCGAGACTCCGACGGCGCACACAGGAACTCCGTCACACACGAGAATGACCTGCTCCGCAATCGTTCCTACGAGCCCGACCAGCGACAGTCGGCCATGCGAATCGATGCGGGGTGGTGCAATAAAACAACAGCTGACAATGCTGGCGTATTGTGGCGGAAGAAAAGACTCGTATAACAGCGTGCATTGGCTCAACCAGGTTTCATCCAGGCCAAAAGGAGTAGAAACGAGATACTGGAGGCGCACAATCCATTGAGTGGGGTCGTTTGGACTTTTGGAGGCCACGAGTGCCACTGGCAATGAACATGGACTCGACAGTGTCACGCTGTCCCTCATAAATAGACCGGGAGTTACGCTGCCAATCCAAACAGACACGGATTCAGGTTCCAACGGGTGAACGCTTGCACTCCATTGGCTTTCTTCCTCGGAGAGCTCAAGCGGTAGGACATGAATTGGTGCTTCCATAGCGTCGCTGTCGCCTGCAAGGTCTTCACGGATTGCTTGCTGAGCGCTGGGACTGCTGAACAACACCAAATCGCTTTTCGTCGCCCAGAGAAAGTGTGGTCCATCGAGCAGCATGAAATGCCCGCCGAGCGGAGCAACCCCAGACGCATCTGGCCATAGTTCAAGCTCGAATCTCGACAGTGTGGCTAAGGGTGTAATTCGAAGCCCACCACCACAACTAGGAGAAAAGGAGCCTTGTTGCTCGATCGTCATGACCAATAGTTCGTTGCACAGCTGGAAGAGTGCATGCGTCACCATCATGCCAGAGTAGGTGTCAGCAACAGTGCGAGCATCCAGCAAGCTACATGTCACAGATGCATCCGCGGGATCGGTCAGCTCGAGCTCGTGGGAAGCCGAACTCGTCATTCGAAACTTTGGCGCTTCTGCTGCAGGGTTGGTCGCTTCATCGGCACTCGTCGCGAAAAGGCCGTGGCGGGAAATCCCTGGAATGACGTGCTCGCCCGCGATACTCTCACCCGCGGGCTCAGCCTCGCTCGGGTGGTGCTGAGAATGATGATCGTTCCGAAACAGAAACGCGCGAAATGCGGCTCGAAATTGGCGGGCATTCTGGGCCAACAACGACGCTTGAGACGCTGTGGTCGCCGCGTGTGCTCGGCTGGATGTCGCAGCGCTTGCATTGCTAATATGCGCTGGCGACGCGCGGGCAGACCAGGCCAAGAGCTGCAGGACGAGCACGGCGCCAGGAAACGCCGACGAGCAGTCTGAAACGACTCTGATGTCCGACGCGACCACATCGAGCACGCTGGCATCCTCAGAGAGCACAGCAGAGGCTGGGCCAGAGCCAGATCCGTGGAAGAGCCGGGGTCGCTTCGAGGGCGAGATCGACCCTGTCGGTGAGCGCGCTGCCGCTCTTCCGAGCATCTCACCGCAGCGCTTGAAAAGACTGGGTCTCGTCAACGTCTGGCACAATAAATCCTGTCGATTATGAAGGAGGTTGTACGAATCGAGCATGCTGCAGATCTCAGCGTGGAAGCACGGCGAGAAAATGATGATGATTGTGAAACAAAGTGAAACAAAGCTGCGACCGTATATGTTTGGTTTATCAGTCAAAGAGTGCAAAAACAACAACAACAACAACAACACTGAAGCTCATTTGGCACACTTGTACTGCAAGAACGCAATCCCACCCGTTCAAACGATTTCGCGACGAGGGCCGCGAGCGTCAAAGCGCATTTCGTTGCGCGCAACAACAATCTCGAACAGGGCAAGAACGGTATCCCACTGATCAATCGACCCCATGAATGGGCAATGAGTCGCAAAGAAGCGAGTGATGGTACCAAGGTGGAGAGCGTGCAAAAGAGCCGGGGGAGGGGACGGCGATTGCAATCGCGCATCCAACGTTGCGGCGTCACTACGAGCGGGATCGAATCGGGACAGAGATTGCCACGATTTGAAGTCGGTAATCACGGGAATTGGAGAAGGCTTTGCATTGATTTTGTTGGTGTTGCTGCTGCTGCTATTGCTGATATTGCTGCCACTGGTATTCTGCTCCACACCGGCCGCATCGCTGCCACCGTTACTCAAATCAAAGATGGTGCGCGACAGGAACAGTCGACCAATCGAGTCTGCCGGCTGAGCCCACTTGACGAGTATCTGCCAGGCGCGAGGAATGTCCTGCGGCAGACCGTTGCCGTAGGCCAACATGTGAGCGAGGTACAGAGGCGAAAGCGAATTTTTGAATGGCATCATGCCAGTGAGGGTGAGGTCGGCGTTGAAGGTGGGGTTGGCGTGAGTCCAAGCGCCGATGAAAACCTTCAGCTCGAGCGCTCGAAGACTCTTGGGTGGGTGGGTGGTGGCAGCGGTGACATCGGCGTATGCAGCAGCAAATTCGCCCAGATAAACGTGCGCGGTCGCTCGCTGCACAAACAGCTCGTTCAGGCTGTGCTGCAACTGCGCGGTGGGCGTAGCTATGGGCGTGCTACCGGATGCTGACGCTGTGATGTCGGCAAAACTGTCCGCGCCACCTTCGTCGAGGAATCCTGCAGAAATAGCTTCGGTAGCGGCCACGGACGTGGCGAGCGAGCCTCCATGGATGTTGTGTGCACGAACGGCCTGAAGTTGCGCCGTAGTGGTTTCGATGGCGCTCGTTGCAACATTGACGGCCAGCCGGAAGCAGAGCAACGCCAGCTTCTGCGTGTCCGTCAAGATGGATGCGGTAAGGTTGGCGCTTTGATGGTTTAAAAACGACTTGCCCAGCAGGTTGACTGCTTCGACGGCATTCAGCGGGTCATTCATGCGCATCGAAATCAGCAGCAGCTGGCGAATTTGGGACATGGCCACCGGCCGCACACAGCCCAAAAGTTGGAATTTGGCTGCCAAATGGGCAGACGGGCCCGAGCCGAGTGCCGCACCACGAATCAACATGGCCAGAGCCCGAGATTTGGATCGTTGGAGTTGCTCCACCGACGAAGAAGAGGCATCTCGGTCGCCGCGACCTTCGCCCGGAAACGGTAGAGTGCCAATCACGCCAAGATAGCCAGCGCGGAGCAAACACTCGGGATGATCGTGCTCGATAGCGTCCATCAGGCGCTTTGCCGCACCAGAGCGCTCAGCCTGGGCCAACAGCTGGGTGAAGCTGGTTCGCGCGATGGCATAGTCAAACCCGTCATTCGACGCCTCGCGCAGCTGAGTTTGGCTGAGATCGCGGACACGATTCAGATCAAACTCTGGGTGGATGCGTGTGGCGTACATGGCATACAGCACTTGAGCAGGCGGGTAATGATCGCGGAGGGCTGGCACAAGCGCATTGTAACCCGCGCTGGCGGGGGTCATGCCTGGTCGTTGCAAAATGCCAGAAAAGTAGGCAAACGCGTGAACCGCGCATACAAACGAATTTCCCTGTCCGCTGCCGTCGATAAACCACTGTCGCAGAGAAGCTTGTGCAGCCGGTGAATGTAGCAGCGCAGCAATCTCGCTGGCAAAGGCGTTGATAAATCCAGAGCGGAATCGCAACGAGAAGAGCAAGCTGATGATCAGGCGAGGATCAATTGTGAGCGGCGACGACGCAGTGCGGCCAGCTGCAGACACGAGGGTTTCACTCCAAAGCGTAGTAGCGGCAGACACAAACCCAAGTTGGTAGAATACTGCGCCCTCGTAAAAGCGAATCCCGTCCACGGCTGAAACAATCCGCTCGCGGAGGCCTTGAAGAGCGGACGCTTGCCGCAGACTGTCGCTCGCCCCATCCGCATCTAGGGATGCCGTGGGCAATGTCGCCCTGCGTTCGAGTTCATCTTGCAGCAATCGAAGCTGGTTCTTGATGCGCCCGTAGACGGGGCGCAACGAAGCTAGGTGCGGGGCGCGCCCAAACGTGGCGTCCTTGCGCTGGTAAAAGGCAGAGGTCCAAACCACGATCGCGTTTGAAAAGTCGCCTGTCGACATGTCTGCCAGCTCCTTGGCGGTCGCTGTGTTCGGTAGGGCAAAGAGCGGGTTGCGGTTCGCCGGGACGGACGTGTGCACCTGGGCCGGCAGACGCTCGGTCGAATCCCAGCGCCGGCCAGTCCTGGAGTCTATTGCTTGAGTGCTCGCAGACGCATCCTGTCCGGTCGCGTGGTCTGCGGCCCCGTTCGTCGAGTCAGACCCAGTTGCAGCAGTAGCAGCAGGAGCAGGAGGAGCAGCTGTGCTTTGGCATCGTCGTTGAGTGGAAGGCCATTGCAGCTGCTCAGAGCCGTCCAGCAACCGGCAGCCCTGCAAAACAGATGCGCCAGGCTGATGGAACATGGCAGGCATCGTCGTCCGAGCAGTTGCAGCGGTGATGGCTCGCAGTCCTCGCTCGGGCATGGCAGCAAGCAGGCTCATCGCGCGTCCCTTCGCTGCCAGCAGACGCTCGGCACCCGCGATCGCGCCAACGACGCGTGGAGAGCATCTGGATGGCGCGAATGATGAATTATTGCACGCAGTAGTAGCGGCGGCTGAGATCGCCGCAGACGAGCGCGGAACGACGGACGCTCCAGCACGCGACAGCATCCAAGCCAAAGAAAGCAAGAACAAAAGGACTAGCTTGGCCGTTATCAGTTAGGTTGGGTGATGAAATGAGCTGAATGTGTGAATGTCAATGTCAGTGTCAATGGGAATGGGAATGGGTCTTTGACACCGATCGCAGCACGGCAGAAACTGTTCCTTGGAGATCAATGATCGATTCGCTTTGAGCAGCAAAGCTCGGCCGTTTAGTTTACTGTATAATACTTTTGCTTGTTTTGTTGGGGCTCAGTTCAGATTTTGACCGTTCTTTTTTTTTTTCTGAGCAGCCGAGACCAACAGAAATGCCATTGCTTGGGACGGCGCCGCAGCCGCCTCAGCCACTGTCGTCGTCCTTCTCGTCGGGCGCAGCAGCGGCATCAAGTGGCAGTACTATCAGTAATAGTCTCAGTGGTAGCAATAGTCTCAGTGGTGGCGGATTGAGCCAGACCTCCAGCTCCAGCTCCAGCACCAATACCAATACGCAGCTGCTTCCAGTCGTCCACCCCGGCGCAGTCCACGCCCAGCTGATCAAGCACTCCACCGGCTCCCGATTGCTCAGCGTCAATCCCATTGACGAGCCAGAGCCGTTCGACGTCGAGCTCGAAGGCCATTTTCGGCAGCTGTCCGAGCACGTCGCCGCTGCGCCCGAGCACCGTCCGCTCTCTGCCGTGCTCTTCGAAATGGTGAGCAAAAGCAAAGCCAGCCAAAGTCTGACTCCTTTCTGAGTTCGATCAGCTCAAGTTGCAAGTGGTGGGGAAGCGTTTCGTTGTGAATCCCTCTACTCCGATGCTACTCTCTCCCTTCCACCCTCCCCATACCTCCACTGCACCCTTATTCATGTTTGACATTCAATGGGGGAAATGATGCCGTGCCAATCTAACTTTAATTCAACTGGCGTTTTTGTGTGTATTCTCATCCTTACTGCAGGTGTCCGCGACGCCGCACGCGCACAATAACGTCGTGTCAGCGCTGTGCTATGGCATGCTCACGGGTCTCACGCTGGGGAAACCGCTGCCACAGATAGTCGTCGGCGTTCATCCGCCACTCAACCCTAGTGAATCGGCGGCACTGTCAGAGCTGTCGCTATTGTATTTGCGGCAATTGCGCGACGTTGTTCGGGACAACTTTATCTTTCTCGTGTCCCTGCTGGATCGGCTGTGCGGCACGTTCGCCCATCGCTTGCTGGACAGCGTTCGCCCGCAGGTGGTGGCTCTTGTCGACCATTTGATCGTATCACGCGTTCAGGGTGCCGAGAACCTGGTGCCTCTCCTTTTGCGCCAAATCCGCTCGGGCGACGTGTCGGCGAGCAACACACACTTTGCCTCCCTAGTGCTCGATACGCTCATCCAGCCCCATTTGCAGTGGGTGTACTTGTACCCCGCTCTGGTCTCGCAGATTTTCTACACGTATTTGCGGTTGATTGCCGATCACGCGCGTGTTGCGCCGCAGCTGGATCGGCTTCGGCAAAGAGAGACCGAGTTCTGCCTCACGCTGTGGCGCGAGCGCTTTGTCGATTGCTCGGCAATCGGCCGCGATGTGCTACGCGCGCTCCAGCTTGTCGGCAATCTGCCCGAATTTGCGAGTCTGTGGACAGACCTGATCCACCGCCCAACCACGCTCAACGCCCACTTTCCAGGCGTGAAGCAAATCCTTCGAACCGACACCCGCGCGCGGTTTCTAGTAGGCCGCACCACTCTCGACCTCGAGTCCAAGCTGCGCTTCCTGCTGACCACGGTCAAGCACGGCGAGCTGCGCCGCTATTATCAGTGGTTTGCGAAAAAGTACCTGGAAGCGCCAGAGTCCGAGGCCATGCTGCCTGATCTGATTCGCTACGTGTGCTGCGCCTACCATCCGACCAACGAGGTCCTGGCCTCGGATGTGGCGCCACGTTGGATGACCATCTCGTGGCTCATGTGGCGAGCAAAGTCTCCGACCGCCATGGCGGACGTCAGGCTGGCCCTGTTCTACGACTGGATGTTTTTCGATCCGGCTCGATCAAACATTATGAATATCGAGCCCGGCATTCTATTAATTCAACACATGCTCAATATGAATGGCACGTTTGCCGCTTCGCTGCTCGAGTTTGTCTGCTTGATTGCGACCGAGTTTGTCCCGTCGCTCTCCAGCTCGATTACAACGAGCTTGCGCGCAGCCTTCTACACGTGCGTCAGCAAGCGCGTCATCCCGTCGCTTTCTGCCATCGTCAACCACACGAGTATTGACGAGCCGCTGCGGGACAAGTTTAACACGACATTTCCAGGGTTGCTGGCCGAATGTGGTGGCTCGGGGAAATCGCGACGGCCTTCTGCGACCGATAATGGATTGCGCGGAACTGCAGACGCTGGACCTGCAGGCACGGCGGGTGGTAGTAATACCGGGAGCGATGGCGGGCGGATTAGCCCAAGTTCTCGTGCTCCTGTTCCTGCTGTTGCTGTTCCCTCTGTTGTTACTGCTGCTCCCTCTGCTGTTACTGCTGCTGCTGCTGCTGCTGCTGCTGCTGCTGCTGCTGCTGCTTCGACCGCTGCTTTGCCGAGCGTTGCTGTTGGCGCTAAATCTCCTGCGTCTGATTCTCAGGACGAGCCGATAGGTGTGGATCCGCCCGCCATCGCAGACTCCATGACTGATCTCGTTTCGCCGACTCCCGGCGAGGACACGGTGACCGGCATGGACATTGTTGATGAAAAGGAGCCAGAACAAGTGACCGACGACCAGATTGCGGATATTTTGCATGTGAGCGTGGCAGATCTTGTGCGCGCGCCAGCGTCCGAGGCCGCGGCCAACGCCGTAGTGCGCATTGCAGAGTGCCTAAACTCGCCAGCCGCAACGCCTCCAACTATCTTTACGTACGAATCGGGCATCGGAGAGGCGCTTGAGAATGCCCTTCCTCTGTCGTTGGTCGCGTCGACAGGCTCGCCAGCTGCGCTACTCGGGTGGTATGGCGCACTTTTTGCTCTTGTGGACACGCTCGAGGGAACGCAGCGATCGGTCGCCTGGAAGTTCCTGTTGCAGCATCTTCGAGGCCCGGTACCGTCGGTGTCGTACATGGCATGGCTGTATGCATTTGCACGTCAAGATCACGTCATCTACGAGCTGTACGACACTGTGCTGGCAGCAACACACTCGAGCGGAGATGAGGAGGAACGGCGGTTGACTTTTTGCGCCGACTGCATCGTTGCTCAAGACACGTCCGTCCACTTGTTCTTTTTCATTGTCACTTCTGTGGCCTTTCGATCTCGACTCGCCGACCTCGCGCGCGGCAACACGGCGCTATTACATGCTGCTGTTGGCATTCTGGACGCCTCACAGCTCTATCGAATGGTGTGCGATGTCTCGCTCCAGCGGTACACGCTGGGCTGGACTGTGCAAACGATGGTCGAGACTGCCGACTGGGAAACGTTCGAACAGCAGGCTGTATGGCAGCTTGTTGTTGCAGAGATTGCCAGTCCATTGTGTGGTCGTACGCACGGGCAGGCAGCGTCTGAATTTGTGCAAGGTGTGCTGGATGCGCTCCGCATGTCAGGTATGTTGACACGGATAGGTTTTTGTAGGTGTGGAGCTTTCCTCTTTCCGCCCTTCACCAGCTCATCGCTTGACTGCTTGTTCTCGTCTTTGTTTAGAGTCGTGCCCAGAAGCGCTGACCGGGTTGCTGCCTCTGATTTGCAATCTTGCTCCGACGCCCGAGCTCGTGGCCGCCGCGCTGCAGCTGTCTTCGCGGGATGCGCACGACTTTGTGCGTCTGGTTTTGAACACTTGGGTGCTGCGTCATCGACCAGAGCTGTTGAACAGTGTGCAGACCTTTATGGATCGAGTTCAAGCCGTGTCCAGCGATGACACGACGCAGCAACAGCGTGCAACCACTGGTGTCCGCCAACTTCTTCACGCCATCGAGGCGAATGAAAGGGCCGCGAGCACGCCATCCAGTCATCGTGCTCGGTCGCGCGACGCTTCTTCGTCGTCGTCATCATCAGCCGCGTCCTCGCACGAGCTGCATGAGGCTGCAGTCGCTGCTCGAGCAGCGTTGCTCTTTCCCCGCAGTCGCCTTGACGCCGTTGAGGGCATGCTTGCCTACGCTGGTCTCGACGCCGAGACCGTTGCCAGCACCTTCCCAAAGTGCGCGAGCTACATTGACGGCATGCGCAAGCGCCGGCCTCACAGTGATGACGATGAAGCTACCGACCGCCAGATCAAGCGTGCACGGGAGTGATGTGGTTTTCGTTTCGGTCATTTTTGACCAGCGTTGTGTTATTATGATTTCAATACAAGGGTTGTTCAACCGCACCACTGAACTTGTGGCTGGATCGATTTCCTCACTATTGGCTGGATCGATTTCCTCACTATCGTTGAGTATTGAGCAGTGTGAGTACCAGATCTCAGATCTGGAAACATGTTACGAGCCGCTCGGCTCAGTCTCCGTTTGTTTCTGTTTGCGAAATAATCACCGCGATGGCGACAGCACACAAGGGCGTTGAGCTGCCGACCCTGAACGGCCGAGGACTGCGCATCGGCATTGTGCGCGCACGATGGAACCCGACCGTGATTGATGCGCTGAACGCCGGGTGTCGCGCTGCGCTGCTTGAGAGCGGGGTGGCCGAGTCGGACATTGTCGAGGTGATGGTTCCGGGCTCCTACGAGTTGCCGTTCGCAGCCAGCGTGCTGCTCAACTCTGCGGATGCCAAGGTGGACGCTGTCGTGTGCCTCGGCTGCCTGATCAAGGGCGAGACCATGCACTTTGAGTACATTTGCGAGGCCGTCACGCAGGGCATCATGCGGCTGAATCTGGACAGTGGCAAGCCAGTCATGTTTGGCGTGCTCGCCTGTCTCACAATGGACCAGGCGCTCGCTCGCGCGGGGCTCGGCGACAGTCCCTCCAAGCACAACCACGGCATCGACTGGGGCAAGGGTGCTGTCGAGATGGCTCTGCTCCGAACGCAGTTCCCTCGCAGCTCAAAGTGATTTCGCGGTTGTTTTTTTCCACTGTGCTCATCGCGTCGCAGAGAGGGTTAGCATCGTGTAACAATGTAATAAAAGAAACACAACAAAGTGCATGTTGCAACCAAGGTGTACCGTTTGCTGTTATTGCGCTATTTAAGATGCAGGTTTCAAGAAATGGATGGAATCTCAGAATGCTTTTCCCGCCATCGTTGTTTGTCGGCACAATTTCGCAGGTCGACCTTCGCCTCACCCATCCCCACCCCCGGCTGTTGTTCATTTGCTGTATGATCTGTTTGCATGTAGCTTTTGTGTTCCACTTGCACTTGGGCACTGCTGAGCGTGTATCGCGCAATGCAGTCTCTCTTTTTTTTTTCTTTTTTTTTCTTCATTGTGCTAATATGTATGTCTTATTTTGTCTTTTTTTTTTTTTTTTTTTGGCCTTTTGGTGTCTCCATACGCTCCACACACACGCTCGCACACACACGCGCATACGTCCTATGTGCGACACCCCGTTTGCATGCCTCTAATGATACCTTCGCTCGATACCCCCGCTCGCTTGTGCCGCGGGCTGCTGGTGGAAGTGACACGTCGTTGCCCCCTTCGATGCCACATGCCTTTGCGAGGCAGCGCATCGTCATGGGCCAAATTCCGCTCCTCGGCTGCGTCCTCACCTGCTTCCTCCTTGCTCGGCCGTCCTTGCTCAGCGGCCATGCCTGCCTTCCCGGAGCCTCGAGCGTCTCCTCCGGGCGGCAGACTCGCAGCGATCACTGGAGGCTCTTTTTTTTTTTTCTTTTTTTCTTTTTCTTCTTTTCTTTTTTTTTTTTTTGCGCTTTGAAACTGGGCCAAATTCATTCACTATTGTGCGGTGCAAACGGGTGGTCGGCGCAGCACTGGTGCATGACGATATCCCAAACGCGTTACTGTGCACGACCGATGGGCGAGTGAGGGGTTTGGGCAGCTCGCCCCAACACGAAAAGCGCAGAGAATGTGAATTGGAAGCGAAAACAAAAAAAAAAAAAAAAAAACCTGCCGGCATTCATTGCCTCGAGCAGAGGGAGTCAGGGGGAGTGGGGGGAAGTGCGATGAGGTGCTCCCGACATGCAGGCCACAGCAGTGTGCCCAAGTATTGATAGCGTCCCCCAGGTCAAGCGTGATGCCACGTCTCAACGGTGACTTTGGCAAAAGAAGCAGCATTGCAGAAATCAATCACTTTTAAAAAAAAAAAAAAAGCCAAAATGAAATGAAAATGAAAATGAAGAGCGGATTTTTTTTTTTTTTTTTTTTTTTTTTTTTGTGAACGAGTGTGTGTGCGTGTTTCCTTTTTGCATTGGCATTCGTTGCTTGTTTCTGTTGGATTTCGTGTCTCTAACCTTGTCTTGATCGCTTGCTTGCCTTTGGACAGATCCCTCGGGGCATCGGGACCAGCGCAACTTCTGTCGCTGCTTCGTTTCGCCTTTTTTTCTTCTTCTTCTTCTTCTTCATCGTCCATCACTCCCATCCAACTGCATAGACGCCCCGTGGTTTTCGTGTGATTGCGCCGCGCGGTAGCTCTTTCGTCTTCTTCTTCTTGTGTGTGTGTGTGTGGGGATGGAGCCAGACACGGGAAGCAACGTCGAAACGACGCTCCGGTTGCGCACCTCCATGTCGGCCACAAGCGTCCCTGCAAGCCCGAGCCCCGTTGCCGACATGCAGCTCATCTCGCACGGTCGTTCCGCGTCTTCGTCGGCGTCGGCATCGCATTCGGCGTCCGGCAGCTCGTCCAACCTGGCAGAGCAGGACGCCGCGCTCGAGTCGCCGCTGTCATCGTCGGCATCGTCCATTGCAAGCCTCGAGCGGAAAGCCCTTGCGATGAAAAAGAGCTCGTCCATGGATATTGCGCTCACCGACTCGCCCCTAACTGTGCGGGCCGCCGTCGGACCCTCCCGCCTTTCCTCAGACATTAGCAGCTCGTTCGCTCCCGCGAGTGGTGGCGCCCAGGTCAGCTCGACGGCGTCGGACAGCAACGGCAGCTCCACTACTGCAGAAGCCACGGCTGCGGCAGCTGCGGTGACTGCCAAGTCAGCCACTGCCAAGCGACGGAGTCGACGGTCTTCAGCGTCGGCCTCCATGTCCCATTCCTTCTCGCCTTCGCCACTATCGACCATCCACTCGTCGTCTCAGAATTTCGGCTCGGATGGTGGCAACTCTGCCTCTCCTCTTCACTCGACATCCAACAACCAATTGACAGATCTTGGAGGCTCGCTGGGGCCGCCACCGGTCGCCAACAATGCGCGTCGAAAATCCATCTCCAACTCGCTGACCAACATTACCGACTCTGTCAAGGAGATGCTTGGCATGCGCACCTCGTCGCCAGGCGGTCCCGGGGACGCTGGACTCTCCGCCCCGTCTTCTGCCTCCTCGTTCTTGACCCCGCTGGATTCCTCGTCGAACGCCAATGGCGTCATTGCGGCGGCATCCAGCACCGAAACACTGGCTGTCGCCCCCACCTCCAACACCACCAGCCTGCGGCGGCCATCCCAGCAAACATCGCCGTCCTCGTCGTTTGCCACGCTGCCGCTGTCGGCCGGCGCCGGAGGAGAGGGAGCGGGAGCGGGCTCTTCGAGTAGAGTAGCAGAAAGTTTTCCACCCTCGGTCAACAAACGCAACGGCTGTGGAGCAAGATTGTGGGCGGCAAGGACAAAGAATCAACGCCGTCACGTTCGTCAGAATCCGAAGCCCTCAACGGAGCGCCCTCTCCGAACAGTGCAGCTTACAAACGGCGGCGATCGATGGACGACTCGGCTCGGTACTCGACCAACTTTGGCGGGCTGTCGCAATCATCTCCGCGAAACAGCGTATTCAACGCGAGCACGGATGATGTTGTTGTGGAGCCGTCGGCCCGCACGCGCCACTCGCACTCGCGCTTCAGTGGCCACTCGGTAGAACCGCGCCGCGATGTGACACGCGTGTGGCAGTATCTGGACGGAGATGGCGCGTTGATTGAAACGTACAAGTCTGTCCATGTTAGCAAGTTATCTGCGCACGAGTTGTCCGTGTGCAAAAAGCACGTGGCGTACGTTCTCGGCGACTATCTTAACACCACCATCCGCGTCCCGAAGGGAGCCGGCGGCAAAAAGCACCATTTCGACCCCCAAGCCTCCATCAAGCACGCAGTCTCGGCCGTGATGGACGGATTCAACAACTCGCCGTTGAGAAAGTCCAGCAAGGTTGAAACCCAGCCGTCGGCGCCCTCGGCGTCAACGTCCTTGCCCGTCACCGCGACGTCCAGCTCGTCCAACTCGCCCGCTCCTTCGTCCGGTGGCTTTTCCGTGTTTGGCGTCAGTCTCGACAAGCTGCTCGAGCACGATGTTTACCACTTCCGCACTTCGCTTGTCAGCCCAAACGTTCCGATGATTGTGCAGTCGTGTATTCAACACTTGGATGCCGAAGGTACGTGACCAAAGGCAGTGTCTGATTCGCTTTTTTTTTGTTGCTTCCTCTTCTTGCTTTCGCAAGAGTTGGTTCTCACTCTGATTTCTTGTTGCGCTTTTGTGCGTGTGGTGTACAGGCACGAGTTTGAGTGGTATTTTCCGCATTTCTGGTTCGGCACGCCGTATGAAGGAACTCAGGGAAGAGTTTACACACGGCACCCCTGTCAAGCTCGGTGACTATTCTGCCCACGACGTTGCAGGAGTGCTGAAACAATTCTTCCGCGAGCTTGCGCAGCCGCTTTTGACCTCGGAGCTGTATCCAGCCTTCCTTGCTACCAAACGATTTGACCCTCACACTATCCGGCCGCGCGTGCTTCAGCTGCTCTGTTTGCTGCTTCCTGTCAGCAGCCGCTCAACTCTTGAGGCGCTGCTCAAATGTCTGTCGCGCATCGAGGCCAACTCGGAGCAGTTTGTGCAGGGCGATGGCACACAAACCGCCGGAAATCGGATGGATGCCGGCAATCTGGCCGTCGTGTTGGGCCCGAACATTTTGCACAGCGGTAAGACGATCAAGGCTGCCAACGTCGACATGGGCGACATGGAAGAGCAGCTCGCGGCCGTGGATGTGGTCAAGACCTTGATTGAACATTATAACATTCTATTCCAGGTATGACGCACGCCGTGGCGAGTGGTTTGTTCTTTTCGTTTTTGAGGGTGCGATTTGTTGTTGTCATTTGTGGCAAGATTTCTCATCATTTTTTTTCTCCCATTTTTTTTTTAACACAGGTTCCTGGCGTGGTGATTGAAAAGATTGCCTCCGAGCCTGCCAACCTCACGCTGGAAGTGGACCAGCTACGACACAACCGCCAGAGCAGCACGCACAGCGTCAACTCGTCTGAAAGCGGCAGCCGGCCCGTCTCGTCCCTTCTCGATCCGAATGACATTGGTCTATCACCAACACCGTCACCCCTTGCTCCTCGACGTGTCGAGCACGTGACGTCTCTCCCAGACTTGTCCAGTCCATCCAGCCCAACCAGTCCAACTGAAGGAACGACGACGACGACGACGACGACGACGACGACGACGAACAATCGCTCCTCGTCTCTGATGGACGATCCCACATTGCTGGCCTTCACCAGCCCTTCCGGCTCGCGTGCAGACCTTGCTGCCGTTGTAGCAGAAGCCGCCCAAGCCGACACCCACACGCGTGAACCATCCGCATCCGCCGAGAGTGATAGTGACGTTGTGCCCGATGTTGTCAGCGCCGCTCCCTCTGCGTCCCCGACCAACGCACGACCCAAAAAGCGAGGAGAGGTGAATCGTGCACAGTCGTTTTTGGCTGCCATGGACTCGAGCTCTGCTGTTGCTTTGGCTCCCGCTCCTGCGACTTCGACGACTTCTGCGTCCTCTGCCCGTAGTGCCGCCCTGCAAGCAAACATGTTTGGGACGGTGCTGGCTTCCCAACCTTCAGCCGCGCCTGCGCAGTCGGCCGCGCCAGCCAACGGATCGCTGGCGGCTCCCAACGGCGAGAAGTCTATGCGCCGCAGTCCCAGTCCGCGTGCTGCCAACTACATCAACTCAATGTACGGCTCAAACAACCGCCAGAGCATGGCTGTTGCGCTGCAGTCGGAGCGTAGCAGGTTTGGGCAGTCGTCAATCGAGTCCGATGGCGGCGACAACAATCGCAATTCGTTTGCGATCGCCACACGGGATTCGGATCCTCAAACGCCAGCTGGCCCTGCCGCACCCGATGCCCCCGAGTTGAGTCCCGCATCATCGGACCCCGACCTCGATGGCACTCGTGTTTAAGCTTCTTCAGGTTTGAGTGATGGATAGGCTGTTGTTTGTTTGTTTGTTTGTTTTTGGTCGTTTGTGTGATAATTCTCTGTACTTGGTGTTTTCTTTTTTGCGTTTCATGACATTACACTTGAGATTTCTTGTACTTGGTTTTTTGCTGCGGTTCATTCCATATACTATCCCGATCATTAAATTTCGACCCCCCCTCTTTTTTTCACTTTTTCGCCCTCCCTGGGACCTGTGTTGCTTTCCGTCTCGCCCGCGGAATGTTCATTCATGGTACAGTGTACCAGACACATTTTAGAAGTGAAGCAGCGGGCTGGGAGTTAAGATTCGAAGCGAGAACAGACAAAAATGAAAACTCAAAAAAACAGAAAAAGAGCGGCTTTTTTGCCCAATTTTCACAAAGCATTACATGGCACACAAACAACGTGTCGCAGCGCCTTCGCTCCACTTCAGTACTTGGTATAACCACCATTGGCATCTATCACAGCTTGAATGCGGCGCGGCATCGATGAAATGAGATCGCGGCAGACCTCTGGCGTGAGCACTTCTTCGTAGACCGCTTGGAAGCGTTCCCACAACGCGGCCTTGCTCTTGATCTCCCTCTCCTGGTAGATCTTGTTCTTGACCATGTTCCACGCATTTTCGATGGGGTTGAGGTCGGGAGAGTTCGCAGGCCAGTCCAGGACGGTGATCTGATTGGTTTCGAACCACTTCGCCACATCTTTTCTTTTGTGACAAGGGGCATTGTCATGCATGAAAATCATCTCGTTTTTGTTGTTCCACACGCGAATGCTTGCTAGCAACTCGCTCTCCAAAACTGAGAGGTAGGTGTCGCCGTTCATGACGTCGCCGACCTCGCAGAAAAGCGAAATTCCGAAACGAGAGATGGCGCCCCAAACATTGATATGGCCACCGCCGAACTTGACCGTGCCCTGCACGCATCGATCGGTCAACGTTTCGCCAACCAGACGCCATACACGACCACCGTTGTTGTTCCTGTAGAGATAGAGAGCAGTCTCGTCGGAGAAGACGACCCTCAGCCAGTCATCGACGGTCCAATGCTGATGAGCGAGTGCAAAGGCCAAGCGTCGCTCTTTGTGTGTCTCTTTCAAGAGGGCTTTTTTGACCTTCGCTCCGTTGACAAGTCCTGCACCATGCAGCACCCTTCTTATCGTGCATGGAGAGACACGAACTTTGGACAATGTGCGCATAGTGGCGGCCACTTCGGGTGCGGTGTCGGACTCATCGAGGAGGATCTGTGCTACAATGTTGTTGCGGTGAAATGACTTGAGCTTGCTGGGGCGACCGGGGCGGGGGCTGTCGCTCGTCGTCGCCCTTCCCGAGAAACGTTGGGTGATGCTGATCACTGTAGAACGTGGGAGGTGAAGCTGGGTGGCGATCTTGTTGTAGGAGAGGCCAGCATTTCGCAACGCGAGCACTTGACCGCGGACGACCTCCCTGGGCATCTTGTCCAGCACGGGCAGCGGTCTTTTTGGTGAAGTTGGACGCAGCCATACCGGGGGCTGTCTGGGAGCCACGCGGGACGTGGACTGACTGCGTGTGCGAGTCATGCGCACAAAAAGACTGAACCCAAACCAAAATTTGGGCGGGAAAAGTGAATTTTTTGAGTTTCCTTATATTTTTTATTTTGCTCGCTGCTGCTCTGATATGACTCACAACCCCCGCTCCCGGTGTTCATCAGACGTTCGGTACACCGTACCATGAATGAACATTCCGCGGGCGAGACGGAAAGCAACACAGGTCCCAGGGAGGGCGAAAAAGTGAAAAAAAGAGGGGGGGTCGAAATTTAATGATCGGGATAGTACAAAGTAGTTCTTGCACCGAAAACGGACGACATCGAATGGCAGCTCACATCATTCCGCGTGTGATGCGCCCCGCGTTCGCCGCCTCTACCACACCAGCCAGTGCTGACATGCCACGGCGTGTTCGCATCTTGCAGTTCAACACGCTGGCCGACGGGCTGTCGGACGCGTTCCCGCTGGTCGAGAAGCGGCTGCTGTCCTGGCCGCACCGCTCAGCCCTGCTGCTCCAAGAGATCCTTGCGCATGATCCCGACATTGCATGTCTGCAGGTTTGTGCATTGGTTGTGTGTTTGCTTTGGCGCCCGCCAGGTGTACAGTCGTCGTAGAAGTCGATTGAGCCATTGATTCGCACAACAAGGCTGATGCGAGCTCACTCGTTGACCCCATCCTTTTCAAACACAGGAAGTGGACCACTTTGATGACTTTTTCGAATCCGAGCTTGCCCAGCATGGCTACACTGGCATTTTCAAGCCAAAGCGCGACGACGGCAAGGCAGACGGCTGCGCGACCTTCTTCAAGCGGTCAAAGTAAATTCGCAGAACATTTGACTGGTGCATTTCGAGCTGTTCTTTTGTCATACAAGCTGGCGTTTTGGTACTAACTAGCATTGGTACTAACTGGCGTTGACACGCTGCTTCTGGTAACGCTCGCTAGATTCGAGGTGCACATTCGGCAAGACCTCGAATACCGTAAAGTGATTGACGACAAGGACGTGTCGCAAGTGGCCATCTTGACCGTGTTCAAGCCCGCAGGAGTCGCGCCGAACGCGGACGGGATTGTGTCGCGCGAGGGCCTCTTTGCCGTGCTTAACACACATCTGAAGGCGAAAGACGAGTTTGAGGCAACGCGGGTCAAGGAAGTGTCGGCGGTATTGGACGTGTTGGCAAAACTCCAAGCACAGTTCCCACGCATCCCGATGGTCATCTCGAGCGACATGAATACGGAACCCACCGGTCCGGTGTATGAGCTGCTTGAGAAGGTATGCTACAGTGCTGGGCCTACGAAGAGAATGGCAACTGTTTTTTTTTTTTTCTTGTTTTGGGCCTGGTGGTTGTTATTTGTTTGTTTGTTTGTTTTTTGGAGGGGCTCTAATCACTATGCTCTGATCTGTTGGATCGGAATAATCTGGTCGGTATGCTGCAGGGCTTGGTGTCGTTCTCTGGCTCATCTTATACCCATCGCTTGTCGCTTAAAAGTGCGTATGCGCTGTACAAGGACGGAGGTGGCGAACCAGACTACACAACGTGGAAGATTCGGCCGCCAGTCGAAGTGGCCCGCGTGATTGACTATCTTTGGTACACTCCGGGTAACGAACAACACAAGGAGAAGACGCAGAGAGTCCCAGTTGAACGCTCGCTGTTTCTGTTGCTGGGTTGTTCGTCAACGAGAGCTTTGCCTAACTCATCGTTTTCCGCTGTTTTTGGTTGTGTTTGATTCATGGTATTCTGCGGTTTTTTACACGTACGGTGCCTTCGCTCGTGCTGTATCAGGTAATTTCGACTCTGCTTTTTGTGTGGAATTTGCTGCTGTTTGGGTGTGTCGTGAAGTGCTGCATTGCCCACCACAAGCCGTTTTGTTGTTGCTTGCTCGTGAATTTCGGCGGATTCCAATCTCTGTTGTCATTTTGCATACTAACGCTTCTCGCGCACCTCCGTCTGTTTTTCACCACCACACCACACCGCAGAAACCCTCCTTCCCATCCAGTTGCTTGCATTGCCTGGTCCCGAGACACTTCCGCCAACGCGCCTCCCGAGCGAGAATTACCCGTCCGACCACTTCGCGCTTCTCGCAGAGTTTGGATTCCTACCCGCGAGCATGTAGAAGGAACTCGGTGCGACACGCTCTGCGGTATGGCCTGGCACCTGTCCCCCCAAAGCAGGCAGGCAAGCAGGCAGGGGCGTGGGAGGAACGTGCCGAAGGAATACAACAACACTATTTTGTTTTTGTTTTCATTACAGTTTACGTTTAATTCAATGTCTTTCTCGAGAGCTGTACCTCCTCTCTTTGTTTCTCTCCATCCTTGCGATGATTTTATTCTTACTCTCCGGGTGATCTTGACTGGTACGCACGCTGGGGGGTGGTGGAGCGGGTCGGCACCGTCGGCAAAACTGATGACCACACACAGCAACTGAATGCTCCGCAGGATTTTTTGTCTTGTGGGAGCGATCTAGATGTTTGCTCGCGCACTCTCGCAAGGCATTGCCAGCACCGCCCCCGCTCCACGGAACCCAAAGCCAAAAGGGTCGGTGTCAGGAACGCTCCTATGTGTCATTGACGCAGGTGTCGGCTTGCCAGCAACGACGGCAAAAACCGCGCCGCGTTCCAATCCCTATTCAAAAAAAAATCATACAATAATCAAAAAAAATCAAAATTCCAATGTTTTCTTTTTTGTGTTTTTGTTTTTTTGGCGTTTTGTTCAGTCTTTTTCCGCTTTGGTTTTTTTTTTTTTTTTTTTTAATCGAACCTTCGTCCTTTCCCCACCCACCTCTTCTGCTGCTATTGCTGCTGCTGTGGAGCACACTAAGAACAACTGCAACAATCCCAGTTCTCGTTGAATTTTATTGAACGCACTCGCGATGGCTCCGTCAGACCCACCAAACGGGACATGCGGGTACCCGTACCTGGGCTTTCCCACTTGCACGGAAACGTATGCCGATTCGATGGGCGCCTCGTTCACCATCTTCCACGGCATTTACGGCACAGTAGCTGCAGTGCTGTTTGCGGCTGCGCTGGTGTGCTACGTCCGCATCGCAAACAAACTCGGCACGTACGATCCACGCAATAACCATCTGGTGCTCATCTTCCTCATGAACGTAATTGGCGCCTGCATGTGCGCCCGCCTTATCGATCCGCTCACCTGGGGAGGCATCACTCCCCAATGGGTTGACGGCCTTCTCTTTTGCAACGGATCCAACGCCGCCATGACTGCAGCGTAAGTTGGTTTTTTTGTTTTTTGTTGGGTTTGTTGGATTGGCAAACCCTTTTTGTTTTTCTTTTTTGATTTTTTTTTTCTTTTTTTGAATGCCGTTCTTTTTTGCATTCAAAAAATCACAAATCGATGTTGATCTGGATCTTGAAATCTGGATTACGTGTGCTCTGCGTTTCTGCTTTGGTCGATGCACAAATCGTGATGCGTTTCATCTTGACGTTTGCTGTTCGAAGCAAATTGATGGCTCGGCTGATTGTGTGTGGCGGCGCCGTTTCTCGCTTTCTTTTTTTTCTTTTTTTTTTTTTTTGTTTGGTTTTTTTTTTTCTTTTTTTTTCTTTTTTTTTCTTTTTTTTGTTGGTTGGGACGGAGGTTCTCGAATGGACCCAGCCAATTTCACTTGGCGTTGCAATGCAACTGTGGTGTGAGATGCCTGCAGCTATTGGCTGACTATTGCGAATCTGACCTCCATCGAAACGACCCCAACGTTCGCAAAACAAAAAAACCAAAAATCTACTGAGTGAATCATTCCTGATGCGTCTTCCCCCCTCGTACAAGAAAACGGGGTGTGGTGGCTAGTCTTGTCTGGTGGAGATTCGCTTGGAGAAAGCAAGGATGCGAGGGGGGGTGGCAAGTGAAGAATCGGCTGCGAAAGTGGCTGCGCGAGCGACAAATCCAATTTGTTAAGCTGGTTTCGTGGCTGTTTTGTGGATCTTGGATCTAGTCAATGATGATGTGATCCGGTTTTTTTTTTATTTTGAAAAAACAAACCGAGCGTGATCCACATTCTTTTCTTGTTGCTTTGTAACAATTGGGAAAAAAAAAACACAAGAAATATCAAAAACTCCGAGCCAACTCTTCGCTACCCTCCACACAGTACTCCACTCTCGTGAAACTGTGTGTATCTGTTGTGACTCTGTACAATGAGCGTGGAACTCGCCTCAGTGGCAACCGAACTTTCTCTTGAATTTAAATTGCGTTGCACGCGCAAGAGTTTTTAAATTGGTTTAATTTGTTTACGTTTCGGGGCTCGACTTTTAAAAACCAGTTTTTGAATGATGATGATGATGAAAACACACCCTGCATCACGGGATGGCGATATTCCATGAGATTTTCCTTTGTTAGCAGGACGACGCTTCCCAAAAAAAAAAAGCGAACAAAATCATCGCTTCAGAAAAAACAAAACCCGATTGTCTCCATTCTCACTTGACAAATACACCTTTTCTGCTTTGCAACAGAATCATGACATACATGTCGTGGATTCGCTTCTACTCGCGAACAAGCTTCTCGAGGCGCTTGGAGTCATTCATCCGCTACCCGTACTACATTTGCCTGGTTGTGCTCTGGACTGTGCCCAACGTGCTGGTGCTGCTGTCCTACCTGATGGGCCCGTACTATGCGCTGTCGGGTCTGCGCTACATGATCTACACTGTGATTCTGTGCGTGTGGGCCTTCTTTGGCAGTATCTTTGGCATCACTGTCTACCGCTCGCTGGACTTGGCCCAGAAGCGCTATCTTGCACTGCTGGGGATGCCCAGTGCTGCCGTCAACTACGAGGCTACCGCGGCGGCCTTTGTCGTGCCCCAAGTCGCCATTACGAGCAAAGGTGAAGCGCGACGCAACGAGCGCAACCGGGAGCTCCACCGTGTTCACGTGCTGCGCCGCCTGCTGCGCATGATCCACGCGGCCGTCATCCTGACGGTGATTGCGACAGCAGTGCTCGTGTACGTCGCCACGGTCGACTTTGTGCAAAAGATTGAGTTTGACGCACACCTGCCTCCCACCCCTTCCAACATCGAGCTCTTCAAGAAGTTTTTGCCCGAGCTGGTCCACATCCTGATGCTGATTGCTGGTATCGTGGCATTTGGCCAGTTCTCCGACGTTACCCGACACCTTGACAACAACAGCGGTGGTGCCTCGTCCAACCGCACCAGCAGCGTTGGTATGGAGAAGAACATGTATCGCATCGACGCCAACAACAACAGCATCCACTCGGAAAGCGACTGCAAGTCGGACGATGCGCTTGGCAGCGTCCACAACCTCACCCGACTGGCAGCCGACAGTGGCATCGACCTGCGGGCCGAGGGCGTGGACTCTCGCGCCGAGACTCTGGACAAGTGTTCGGAATTGGCGGATGACTCGCTGCCACCCTCTCCGATGGTAGATGTGGAAGTGGTGCAAATCACCTTCGATTCTGGCTCTGGCACCACGACCCCAGCCACCCCTGATGCCGCAGAGTTTGTGTAAAGTCGAAGCTGCGAAGACAAGTCTCCAGCCATCGCTATTCTCTCCTCCTCCTCCTCCTCCTTCCAGTAATTATTCCTCTTTGCGACTCTTCGCAAGAGATCATTATCTTGTCCGTATATTTGTTTTTCCTGCCAGTGTTTAATATCCTTTTCTTGTCAGCGAGTTATTTTCGTCTTGCGTTCTTGTTCAGTACCGCCAGTCTGCGGGATACTGTTTCAAGTTGGTTTATCGTGTTAGTGCTACATCTATCAAGCAATCGAATAGATTTTTTTTAACCTCTCCTGCATTGCAATGCTGCAACTTGAATGCTTCAAAATTCCAACAACAAAAATGCTTGAGCAACAACCTATCCGAACCATGCGCCTCATTCATCGTCGTCGTCGTCGTCGTCGTTTGCCCGTCCGACAGTTCCTCGCTGTAACCGGCTCGTGCTAAAGCCAGTCGAGACTGACCGCTTGGAAGACTCGTCCACGGGGACTGCCAGCTCGCGGACTATAATCCGCTCCACCGACAGGAACTCCTCAACATCTGCAAATACAAACTCGTCTCCAAGACGATCGGTCAAGCGCACAAAGTTGCCGACAAGCTCGCCGCCTTTGTACACCAGAATGGTCGGAAGAGTGTCGATGGTGAACTTGTCGCTCAGACTGCGCGCAACAGCCTTGAGGAACTTGACATAGGGGTGTTGTTTCGCGAGGAGTCCGAGAATTTGATTCAAGACATGGCACGGGGTCGAGTACTGCACAAGCAAGAAAGCAAAATGAGTGGTGAAGGTGTGAGAGGGAGGTTTTCACTCGGACTGGTGGAAAGTTTCGGTCTGACGTTGGGGACTCGACCGCAACAAATCGGGCCTCATTTGTTTTTGCGAAACTAGATGAAGCAATGACCCGCGATAAAACTGGACTCACAGCGTCGTAAAGATGAATGACCACATTCACGCCCTTGTCCTCCTTGTCGATTGCATCCACATACTGCGCTGCGTTCACTTCACGAATGAAGCCAAACTTGGGTCTGCAAACGAGGAACATCATGAAAGCCAGCAACGTGCAGCAAAACGTGAGCACACAAGCAACGAATCGCAACAAACCATGAAACGAAAATCTCGCAAGGCACAAGCAAGACGCACCGCCCCAGTTGCTGTTGCTTGAGCTCCAAGACACGCTTTTCGGCATAGGACTTCATGAACTCGTCGTCGGCAAGCAAATCGTCTTCGTCCAGCTCCTCTTCATTGTGCCCACTCTGCAGCAGTCCAAAGATACAACACGGTGATTCGTGTTAACATCGAGCCGAGCCAGGCAACGCAACTGCAAGGTTTTTGCGATTCCTTTTTTTTTTTTTTTTTTTTCGATAGATCTCCAATCAAAGGATACCATGCTTGCTGCACAATGCTTGGTCGTGGCAACGCAACAACGCTGGCTGCAGCAACAACAACTCACCGAATCGAGTGTTCGCCCAGTCATGGCCAACCGCGACATGAGCTCCTTGCGCTTGGCGGCTTCAATCATGGCCTCCTCTTTGAGGTATTCCTTGTACTTGCCATAGTCTGCCAGCACGCCCTTGGGACCGGTGGCCTTCTGGAACGGTGTGGGCATGCGCTCGAACGGAGTCTGCCAGCAACGGACCTCTGGGTCAGTTCAAACCAGCTCCTCCAGTCAATTCCCCGCAATCTTTTGGCTCAAAGTGTAGCACACAGATCAAACAACCCCTCTTGTTGTTTGCTGTTTTTTTTGGGGGGGAGGGGGGGGGTTAATCCGTCGTGGAAGGGTTCTGCCGTCACAGCTTCACCGTCTCTCTGTCCATCACTCACCCGCTCGTGCGCCTGGGATGCTGGAATAAAGCCTGGCGCGTCGTCTCCGTTGCCTTTGCAGCAGCGGTCGTCGTCGCACTCGTCGTCGGGAAGCCCGCCACGACGCGACTCGGCGTCCGGATCGCCGTCCATGGCGCCGTCAATCTGATCGAGCAACGCGTCCTCCAGTGCCGACATGACCCAAGAAAAAAAAAAAAAAAAAAAAGGACTGCACAAAGCAAGAAGGCGTACGAAATGTGCAAGATGTTGTGATGCATGGAAGAATCATGTCCATCATCCTCAATGGCAAAGTGCTCAGATTCACAATGCTCACTCTTATTCTTGTTCTTCTCCGTTCCTTCGTTTCTTTCGTCTTTCCCCCACGTCCCACGTCCCACGTCGGTACAAAAACCATGGCACTGTCGTCGCCTGCGTCTGCTGAAGCGCTGAAATCGCCGGGAAGCCAGCTGGGCCTGCTGGAGGGGCAAGACCAGCACACCACGCTCGAGTTCAGCGACTGTCAGCAGGACTCGCCGTACTTTCGCAACCGCATCCGCGAGTACGAAGCCGAGACGGACAACATCAGCGACGCCATCAAGAGCCTCGTCAAGCAGCAGCGGGCGGTCGTCGATGCCTGCCGCACGCACTCGCGCAGCCACCGCGCATTTGCTGAAGTCCTGAACGGATTCAAGTACGCTCACCCGTTCATCACTCGACGCTCAACCTCGACGCTCAACCGAGATCCCCGCATGATGAGCTTGAATCATCCTGCTCTTGATGTGTGCCCGCTTCGGGGCAGAGGGGGACGGCGATCGGATGCAAAAAAAGAGTCAAACGGGATGGGAATGGAAGAGCAACTTTTTTGAGTCGGGTTTTTGGGGTTTTGTTTTTCTGCCGCTCGCGCTCAAAGTGAGAGAGGGCAAAGAGAGAGAGAGACACACACACACGCACAAAGAGAGAATTGTATAGGTAAGTGTGTATGTGTGTATGGGTGCAGCAGGGACGACGGCCGATTCTGGTGTCCTCACTCGCGTCAATATGAGAAAAAAAAAAAAAAAAAAAAGGAACAAAGGAACAAAGGCGAGAGGAACACTGTCATCCCAACTCCCAAACGACCCATCACACAAAAGAAGCAGGAAGAAGACCAGACCAGAGTTGTGGTTGTTGTTCGGAGCCTCGTTCCGCAGGCAGAGCAACAAAACTATTGTTCATTTGGATTGGGAACAAAAAATGTTTGAAAATTCGGAGTTGGTTTTTTTTTTTTTGTTTTTTTTTTCTTTCCCCTTCTTCTTTTTTTTGTTCATTTTTTTTTTTTTTTTTTTCCTCTTTTCTATGTGTTTCACCGAGAACTCGATGATTGAAGTTGACTCGTCGGTCGATTGAGATTTGTCCTAACTTGAATTTTGGATTTTGTTTTTCCCGATTTGTTCGCTTGCCAGCTTTGCGCGCGTTTCAGAGTCGGCAACAGACAACGAAATCCAAATCAGTGGTGCGCTGTCGACCTTTGGCGAGCTGCTCTGCAGCCTTGAGGACCAGCGCGAAATTATGTGCGAGGAAGCCGACTTGACCTTGATCAAGCCGCTGGAAGAGTTTCGCAAGAACGAAGTCAATGCTGTCAAGGAGTGCAAGAAGCGCTTTGACAAGCAGGTAAGCTTTGCCAGCACACGTTCTCTCGTTGTTGATTTTTTCTTTCTCTCTCTCTCTGACCGAAGGTGGGGGCGAGTTTGGGTCTTTTATTGTTCTTCGATTGCCTCGTTGGCTCACCGCTTTGCTAGACCGAACGCTACTACCAACATCTCGAAAAGACGCTGACGCTGTCCGCCAAGAAGAAGGACCAGATGCTGCAGGAAGCCGATGTGTCGTTGGAAGCTGAGCGCCTGGCCATGCACAACGCGTCGCTCGAGTACGTGGAGAAGCTGAACGAGCTCGAGGAGAAGAAAAAGTTTGAGTTTGTCGAACGCATTCTTGGGTACATTTACTCGCAAGTCACCTTCTTCCACCTGGCGTACGAGTCCTTCCATGCGATGGAGTCGTACATGCAAAACCTCGCCCTCCGCCTCCAGAACACCCGCTTCACCTTTGACGACCAGAAGGAGAAGATTGCCGAACTCATGCGCAAGAACCGCGAACGCGCCGAAAAGAACGATGTCAATGATGCCATCAACGCCTCGCCAGACCTCCACGAAGGCTATCTCTTTATGCAAGACTCGAAAAAGGGCCTCCTTGGCTACTCGTGGACCAAGCATTTTTGCCGCTATGTGAAGGCCACGCGTCAGTTTATGATTCTGACGTTTGTCCAAGGCAAGCCGGTGAGTGAATGCGAGAATCCGCTTTGGATGTTTTCTGCACATGTTGCAGAGATGACGAGGAGCTGACAATTCTTGTGTTGTGTCTTTGATTTAATTGTTGGTCCTTGTGTGTGCATCAGTACCCTCCCGAATCCTATGACGTGACGGATTGCCACGTTTTCAACCCCGACTCGAACGATCGGCGGTTTTGCTTTGAGATTGTGTCGAAAGATCGGTGAGTGTCTCGGCGAGACTTTTTGTTTGAGTGTTTTGTTGTAATCATCCACGCTAACCCTCGTCTTTTCTTTTTCTTTCCGATTTGGCTTGTAGTACAATGATTGTTCAAGCTCCTGGCCAGCAAGCATTAGATATTTGGGTCTCCGTCTTGACGAATGGACAACACTGCGGTCTTTCCTTCCTTCCTTTGTTGCTGCGACCCCTCTCCCATCCCTCTCTCGGCTCCTCTCCCATCCCTCTCTCGGCTTTCTTCTCCCGTCCCTCTCTCGGCTTTCTTCTAAGGTCCCATCGCGCGACACCAAAGCCCGTCCAGTCTCGGTGATGGGTGCTCCGAGCGGAAGCAGCAAGTTTGTTCAACAGTGCATCAATTTCATTGAGACACATGGTAAGCAACCTGTGGTGACAGTGTGTTGTAGAGGGAAGTGGCTTGCTTGTCCTGCACAGAATCTGACTTGGCTTGGTTGTTGCTGCTAGGCTTGGATCAAGAAGGCCTGTATCGCTTGCCTGGTGTCCAATCTAAGGTGCAGAAAGTCGTCCAGTTGCAGAAGGATAACAAGCCGTTTTCGGTTGAAGAGTCGTCTGCTGAAATCAAGACAGTGTGCAGCGCGCTCAAGCAGTTCTTCCGCGAACTGCCCGAGCCATTGATGACCTTTGGCATGCACCAGGCTCTTGTCAAGGCTGCCAGTACGTTGTCTTCCTCTGGAGACGGAGGGCATTGGATTGTGCGGGAGAGAAAAGCACTCAACGTTTGTTTTGGTGTTGAACTGACGACAGAGATTGAAAATCGCGATGACCGCTTGCAGCAAATCTATGTGCTCGTGCATGACTTGCCTCGTGAGAACTTTGGATTGCTCAAAACGTTGGTTCGCCATTTGAACAAGTATGTTTGTGGAGGGGAGGCGTGGTTTTTGCCGTTCGACGCTGGTTGTCGTCATTGTTGACCACGCACTCACTTCTGCTCACACTCTTATTTTTTTTTCTTCGTGCACAGAGTCTCGCAACAAGCAGAGGTCAACAAGATGCAAGCGAGTAACTTGGGTGTCTGCTTTGGCCCTTCGCTGATGCGATCCGAGGAAGAGTCCATGGCTGCGATTATGGACATCAAGTTCCAGAACTCAATCGTGGAATGGCTCGTCGAAAACTATGAATGGTTCTTTGAGAACGAGGATGCCGCTGCCAAGCAAGCCGAGGAGACACCGGCAGCGAGCGAGCCGGCTCCAACTCCGGCTGCCTCCACTCCCACTGCGACTGCATCCGCCAAGCCTTTCGAGAAGGCCAGCGTCGTCGTCGCGTCCAACAAGCCAGCCGCCGCGTCTACCGTGGAGCCGGCGGCAGAAACCAGTGCCCCGTCTGCGCCGTCTGCAACTGCGGCGCTTGCAGCAGTCAAGCCCAAGCCGAATCTGTCGCAAAAGCCGCCGAGCAGCAAGCCTCCGGCCCCAGTCCTTGTTCCGCGACCTGCCGGGCTGCCCACAATGCCGCCCGCGGCAGCACGTCTGATTCCCCGCTCGGGCGACAGTGCAGCAGGTGCAGCAGCAGCAGGAAGCGGGCAGCTGTCGACTGGCGTGGGCGCTCTGACTGCTCGCTTTTCCACCATGCCGCCACCGGCCGCATCGGCAGCAGCAGCAGCAGCAGCGCCGACGGCCGGCAATCGACCCACTGCGCTCAAGGCGCCCAACAAGGCCGTGCCTACGCCTGGAAGCTCGTCCAGCTCGCCCAAGGCTGTTGCAAACAAGTCGACTGGCTCACCTGCACCTGCACCTGCCGCTGCAGCCAGCGGACCGAAGGCGCTCTCGAACAAGTGGCCTCCGGGAGGAGCCTCTGCTCCGGCAGCCTCTTCAGCCAGTGGAGCGAATGGTGGACGGCGGGCCGTTGCACTGTACGACTGCGTTGGCGAAGACGAGGGCGAAATTTCCTTCAACGAGGGCCAAACGCTTATTGATGGTGAGTGCCTTTTGATTGTTTGTTTGTTTGTTTGCGTTTGCGGGGGTGGTGTTGTTGTATTTTTGTTGCTTTCTCGTGCCGCATCTCTCACCGCCACGCGACAAACCAGTTCAACCAAGTAATGAAGACGGCTGGCTCGAAGGCACGAATGAAAGCACGAATCGACGCGGGCTGTTCCCCTCCAACTATGTTTCGTTCCTTTCGGTATGGGCCACGCACGATGAGATATGGGAGATTGATTCGGCTCAAAACTATTTGTGCTTTTTTTTCTGTGTGCTTGCTTGGCTCTGCAGGATGAGCGCCCGGCTCCGCCCAAACGGTTTTCGCGCACCAAGTGACCCATTGCAGGTGGTGATGTTTGCTGCAACTGAGAGTGTTTGGTTATTTGTGGGTTTTCCGTGCTGTCTGTTGGGATGAAATTCATATAATATCCACGATTTGATTTGATTGGAGCAGTTGATAGCAAGTCGCACACGAAATCATCCATGCAGCAATACACATGCCATTTGAATGATAGTCCATCGTTCATCGTTAAAGTGGTTTTTTTTTTTTCGTTGATTTTCCTTTTCATTGCACTTCACTCATTTCAAACTAAGAAAAGACACCAAGTTTCAGTTTTTTTCATTTATATATTTTTTTCTTTGTACAAGATCACGCAGCAACAGACACAATCCGCATCAGGCAGCGTTGGCGACTAGGGCGCTCGGAGAGAACGCGCTTAGAAGCACTTGCGGTGGACGATGGAGGGGCCAGCCTCGTCGTACTCCTGCTTGGAGATCCACATCTGTTGGAAGGTGGAGAGGGAGGCGAGGATGGAACCACCGATCCAGACGGAGTACTTGCGTTCCGGGGGAGCGATGATCTTGATCTTCATGGTGGCGGGGGCGAGGGCAGCGATCTCCTTCTGCATGCGGTCAGCAATGCCGGCGTACATGGTCGTGCCGCCAGAGAGGACAGTGTTGGCGTAGAGGTCCTTGCGGATGTCGACGTCGCACTTCATGATCGAGTTGTAGGTGGTCTCGTGGATGCCAGCAGACTCCATGCCGAGGAAGGCGGGCTGGAAGAGGGCCTCGGGGCAGCGGAAACGCTCGTTGCCGATGGTGATGACCTGGCCGTCGGGAAGCTCGTACGACTTCTCGATCGAGGACGAGGAGGCAGCAGTCTGCATCTCCTGCTCGAAGTCGAGGGCGACGTAGCAGAGCTTCTCCTTGATGTCGCGGACGATTTCACGCTCGGCAGTGGTGGTGAAAGAGTAGCCACGCTCAGTGAGGATCTTCATGAGGTAGTCAGTGAGGTCACGGCCAGCCAGGTCGAGACGGAGGATGGCGTGGGGAAGGGCATAACCCTCATAGATCGGGACAGTGTGCGAGACACCATCGCCAGAGTCGAGGACGATACCGGTGGTGCGGCCCGAAGCGTAGAGCGACAGGACGGCCTGGATGGCAACGTACATGGCGGGGGTGTTGAAGGTCTCGAACATGATCTGGGTCATCTTCTCGCGGTTGGCCTTGGGGTTGAGGGGGGCCTCAGTGAGGAGGACGGGGTGCTCCTCGGGGGCAACACGGAGTTCGTTGTAGAAGGTGTGGTGCCAGATCTTCTCCATGTCGTCCCAGTTGGTGACGATGCCGTGCTCAATGGGGTACTTGAGGGTCAGGATACCACGCTTGGACTGAGCCTCATCGCCGACGTACGAGTCCTTCTGACCCATGCCGACCATGACACCCTGGTGACGCGGGCGACCGACGATCGAGGGGAAGACGGCGCGGGGAGCGTCGTCACCGGCAAAGCCGGCCTTGCACATGCCAGAGCCGTTGTCAACGACAAGGGCAGAGATTTCTTCGTCGCACATTTTGGTGGGTTGGTGGGATTTAACTAGGTTAAAAGACTGATCTGAAACTCGTCCAAAACGGGCCGCCTTAAATACCCCCAGCGGGTCGCAGCACGATTTCAGGTCAGTCTGCCATGGCAGTTTGACCTGAAAAACCTGTTTGTTGACTGCGGTTTCCAAAGATGGCAAGCCGCAGTGGAAAAAAACAAACAATCAGCATTTTTGTGTTTTTTGTTGTTTTTTCATTTTGGACCTTCCGCCTTTGGTGCAGTTTTTTTGTGTTGTGTTTGCGGGATTTTGATGTGTTGCGGGGCTTTTGTCCGTCCCGCATTGGACGGCTGCGCAAGCGAGCAAAGCCATCCCTCGCGCTGGCAGTGCTGGTGCGGCAGTTCACCGTGAGCAGCAGACCGCGAGTAGAGATCTAGCGAGCGAGAGTTTTTTTAATTTTTATTTTCGATGGTTTTTTTTTTTTAACCAGCCTCGCTGCTTTTTTTTGGTTTTTTTTTTTTTCATGATTTGGGTATTTTTGTTCGTTTGTTGTGTGTTTTTCGTGGAAAATGCTGCTGCGTTGTCAGCGCAGTGTCATCGTTGGCTGCGGCTCGTCCCAACTCACAGCACAAACGTCATGCGCAAGGTGAGTGCTGATTTTCTTCAGAAATCAAACGCTGCTCGTTCGGCGCACTTGCGATCGTGCGCTGTTTCGCAGAACAGGTGGAATTGCATGTGTTGTTGAAAAAAGCACAATTCCATGTTTTGAGCGTTGCTGCTTCTCTCCACAACGCTCAACCCGACTCACCCTCTCTCACGCACTCGTATTACAAGCACCATCAGAAACACATCCTCGTGCTGGATTCAACGGGCCCGTTGATGCGACTTGGTGGTTCAAAAAATCTCAAACCGCAATTCCACCACAGTGTTCGACAATTTGGACAAACCACACATACCCCCAAAGCCCCATTCTTGCATACCAAGATTCCACCTCGAAACCACTTTTGCGCCAGCATTGCGTAGCGCAGCGGAAGAGAGCGCAGGGGCGACCGTGCGACAGCACACGGCGATTTGGCGCGAGCACTCCAGATCCAACCACATTCGCAGCTCGCGCGCAGCGCCCTGTCCTCCTCACCTTTGACAACTTGGCAGGAAATGCTTGCTGTTGCTGCCCCTCGTGTGTGGCTCGTTGCCGTGCACCTTGTCATAAACCCAAATCAGAATACAGCTCAAAAACTTTTGTGCAAACCAAATCTTAAGCCCAGTCTTGGACAAGCACTCAACGTCCAATCTTGGATGAGCACGCGCAGCCTCCGGCCGCGGCGCCTGTCGTCTCGACGGCGTCGGGAGATTGCTCGAGCCATCGACGAAGAGCAGATGCGGCACGCGGACCAAGCAAGCGCGCAGTGCGTCATCTGCTTGTCGTCCTTCACGGAGCGAGGCCGGCTGCCGACGTGCCCGCACCTCTTCTGTGCGCCCTGCATCCAGGCATGGGCTGATGTATGTGTACTTGGGTTGTGGGTGTGTTGAGATGTCCTGCTAGGGGAGTGTGCGTGGCTGGGGGAGTGTGTGTGTGGTAATGCAGCAACGATGGAAATACGAAAAGCGCGCTCTTTTTTTTTTTTTTTTTTTTTTGGCCTTGAACACTTTGCCGTTCAGCCTGCGGCGCTGCCGGTGAACGGCTTCCACCACCGTGGTACTCGGTCATGATCCTTTCGTGATGATGTCGCCTGGCTTGGCGGAAGGGCTCTGCGCGTTGCTTGAGGCCACAAGACAGTGTTTCAACAAATTGGCGCGCAAGTTTGTCTTGTTTCAAAAGACCTGTCAAAATCCAGCCCAAACTCACCCTGCTGCTGTTGCCCCACGATGCCGTCGTGTCGCTCCTCTCCTCACTATCTCGCAGGTGAACAACGCGTGTCCAATGTGCAAGTTAGTTTTCAGAGTCATCATTGTTGAGGAAGTACGTGGGACAACACACTCCAAACGTTTTTTTTGTTTGGTTTCGGTTTCGTCTTGTCTCGTCTGGTCTCAACCGAGCTGATCGTGCTGTGCCCTTGGTAGATTGCCACAAAGCTCGTGCTGAGGAAGATTCGCGTCGAGTCGCGAGAGCAGCCTCAGTGGTATGCGGATCAGATGCCAATACCGGACGAGACTGACGAGCACGAGGAAGACGGCAGCGGGCACGCCGCTCACTCGCCCTCCTTCTTGGAGCATGAGCACAATGTAGAAGACAAAAACGAAGACGAAGACGAAGACGAAGACGAAGGCGAGGGCGAGGGCGAAGATAACGACAATCACAAACTGCAGCACCGAGGACGTCGCACAATCGCTCGAGCAACTCGATTGCCCTCCATGAGCGATAGTTCCGCCCCATGCTCTTCTTCTTCAGAGCAAACCTCTTCCGCTACTGGTGCCGCGGTGTTTGACTTTGATGTTGATTTTGATGACGATGCTCGTCATCCTCCGCCCAAAAGGTTTGCATCGCACACGTTCTCTCTGAATGCACCTTGGTTTGGTTCCTTGCTGACCAATGCTATTCCTGTTTGAATCCACTCCTCCGCTTCTCTGTCGCAGATCCCGTGTCGGTCATGCGCAAGATCGAGCGCCTTTGAGATCCGCGCCATTCATGTTTCAGCCGCTAGCGCATGCCTTTGCGTCAGGCATGCCGCGTCCGAGAAAGGCCCCTCCACTGTCTGATATCGAGGATAGTGACGGAGACGATAGCAATCCCAACCCCGTTGGATCCAGCTCAGCTGCACCTGCACCGCTAGCACAATCGTCCAGCTCGCCGCCTCCTCAACTGGCAGCGTCGGGGACTGACGCCGCCGACACTTCGTTCGTAGCTATCGAGTCCCCTGCTCATCCGGCACTTGCTCGTTGCCATCCCCCACACGCACGGGCAAACAGAGCTCCGCTGGCCAATGTGGGCAACTTGCTTCACATTGCTCAACAACCGAGCAAGCAGGCCAACAACAGCGCATGTCAACCCCCGGGCTCGCCAGTGTTTATCGACTTGAGTTCGACACCCTCTCGTGCTTCTCAGCCGATTGTTTCACAGTCGCCATCAAAACGCACTGCGATGCCGAGGTCATTTTCATTGTCGCCGATCAAAGGCAACGTTCGAACGCTAGTGCCCAGCACGCCCTCGCCTCCAGGGTCACCGGAGGCTTCTTGCCTGCCATTGACGCCTGCGGCCGTGGTGCTCGTCCCTGACACTCCTCCGTCGCGAAAAAAGCGCGCGAGTGGCGCTGCTCCACCCATCTTAATCCATAGCCAATCCTTCGGTTCGCCATAACAGCCGCTCTGATTTCAGGATGAAAATGTTGTGTTGTGTTGTTTGTATTTCTAGTGATAAGCTGTATTAGTACATTGCGTAACAAGTTTTCTTCTTGTTGAAATCCGAAAACCACTCTGGAAAAACCCACTCAGGAAAAAGCTTAAAGATGGAACACATTGCCCTTGAACTCGGATGCCTTCAGGGTTTCCGCCCAGGAGTGTGCGGCGACGTAATCGGAAGTAATGGCAGGGAGTAGGTGCTGCGGCACGCCAAAGGCCTTGACGAGGTTGGCCAAGTGAGGTCGGAGCTCTGCCAAAATGACGTTGACTTCATCCGCCATAATCTCAATGTCCTGGCGCGGAATGAACTGGTATGCCAAGAAGCTACAACCGCGAGTGGGAACAATCCAACGCACGACGGGATTGGTCAATCAGCGTGAGCAAAAGTGCGCCTTAAAACGAACGGCGCTAAACGAACTGCCCTAAATACGCCAATCAACTCATCAATCTCTCCTCGACTCTCACCTTGGCTGCGTTGTAATACGCCACATGGCGTGCAGAGCACGCAGCTTCTCGAGAACCAGACGCTCGGGCGCACTCGACTCGGTCTGAATATCCTCGATAAACCGCGTCAGAACAAAGCGTTCAATGTACGCTTGGCCGCACACGGCCGCCAGTTCACCGCAAAGGTTCCAAGCAGAGTCGTCTGCGCGCAAATCAAAAGAAGAGTATCAGCACAGTGAGTGGGTCGAGTTTCGCCTGAAGGAAACGTTGAAAATTCACGCGTTAACCTACCGTTGTGACCCGCAGCCTTCTTGGCAGAAAGCGCCGCGATAAGACGCTTGATGGCATCGTACTCGCGAATTTCAAAGATTCGCATTTGGAATTCTGGGTTTTGCACAGAGACATGTTCGATTAGCAAAAGCCAACAGCTCACACATCTCGCTCGCTGAATATCAAAACTTCCTGACCTGCATTGCGGTGCTTGCTGCCGTTGTCAAAGGCGCTGAGGTTGACTTCCACAAAGCGCTGCGCGGAAGCGTCCCAGACAACGGGCTTGGCTGCCGAGAGTGGCACGCCGCGGGCAGTTCCCGCCATGTGTGCGAGACGGTCTGTCGGTTTGGCAAACTGCGGAATGCCGGCTTGTCCCTTCTCCATGGCACGAGCGTATTCTTTGACGAGCTGGCGGGCCACCTGGACCAAGAGAACATTGTTGTCGCCTTCAAAGGTCATAAACACGTCCGAGTCTGCCATCAGCACGGGAATGCGGTTCCAGGACGCGTATCCTTGTCCGCCGCACGCCTCTCGGCATGTGCTCAGCGCCTGGCGCATCTGCCAGCCAGACAGCGCCTTGAGACCCGAAGCAAGAATGTGAATCTCCTTCATTTGGCGAATGCGCTCATCGAAATCGGCACTGCGGTTGACCCAGAGGTTGCGGACATAGTGCGAGGTAGCGTTCATGGCATACACTCCGGCAATCTCGGGGACAAGGCGGCGCTGGTGGAGCAGGTAGTCCATGATGGGCCGCTCGGGGCTGTCGTCAGGGCTGTGGAAATTTGGGGCAAGATCCAAAAAAAGAAGGAAAAAAAAAAAGAAAAAGAGAAGGTCAACCAAAATGGTGAGGACAACACCCGTGCCATAGATACCAAACAAGGCAATGACCAAACAATCTCGCTGCCTTTACCCGAATTGACGGCGTGCGATCGAGTACAGAACAGCAATTGTCAGCCCAACTTTGGCGAGGTTGGTGCTTCCGCCAATCTACCAGATGCACAACATTCACTCGTGTCATCAACTAGCGTGTGCACACTCAAAATTTTGAGATCAAAGCACTGTACCATGGACACGCGACCGGCAACAAGCTCTGCCACCATGGCGCCAAAACGCATGTCGTTGTCCTCAATCATGGAGAGGTATTCGCCATCCTCAGTCACGTTTGCCATGCGATTGAGCATGTTCATGCGGGGAATGCGGACATTGTTAAACCAAAAGCGACCATTGTCCACGCCTGCAAGGCAAAAAAAAACCAACCAACAAAACAAAAAAATAAAGGCAACACTGTCAGAAATGCAACCACCCACCTTGCCAGTACGAGATGAGTTTCACATACCATTCAAACCCATCTTCATGCCACAGTCAGCAATCCGAATGTTGTGGGGAATCTTGCCGTTTGCATCACGCAGCGGAACAATGAACGCGTGGATACCGCGATTCACGCCGCCAATGTGCAGCTGGGCAAAGACGGTGGCAGCGTGAGCCGTCAGGGCGTTGCCAATCCAGAACTTTTGCGCAGATTCGGTCGGAGTGTTGATGATAAATTCCTGGGTTGCCTTGTCAAAGGTGGCGGTCGTCTCGAGGCCCTTCACGTTGCTACCGTGACCAAGCTCGGTCATGGCAAAGCATCCAGGGAGGCGATTGTACGCAATGTCCTTGAGATATTTCTCTGTGAAGAACAGACAACGATGAGAACAGGATGTGAGTTTTTGGAGGATTGCACAAGACTCAGAAACGTTTCTAACAGAGCAGAAAAGAAGAAAGGTCAAACCGTACCATGATGGTACTCTGTGCCGAGATTCCTGACAGATCCTCCCCAAAGGTTCTGTGCGAGGCAAAATGAACGAAAATCAGCCGAAATAGGAACATCCGTTTTCAACAACGCATGGCGATTTTGCAAGCGCGCACTGCTCCTTCCTTACCACATGGGCACCAACCCTGACAGTCAGGTTGCAGTCGTACATGTACATGCAATCGGTGCGAGCATAGACCTCCATTTGGCTCTCGGGGGTGGAGCTGTGAAAATCCAAACCGACGTTAAGCCCATTTTGTCAACTCCAACCAACCAACGTGGTGTGTGACAACGACCACTTACTTTGGATCCAGCATCTGGTAGGGATAACCGAGATCGCTCAGTCGCTGAAGACGACGCAACGTCAAATCACGGAGCTGCTTGATGCTCATGTTGTAGTCGAGCTCAAACAGGGGCTCCTTGAGGAGCTCCCACATTGCCTTGCGGGTTGCAAAGTTGTGCTTGTCTGTGTCAGAGTGTTCCATTCAAGTCAATCCAAGAGTTTCCGTTGTGTTCCCCAATTGCTTTTTTCCTCTTTTCGTCTCATTGCTCATCGCTGGTGTGATTTTGCACGTGTGTGCGGTTTCATGTTGGTTTCAATCTGAGCACCGGCAATTTGCGTTTTGGGCGATTGTTTGGCCACACCAGAGCAGCGACACAAACTTACCAACAAACTTGTTGAGCAGGTCAATGGAAACGGTCGCTGGTGTCGAGGTTTCAGAAGCAAGGGCAAAAGCAGCAAAACAAACGCAGGGGCGCCAACGGAAGTGAGATAGGGAATCAAGAGCGTTGACAGAAAAAAAAAAAGAAAAAAAAAAGCAGTTCCGAAAAATCACGTTCTTCGACCGTCGGCCGTTTGTCTTCAAGGCTGTGCCATCTGGTGAATCGCGCCGCTGGATGCGACAATGCACTGCAAAACCAGCTGTATCTACTTCCGTGCTTGTGCGTTGTTATGGAAGCGGGGAGCGGTCCTTTGCGTGGTGGCTGACGCGGATCGATCAGGGGTTGCGGGTTTGGCAGCAACCAATTTTGACCAGCCGCACAGCGCTCGAGGCAGTTTGCCGCCATGAACAAGGACAGTACAGGGTGTGCAAACTCACAGGAATTGCTGGTGGCACTAGGAGCGCTGTGGTACGTGCCGTGTGCAGTCGTGGAAGGGGCAGCGCCGGCAGCCGCCTCAGGGTGGAGTGACAGGTGGACGGCGAGTTCGTTCAGCCGCTGCATGATGATCTTGGAACAATAAAAGCGAGAGTGAGCCTCGAGAGTGTGATGGCCGGATTTGATGCTGTGGTTGGTCGAGCGTAAGTCCTTGCTTAAATCAAGGAAGCAAGGAAGTGCTGAAATGGGAGGCGTGCCTTGGTTGGGAGCTGTCGACCGAACGAGCCAAAATATTTCGATCGTTTTCCAATGCACGTCTTTTGAGGTGACCCACAGTGCGCTGTCTCGTATATGGCGCTCCTTTCACCGTGCAGGTGTGTAGAAATATTGTTTTGAAATCATTACACACTCCGTCGCGGCAGGTCAGACTTGAATCGAGTGGAGATTCACGCTGAACAATTTGACGACAGTGTTTCTCGTGTGATTCTGACGGTTGTAGAGTAGTCCATGCCCTCTGATGTGTATAAAACGCATGTCCATTACTGTGCGGTACTGTTTCTGATCGCTGCTGAGGATTGTGAGAAACCGACGGCAAAATCAACACAAACGAGAAAAATAAAAACCAGCAACTAAAAAAACTGAAATCGTCTGATCCCGGGAAAATTGGTTTTCTCAAAAACTAAGCCACGCAACGACCGTAGCACAATCACAAAGTGTCAATAACAATAAAAAATCAACACCAGAGATCCAGAGTCGCACAACAACGCCCAGAAACGGCACTTTTCAAACAGATACGCGTCGACAAAGCGATTTTCAGAATGGGCCGGCGCTCAAACTGCAGTACCACATCAACGAGGTCATCGATAGAGACAGTACTTGATGCCCAGTACTCGACTGATTGAAAGGCTAGCATCCGACAACAACAACTACATTAGCAGCACGTGTAGATCGACGCAACCTCAACAGGATAGCCAAAATCATAGTCCTGGCTCCTTCAAACCCAACCAACGACCACAAGGAAGTACCTTGACACAAAACTCATTGCAAACAACAGCAACAAGAAAAAACTAAGAAAAAAAAAAAAAAGGAAGAAGAGGCCGTCTAACACTGTAATCAAAGTATTCACAAAAAGCAACAATGAACACTCAACACAATGCCAACACCAGCCCACACGGCAACAACGTCAACTCGAACAAATCATCTCCATCCAAGTTTCAGCTGGAGTCGCAGCTGTCAACCTTGCAGAAAGCATTTAGAGCTGGCCGCAGTCAGCAATGACAACCTTGGCCTTGGTGGTGCCGGACTGGGAGCCCTGGGCTTCCATCTTGCGGACAATGTCGAGGCCCTCGACGACCGAGCCGAAGACGACGTGCTTGCCATCGAGCCAAGTGGTCTTGGAGGTGCAGATGAAGAACTGCGAGCCGTTGGTGTTGGGGCCGGCGTTGGCCATCGAGAGGATGCCGGGGCCGGTGTGCTTGAGGGTGAAGTTCTCGTCAGCGAACTTGTTGCCGTAGATGGACTTGCCACCAGTGCCGTTTCCGGCAGTGAAGTCGCCACCCTGGCACATGAAGTCGGGGATGATGCGGTGGAAGCCAGAGTTCTTGAAGCCAAAGCCCTTCTCGCCAGTGCAGAGAGCGCGGAAGTTCTCTGAAATTGCGACGGCATTTTGCAACAAGTGAGTGAGATGTGTTGTGTGATTGCAATGAGGGAGACGACAATGATTGCCACAAGCAGTAAAATATCTCGACGGTGCACGCGGCAGAACGCAAGGAGCAAAAAAAAAAAAAAGAAGACAACCACGCTGTAACTTCGATGAGAACACACAAGCGAGGACTCGTTCAACCAACCCAACCTCAGACATGGAAGGGAGATAGAGTTTATGCGCGGTTTTGTCATCAAATCACGAAAGTGTTGGCGAATCACCATTAAAAATACGAAAACTGACAAAAAAAAACCACGAAAAAGAAAAATCATCGAAAATACGATAAAAACCACATTTTCGACCAAACGCTCAATGCGCACATGCACTGACAGCGCAGAACACGTCCAGTCGGGATGGAATGGCATGGAGTCCATGTACGCAACCCAACCCAACTGTCTGCACAACAGGGGAGGAGCGCATTGAAAGAAGAAGCGCACGGAAAAAAAAAGGAAAAAAAAAGGCGATCGCTGCGTTCATGCGTTCGAATAACAGTTCATGCTCGGTGCCGTCAGACGCAACGGAAGAAGCAAGACCACAAGCAAAAGCAGCACGACACAGCCCGATCTACACAAGCGAGAACGCGACAAGCCGTCATCACAGGACGGGAGGAATGGCCGACAAGCCGTTTCAACGCGTTTCGATGTGCAACTGTTTGGATCTTCCATCCCCTCCGGCCGTGTCCAACTCGACGAGCCGGTCGCAGCGCAACACAACGACACGCAGAACGCATGCCAAACATCAACATCAGCGAGCAGACATACCAGCAGTCTTGGGGACGACATCCGAGCGAAGCTGTTCAAAAGGAAGAAGAAGTCAAAAACAAAAAAAAAAAAAAGAAAGCAGAAAAAAAAAAGCATGATTTGTCAGTGACTTTGCACACTCTGCTGGCTCACGCGAACGAACACCAGCACACAGACGTGTGGCGTACCTCGAAGATGACACGGCCAGCAGCAGCGCCGCCGATGGTGATGTCGAAGAAGACACGGGGAAGAGCCATTGTTCAAGTTGTGTTTTGAAAGTGGAGTGCGTTTTCTGCATTTTCAAAAAAAAAAAACCAAACCAAAATCCCAAAATGTAAATATGCAATTGCAACAACCGAAACGAATCACGCTTGGTTGGCAATCCATTGAAAGGTCAACTACATCGTCAATCAATACAGTTGTACAGTATTGGAAACGCCCACCTTCCGGCGTTCGATCGAGCAAGCCGGACAAGACGAAAAGCCAAGAAAGCGCCAAAAACGAACCAAAAAAGTACGCACTCAAACACCTCCTCCAACAAAGACCCGCCCAGCATGGCAGGAAAAATTCCAACACGAAACAGCCGCTACAGAGCCATCGCACAAACAACCAAGCAACAGCCATACGCCACATTGTAGTGCGATCGTGCAGCAAAAAACAAAAACAAAAGCACAAAACCAAAAAACACCTTTTTTTTTTCGAGAACAATGAAAAAACCAAAAAAAAAAAAAAAAAACCAATATAAAAAAGGGGCTCATTTTTCTTTTTCAAATTTCACCATCAATGGCGAGCACAACCGAGCGCGCTGTCGTGGACACGCCTGCCCCTGCGGCCAACCGCCTGACCATCGAAGAGGCAAGCAGCAGCCACGTCATGCACCCTATTCGTCTCTCCATTCTCATCTGCGGCACCAGCTCTGCTTCTTCTGGTTGCAATGCGCGCATCCAGCCAAACAACACACACCCAAAAAAAAAAAAAAAAAAAAAAAAAAAAAAGAAAGCGAGAGAGAAAGCCAAAAACACCGTCAAATCACTTTTGGTTTGCCTGCTGTGGCTTGTGTGGGGGAAGGAGCTGCGATCGCTTTGCCGGCTGTGACGCAGAAGCGGGCACAGGCTCGGTGCAGCCCCCTTCCCCAGCAACCTCAATCACGGCGTAGAAACGGCGAAACTGATTATTCGGATTTATTCTTATTTTGAAAACTGTTCATTTCCATGGACCCGGAGAGCTCGCCGTCGCTCGACTTGTCCATCTCCCAGGCCCCTGGTCGTCGGAAGCGAGGAGGAGCTTTTCGGCAGCAACACGGTCATGAGCGAGGCGATGGTCAAAAGCACTGCCAAGAAAGGCGAAGAACAAGGGAAAAAAAAGAAAAAGAAAAAAAAAAAAGAAGCAATAGCAGAAAAAAAAAATCCAATAAAAATAAACCAACCAACCCTCCTTCCGTTCGCCGCCGTGCCTTCCACGTCTCGTCAGGCGTGGTATGGGCTATGAGCACCGTCCCTCTGGTTGCTTGCACCATTCGTGCGCAAAGTTGAGGCGGTCGAGCCTTTCATGCCAATGAACAATCAAGACATGCGAAAAGGCGAAGCGAACAAAAAAAAAAAAAAAAAGCAAAAAAAGCAAAAAAAAAGTGTTTTGTTGTTCGAACGCAGCAATATATTGAGGATTCTATGAGCCACTCTCATGCTCGGCCAGTGTGGTCGATGGCAGAACGACGCAGCAACTCGGCAATTTGGTTGTCGCGTGATCGTGTCTGGTCGTCATGCGCGACACTCGTCGAGGTGGAGTCGAGTCAACGCGTGCTTGCCTTTTTTTTTTTTTTTTTTTTTTTTGTCTGCTTCCTTTTCACTTTTTGTTGTTGCGCGCATTGGGAAACGAGATTGGGACAACGGCATTCTGCGATACGATGACACTACGCCATCCCCACGTGCACAAGAGCCAATGGGAGAGTTCGAGATAGAGATGGAGAGACGAAAACGTTGGTTTGACTTACAGTTGATCATCTAACTTTTTTTTTTTTTTTTGGCTCTTTCCGTTATTTTTTTTTTTTTTTTTGTTTCCGAATTCGCGTTCACACACTTTGCAGGCCTACAAGGATGACAAAGTCGACTTTGAGCTGATCAAGCGCCATTTCGTCAGCGAGGGTCGATTGTCCGAGGATCTCGCTCTGCGTATTCTGCGCGAGGGCACTGCCGTTCTGCGCGCCGAGGAGACCCTTCTTAACATTGACGCACCCATCACTGGTAGGTCGATTCTTGCTCCAGCATGGTGCCAGAAGGGCGTGGCTAGCTCGGTTCCTCCTATTGCATGCCCATGAAACATACTGACGCGAATCTGATTGATGTTTGTCGGACCTTTCCAGTTTGCGGCGACATCCATGGCCAGTTCTTCGATCTCATGAAGCTGTTCGAAGTCGGCGGTCATCCAAGCACAACACGATACCTTTTCCTGGGCGACTATGTTGATCGCGGCTACTTTTCGATCGAGGTACGATGTTCTCGACGGTTTTTTCGACGGACTCCTTTTTTCTGTTCTTTTTTTTTTTCTTTTTTTTTTTTAAAAACTCGTTCTATCGGGTTTTTGATGTTCTCCCTCCACTGTTCCTGCAATCATCCGCCTTCCATCCATTCGAATTTGCTGGATGCACGGGCTTGTACTCACCTTGGACCTTGGACCTCCTTGGACCTGCCCGAACAGTGCGTCTTGTATCTTTGGGCCCTGAAAACCACCTTCAAGGACTCTCTGTTCCTCTTGCGAGGCAATCACGAGTGCCGACACCTGACAGAGTACTTTACATTCAAGCAAGAATGTACGTTTCATGCGACCCCCAAGCAACTCTCTCGCTTTTTTGCTGTTTTTCAAAAAAAAAAATGCTAACGTCTCTCTCCCCGCTCGTAGGCAAGTACAAGTACTCTGAGACCGTCTACGAAGCATGCATGGAGGCCTTTGACTGCCTACCACTGGCAGCTGTTATGAACGGACAGTTCCTTTGCGTGCATGGTGGATTGTCGCCCGAAATCAACACATTGGATGACATCCGAAAGATTGATCGAATCCGAGAGCCCCCGGCGTACGGCCCCATGTGCGATCTGCTATGGGCAGACCCCCTCGAGGACTTTGGTGAAGAGAAGGACGATGATTTCTACGTGCACAACCACGTTCGCGGCTGCTCGTTCTTTTACAGCTACCACGCAGCGTGCGCCTTCCTCGAGAAGAACAACTTGCTGTCAATTATCCGCGCACACGAGGCACAAGATGCAGGGTATCGCATGTACAAGAAGAGCACCACCACCGGCTTCCCATCGGTCATCACCATTTTCTCAGCACCCAATTACCTCGATGTCTACAACAACAAGGCTGCCGTTCTCAAATACGAAAACAACGTCATGAACATTCGTCAGTTCAACTGCTCACCGCATCCGTACTGGCTGCCCAACTTCATGGACGTCTTCACCTGGTCGTTGCCATTCGTGGGCGAGAAGGTTATTGCCATGCTCATGGCCATGCTCAATATCTGCTCCGACGAAGAGCTGGCTGATGACGACACTTCTGAGGAAGGAGGTATGTTGTTTGTCGCCACAACCGTCAGTGCTCTATTGGAGCACTCGCCCATTCGTTTCGTTTTTATTCTGTTCTCACACCCGAATTTACATTGTTGCTTCATCTATTTTTTTTCTTGTTTCAAACACAGCTGCTGAAAAGGCCGCTCGCCGAGAAGCCATCAAGAACAAGATTATGGCTGTCGGCAAGATGGCCCGTCTGTTCTCGGTTCTCCGTGAAGAGAGCGAGAGCATTCTCACCCTCAAGGGTCTCACTCCCAACCAGCAGCTGCCTCAAGGCATCTTGTCCAAGGGCAAGCAAGGCATTAAGAGTGGTGAGTTTGCTGATGCACGAGCCCACGCACACGAATAATTTCCAAGCGGCGCTTTTCCTTGTCATTTTGCTCACATTTGCTGTCTTTGTTTTTGTTGTTGTTTCTTGTCTCTAGCAATCACCACGTTCGCCGAGGCCAAGGAAGTCGATCGTGAGAACGAGCGCATGCCTCCGCGAAAGGATTCAACAGAACAAGATCTGGCTCGCAACATGTCGCGCATGAAAGTGTAAAGTGCTCGACGTGCTGCAAGGCTCTCCCTGAAATTCGCGGTGAACATTGCGCGGTGGGCTCGCCTGGGAAACCCCCCCCATTTTTTCGTCGTTTCAGTTGGCCTACTTTCATCATCTCTCTTTTTCCTTTTTTTTTTGTTGTTGTTTGAAGCCTCCTTTTTGTGTCCCTGTGAAAAGTCCTTTTTTTCGGTTTGCCTTCTACTCTTTGCCGGTCTCTGACTGTGTCTTCTCTCATCTTCGACGCCCGGCTGCGCTGCTGACTTGCTTCCATTTCTTTGGGGTTTGTCTTTTGCGTATGCATTTTTCAACTCGCCTCGTCTCCCGAGAGTCCTTTCGGGGGGCCCTCGTATTAATTTTCGTTGTTGTCTCTTGTTGTCGTCTTTCGCATGGCCCTTCATTCTGTTCCCCTTTTGCTTTACCAATTCCCTACGTGTCAGAATTGTCGGTTTTTTGTTTGTTGTGAAATGCGTTCTGCATGAAGCGCCAGTTATCCAACTTATCAGCTTTGTTTGTCTGCTATCCTGCAACGCAAAGCACATTAAAAGCATTCTTCAATGGACTGTTGGCAACAATACTTGCTGGAAGGATGGTTGTTGGGACAAACAAAAAGCAACACAAACAATCTCAAAGCAACCGGCAAAAACACACAACATTCTTCACTACTTGATCTGATCCAGCGGACGATTGAAGCCGCCTCGTCGATTCATATACTGGCGGTAACGACGGGGTTGCTTGATGGCGGCAGCACTGACATCGGCGCCTGGAACGTGCTTGCCCTTGGTTGAGCCAAACCCGCTGATGCCCATCATCCGCATCACCTCGAGATCGGGATCCTCCATCTCATCGCCATCTTCCCCACTTGCCATCATCACAGCTTCGTTGCTACCAGGAGGCGCCAAGCCGACGTTGGCATTCGATGCAACGGAATGGGATCCCTCTCCGGCACGATTGCTTGAAATCTGTGCAGCCTTTGCGCCGCCTGTGTTTTTCCCACTATCACGGGACGCGGATGCGTTCGAGACTTGCGTCGGAGGCTTTGGTGCAGCGGCAACAGCAGCAGAGGCGGCAGCAGCAGCAGCAGCATCCTCGCGTCGTCGTCGGGCCGCTGCCTGGAGTGCGCGATCGAAATCAGTTTCATCCTCGCTGTCGGAGTGAGGGCTGCGACTGCGGCTACGACCACGACTCGAGTCCCGCCGGCTGCTTCGACTTGAGCGAGAGCGACGACGGTCGTCCCCGGCGTCCGGGCTGCGGCTCCGCGAGCGGTTTCGACGGTACCCTCCATCGTCCGATCGCCCACCTGCACTTGGCCGTCCACGCGTATCTCCTCGGTAATCATCATAGCCACCACGGTCGCGATCGTCCCGTCCACCACGGTGGTCTCGCTGGTCTCGTTGGTCTCGCTGGTCTCGACGGTCGCGATCGTCGTCGTCTCGTCGGTCTGAGTTCTCAGAGCCACCACTTCGGTCGGCGCTCACTGAGCCTGGAGCAAAGTTTCCGAGTCGGTCTGGATGCACGGCTGGGCGGGGCGCTGCTGCGACAGCTGGAGGAGTCTGGTCGTCGCTCATTCGTATGTTCTGAGAGAGAAGACTGCCGTGGTTTGTTAATTTTGGTTTTCGATCACGAATAAGGACGTTTGTTATTCTTGAAAGCACACACACACACGAAACAACCGCAACAAACAAACAGGGGGCCCGATCAAGACCGAAAAAAAAAAAAAATCAACAAGACCAATCATCAACACCAACGCCAACATCAACATCCCCAACATCCAACAACAAGAACAACTACACCAAACACAAAACATCCACCTAGAAGAAACGCGCCACTCCGGCAGACTTGTAGTCAGCGCGCTGACGCACATAGGCCATGATCGTCTCACGATCGACATGCGCGAGAAGGCCCTCGGAGCAGACTTGGCGAAGATTCTCGGGCTTGACCACAAAGATGGCGCTGAGCTCGCGCAGCGTCTCAAACAGCTCAATCAGCGCTGGCAAGTTGAATTTGCGCATGCACGACTGGTACTCGGCAATGTCACGCGTCAGCACAAGTCCGCCAAGAGAATTGACGGTAAACTTTTTCAGGTGATCGAGAAGCACAGTGTGACACCGCGTGCCGAGTTCCGTCGAGATGATTTCGAGATTGCGCCCATCCAGCGCATTCACAATCAAATCACGCTGGCGGGCCATGTACTGTACCGCATGTTGGCAAGCAACAGTGCTGGGTTTGTTGAACACGGACACGTCGTTGTCGTCGGGGCGGAAGTCTGTGCGCTGTTGGTCGCGGTCGAGGATGCGCTCAAACCAAAAGCTGACGCAGTCCAGCACTCGTTCCAACCCGGTGCTAATCTTGCTTTCGAGCGTCTCCATCACGCGGTTCTTCTCATTCACACATGCCGAGTGAGCTGGGTAGGACTGGCTCACGACGGGCAGAATCACATTCCTGAAATGGCCCTGCAGCAAATGGAAGACGTAGTTGGCCGCGTGCACCACATTCACAAACTGAATGTTTGGCTCCGTGCGTGGCTCTGCGGCAGGAAGCCCAGCCAATGCAACGTCCAGCGCGTACCCAACGTGATTCACACAGAGCGCGTCCAGCAGCTTTGCAAAGATGGCCTGGGCGTTGTTGTAAATGTCAATGTTGGTTGACAGGAGATGGCACCGCTGCAGGGCATCCGCGTTCAAGTGGATGAGCGTGAGAGCGAGCTCGATCGAGAGCAAGTTATCGCTCGGGGTGGACGCCGACGCGCTCGCGGATGCGGCACTGCTTCCGAAAGGATTGGTGTCTGCGTTTGAACTCGACGGGGATAGGGTGGTCGCGATCGAGTTGATGAACGGGTTATTGATCGTGAGGTCTCCGATGAGTTGGGCACCAGCCTGCAGCTTGTCCTTGAACTCGCGTGCCTTTTCGAGCAGACCCTTTGTGGATGCTGGCCAAGATTCAAAATACAAAACAAAACAAAAACAAAAAATAACGCCAAACAACAACCCACACAAGTCCGTTAGCTCAAACGTCACCAACCTCCCACCCCTCAACCAACCAACGGCAGCAACCACAACGCTGCTCCTACCTGCATCACGACGGTTGTGATGAATCGACTCGTAGAACTGCTGCAACAGTGACGTGTACTTGATCTCCAATGCTAGTTCTTCGAAGCGGACATAGTCGCTCAAGTAGGATTGGAAAACCGAATCAACCAGAGTCGGCAGATCAGCGCCAAAGTTGGCTGCAGTGAGCTTGCGCACCATTTCTTGCGTCAGCTGGAAGAGGCGGTACAGCCGGGCGAGATAGTTTGTGTAGTCCTTGGTGATGGCAGCCTTCAGCTCGGTTTCGACGAGGCTCGACAGTCGCTGCTCGAAAATGCGAGCAACAAACTTGGCCATGATGCTCTCGGGATTCCGGAAGACAGTCTGGATGAGCTCGCCCTCCTTGATGCACTCGGTGACCATGTCGTCGAAAATTTCCACGTCCGACAGCATGACACCCTTGGCAGTCGTGAAATCAGCACCCGTCCCCTTGAAGAACCGATGCAAGTTGATAAAGGTCTCGACACACAGGTTGTAGTTTCGGAAGGAATACAGCGTGTTGGCCAGTTGTTTCATTTCCTCGACATCGCCCGAGCCGCGCGCTTGGGCAAAGCGTTCGTGGAGCTTGGCCTCAATGGAGCTGTAGGTGAGGGCAATGCGTTCCTTCGCAAGTCCAAACCGGTCGCTCAGACTCAGTTCCTGCGCCAAAAAGTCGAGCTTTTGCACCAACGCGGCGGCCTGGTGGATGTTGGTGGTCTCGGCAAAGAACATGGCCGTGATGCGAGCGTGCCATTGCCGGATGTTTGCAGCATCGTCGTTCAGATGCGGCATGCCAGCGAACAGACCCAAAGCTGCTCCAGTGGGAGCGGCGTCGTCTCCTTCGGCAGACGCGGCCGCTGCAGCAGCCATTGCCGCGGCCGCAGCTGTGTCGGCGGCCGCCTGAGCAGCGCCCTGGTCTGCCTTCTTGGTGTCGTTCTCGTCGCCACTATCATCCGAATTGAGCTCTGTTGTCGAAACAGCGCCCTTCCCCGTATCCAGCTGCCGTCTCGTTCCGCGACCCTTGTGCTGCGGCAGAGTGCTAATTTGGCCAGGCAAGTCGAGCGCCGAGAAAATGTTCATCAACTCTTGCGCCTCCTGAGCGCGCGTTCGCTTGACATTGGCCGTTTCCAGCCGGTTGCCGAGATGGACTGCTTTGGCGGCAATGTTTTGTATCCGGTCGTCCAGATCAAAGAAGCCCGTCACCACAATCTGATATCCTTGGTTGAGCTTGGCTGTCTCTGCACGGTACCTTCGTTCTGCTTCTTGACACGAGGACTCCATCCTGGTTATCGTCGCATAGTTTGAGTGAGTGAATCAAGCATAGTTTGAGCGAGTGAATCACCAGGTGGAGGAAATGGATACCAACCAAAATTTTTCCAAACTAAACACCGAAACCAAGCTCCATCTCCACCGACGACGTACCTGGTAATCTTGTCTTCAACCCACGTGCCAAGCGCGCCGAGTGTGCTGATGCCGTCCTTGAACAGCTGAAGCAAGGGCTGCGGATCAAAATCGCCCACTGAATTGGCATTGCCGCCGAGTTCCGCCAGAGCAGCAGCCTCCTTCTCGCGCTCACGATCGCGCCCGGCGGACAAAGCAGAGGACGTCGATACACCTGTCACGGAAGCGTGCCCGTCGCTGGCGTGATCGGCGCGACTCGCACGCTCCTTGTCCTTGTCTTTGCGCAGCTTTGCGAGTGCCGATGCTCCTGCTCCTGCTCCTGCTCCTGCTCCTGCCGCCTTGCCGTCTGTCGCAGTGCTCGTAGTGCTCGTAGTGCTCGTAGTAGAAGCGCTTCCTGGAGCCGTGGTGGCAGGTGACCCTCGGGCGCCAGTCGCTGCTGCCTTCGCTCCTCGTTGTTTGTTGAGCGCCTTCTTGGCCAGCTGCTCGACAAAGTCCCGAGCGACGAACGGGTCCTACTCCAGACAAGGCAATCGTCAATCGTCCCATCAGCAATCGAGAAGCCCACAGAACATGGCAAAGAACACTCAACCAAATGGAAGCAGCAATCCGATTTACAAAACAAAAGCAAAAAAGAACGTTATTGCCAAACTTCATTGAATAGAGACCATGACCACCTTTTGCTCAGCCTCTTAGTCTCAATGAGTTTCAGATTCTTAGTCTCAATGAGTCTCAGTCAGTCTCAGTCTCCATGAGTCTCAGTCAGTCTCAGTCTTTTTTTTCTTGCCAACAATCAACCTTCTCCACCACCCCGACTTTTTGCATCATGAGCTCAGAGTTGGCGGACGAGGTTCTCGCGCAGTTGCTGTCGATGGGCTACGACATGGATCGTGCGACGAACGCAGTGGTGCACCACCATCGACTGACTGTGCAAGACGCGATCGACTTGTAAGAACATGACTGTTTGCATCATTGTCAAAATCTGAATGAAAGCGCTGACCTTTTTCGTTTTTTGGTTTGTTGCTTTTGAAACATGCATGTTACACCTTCGATTCTTGTTGTCTTGTTCTTTGATGGGTTTGAATTGATTGCATCGGTCGGTCAATCTCAGCATGGAGCAGGGCGAAGACGCGCGCGACGTTCAGTTTGACTCTCAGCAGCCAGTCTTGCGCCTCGACCGTCGCGACCCGCTTGTCGCCGCCGTCCAGGCCGAGCAAGCAATGCACGCTCGCAATAGCGCAACCTGGCAGAACGCTGGCCACACTGCCCGCGCACACGATGAGGAGGATGAGGATGATGATGCGGCTGCTGATGGCGGGCTGTCTGCGTTCAACTTGCCAATCGAGCCCTCTGCAGTGCCAATGGACACTTCTACTGCTCCAGCGCCACAGACGAATACCCCTGCACCCGTAAGGACGTTTGCAGGTTTTGGTGGAGGCGAAGATGGGAGGGTGAGGGGGAGGGGAATACGTTTAACGTTTGCAAGGTTTGCATCCGTCATCATTGCAACCTTGCTTACATTGGGAGTGTCTGCTAGATTGCCAGCCGTTTCGATCGCGAAAGTCAAGCCGGGTATGCCTCACGAGAAAGCATCCGGTTTGCTGAAGAGCGTCGCCGAGCCCGTGAATTTGCAGAGGCGGTGAGTGGATTGATTCGTCCCGTTGTTGTTTCGCAGTTGATTGATTTTCAATGCTCAACTCGGCTGCCCAAAATTACTCTTGTCAGACTCGTCGCCAAATTCACGATGCAGCCTTGGCAGACCGTTTGGAGCGTGAAAGAAAAGTTGCCGCAAAGGTACGATTTTGCAGTTTCAAGCTGACACGCACTTTTTTGTTGTTTCCCCGGTCTAACTCTCTTTGAAACGCAGACTTCCGCGGCACCCACAAGCGTAGCAACAACTTCTAATGCTCCCTCCCAACCCGCCGCTGCTGCTGCATCCGCTGCATCCGGGGCTTCTCTGCAGGTATTGCAGTTGTGTTTAAACGTCTGCCTTGTTTGCTTTTTGCTCTTGTCCGATGACTGACTTGGTGTGGGTGCTCATCAGATCCGTCTGCCAAACAACGCGACGTTTCGCCATCAGTTTCCTGCCAGTGCAACCATGAGCGACGTTGTGGCATATCTTTCAGAACAGCTCGGCAGCTTTTCCTTTGCAACTCATGCGTTGCTCCAGGCGTATCCCGCGCGTACCTTTACCACGAACGACCTCAGTGCCACTGTCCAAGAGCTCAAGTTGTGTCCCTCAGCAGCTCTGACGGTTCGGCCGCTCCCTCATCACGTTGCTGCAACTCTGGCGAGTCCTGATGCGACGACGACCGCTCCCCCCGTTGACGAAGCGCAGCCTCAAAGTCCCGGTGTCGACGCGCAACCCGAGGCTGCATCAGCAGTGGTGGCCAACCCGCCACAGCACCGAGCAGCACCCCGCACTGGCATTCCGTCGTCTTCGGCTCTCCTCGCTCGCTTTGCGGCTGGTGTTGCTGCGGTGTCACCGGACAATGTTCCCGAGCAGCTTGCTCCTTCTACTGATGCCAGAGAGACTGTGGCACAGCCTCCAGAACCAGAAGACCACCGCAGCCGCAATGTCCGGGCAGCCAGATTGCAGCGCTATGCCCAACCGACTTCCCCGACCCCGACCCCCGGCAGCGTTTCGACTCCACACATCGAGCCGACCAATCCGTTCCCGCCTGGAACTGTGCTTTCCCCATTCCTGCGCAGCTGGATGCCTGGCTCGGGTGGTCCCAGTACGAGTACGTACTCTGTTGATGTTTTGGTCGAATTGATCATCTGTTGCTTCCTCCTGCTTTTTGTTTTGTTTTGTTTGACTTGTACCGTGTCTCTTCTCGCATCAGCCACCAGCCCCAAGTTGACCAACATCCCTTCCCTGGCCGAGTTGGCGCTTCGAGCAGTCGCTAAACTTGTTGTTGCTGGCAGACACAAGCTTCGCTCTCTTGATGGACTCTCGCAAGAGGTGGGCATGCAGCTGATGGCGCAGCTCGTGCGAGACAAGCAACTGTCGGACAAGAACATGGGCGTCTTTTTGCCGTGGTATGGGATTCGAGGGCGGGGCGCGATTTGGATGGAAGGGAGTGTGGTTGATTGCCTGGATGCACAATTCTAAACCCGTTCGACTCTGGAACAGCCATCTCCAAGTCATCCGACTGGACGCTTACCCATACGTGACAAACGAGCTCTTGTGTGCCATGCGTTTCTTTTCGCTACTTCAAGAGCTGTCCATCCGATCAGCCGAGTTTGTCACGCACGTCGGCATCAATCACATTGCAGGTGAGGGTCACAAGCCATTTTCATCCAAATAGTTTGAATCGTCGTGTTCGAATTGTCGTGTTTTTGAGTGCGCACTGATTGCTGTACCTGTTGTTCACCGATTGCCGTTCGCTCCAAAAGGCTTGAACAACCTTCGCGTTCTTGATCTCGGCATCACGCGTTTGAATGATCAAGCCATGCCAACCATTTCGCGTGAGACATTATTGCCGTTGTTGCTTTTGATGTTTCAAGTCGTAGGCAGTTCCGGATTGCTTACCATTTGGTGTATTTGTTGTTGTTGTTTGCTGGTTCTGTTCACGAAGAGCTGCCGCTTACCGTTCTGAACCTCGAGCGCACCCTCATCACTGATTCGGGATTGGCTCGACTGGCCCCGCTCGGCGCCACCCTGCAGCATCTCGACATTAGCGACTGCAGCAAGCTGACTGAACGCGGACTGGCCTTGCTTGCAGGTGCGTCGTCTTGAGCGTTGCAAAATGCACGGCCCTTCACTCTGACTCGAAACGTATCCACTCAATGACTCGGTGTTTTTTGATACAGCATTCCCGCAGTTGCGAACTCTGGCGATTGCTGGACTGCCGTTGACCGATGTTGGCCGCCTGAGCAATTTCCCAGAACTGCGCTCGTTGAATTTGGCCCGTACAGCCATCGTGGAGGGCAAGCTGGATAGTATTCGTCGCTACATTCATCTGGTTCATCTGTCGCTGGCCAACACAAAGCTTGGCGACAACGACGTTCGCTATCTCCAGTGTAAGCGAGACAGCGGATTTTGTGTTTTGGTTTTTGCGGTTTGTTGTTGACCACCAATTGCCGCTTACCACGCAACTCCTCCCTCACCTCAGATCTGACCAATCTCAGCAGTCTGAAACTTCCGTCCCGCTTCCAAATTGGAAACAGTTCAATTGCTCACATTTCCAGTCAGTATCTGTTTATTCAGGTGCTTGTGTCGTCAGTGTCCCACCCCCGCTCATTCCATAACCGATATCGTGTTGACAGAGCTCCCGCTGACCGAGCTGGACCTCACCGACTACATCCATGTGACGGACGAAGGCATTCAGTTCATTTCTGCGCTCGCCCCAACGTCCGTATTGCTTCGTTTCGTTTTGGAAAAAAAAAATGCTGGTTTCTACGCCGTGATTGACTGTGTTGTGGATCTGCTCCTTGACAGACTGGTCTCGCTATCCCTGTCTAACACCAAGCTCACGAGTGCTGGCATTCCTGCGGTGGCAGGTTTGTCCCAAACGCGTTTTGCGGCGGTCTGGCGGTTTGGTTGCAAAAACTCGAGGACTCACATTTCTTCTTTTGATAGCGTGCACCAAGCTGGAAGTCCTTCAGCTCGACCGCACACCGCTCAAGGATGATGTGATTCCTCTGTTGGCACCTCTGACTCGCCTCCGGACGCTGAGTCTCTCGCGTACACATCTCACCAGTGCTGTTGTGCGCTCTGGGGCATTTTCGCCGTTCACTCGTCTGGAGTCGCTCAACCTCAGCTGGACCTTTATCGAGAATCAAGGTTGGTTTCTTGCTTGTCGATGGCGACAGTGATTTTTTTTTTTTTTTTTTTTTTTTTTTTGCTGATCAAATGTCTGTTTGTTGGGTTGTTTTGTGTTGATTTGTTTTTGTTGCTGGAGTAGGACTGGACCAACTCCGCTTGCCAATGCTCACTACTCTGAATCTCGACTCGACGCGTGTGACGGCCAACGTGCCGTTGATGCTCACTCAGCTCCCGGCGCTGACAACAGTGCGCATGGTCGGGATTGTTTCCGAAGAGGACACGGCGTTTGAAATGGAGCGACAACGTCGCATGGCTGCTCATGCTGCACTGATGCTTCATGATGCAAACCGCTTTGATGCTGACCACGACGGACGAGACCATGACGACAACGAGGATGACCATCAGGGCGATGGCGATGGCGACGGTGACGGCGACGACGATCATGACCATGACGGCGATGACGATGCAGACAATCCGTTCGACCGACCATTCCGAGGACAGCATGGCGGATTCCCAGGAGGATTCCCGGGACAGCACGGTCGTCGTAGACCGGGTGACCGCGGCGCGAATATCGCAGGTTTTGGTTTCCAGCAAGCCAATCCTGAGCCGCGGGCGTTCCAGGGAAATGGACGCGTTTTGGGTGGACGATGATGAGCTGTGCCTTGTGCAACGGTGGGCGGAACAAGCCCCCCCCCCAAGCCGTTCACACATGCCATCATAATTTGTAGAAATCATGTTGTAAAATGCAAACACACACAAACGGCTCGTTTTGTACACAGACCAAACACACACGTATATCATCATGCGAGGAAGGCGCGCATCACTTCTTCTTCTTGTTCTTCTTGTTGTTTGTGTTTCCGCCTGCGCTGGCATTTGCGGGAGGAGTGGCGCTGGCGCTTGATGTTGTGGCTGTTGGCACGAATTGCGCAAAGATTGCCGCATCGTCGGTCGGCGGCAGCGTGCGGTTGGGGATTTTGTTTATTTGCAGAGCAATGTACTTGAGAAGGGTTTGACCTGTGTGAGTGGGTTTTCGGGAGCAGACACATAGGGGAGGAGGAAGGGTGAAGAACGAGAGCGAGATGAGCGAAAAAGACCAAATTGCGGCGATTCCTGCCCAAAATCACCACAACACTTTGCAAACTGGCAATCAACACTGCAGTCAACGAATGAGTGCGCCACACAACTCACGATTGGGAATGCCCGAGTTGAGCGGCTTCTTGTTGGCGTCAAAGAGTTGGACACGAACGCGACCGCGCTGCATAAAGTCGCGAGGATAGGCCTTCTCCCACTGCAACAAACCAAAGGCAGCCAAAACCAAGTGAGGTTTTTTTTCTTTTTGGTTTCGAACACAGTGTACACTATGGCGGGCAGAGGACACAGCGAGATCTCTGCATTGCTCGTCATGGCGGCAAGCGGGAGGAGCGCTGTCTGTCTCTTTTCTCACCTCCAGAATGCACTCGAGTTTGAGGTTTGCCTTGACGACGAGGGCAACCTCCTGTGCCGTGGGGCTGTCGCAGCAGTAGCCAACGCCGAGTCGTCGGCCTTGCTCGAGAGTCTTGCGCGAGTTGATGTAGATTGGGTAAACGACGACCCAGCTGTGGAGCGCACAGAGCAACAAACGAGCAAACAAAGCAACGACTTGTCAGCAATGGCAGCAGCACTTTACAACGAATAAGGACGAGCGCAGGGAAAGGGGGGAAGAGGGAAAGGGGGAAGAGGGAAGAGGGGTAGAAGAAGCCGCCCATTGCCCATTGCCACTTGCGAAGGGTGTCCGGCTGTCTGAGGTGACTGAGGGAATTGCACAACTCGCAAGTGCAAGCGGCCGTGGTGGTGATGGTAGTGGTGGTGGAAGGAGAACGAGAAAGGAGATGAGAAGGGTCATGTTACCGAGCCACGTTGGTCGGGTCAGTTGTGAGATGCGCCATTGCAAAAAGAAACAGAGACTGGCAGTAGTGAAGCTGAGCATTGCAAAATTTCCTAAACATTCGGAAAAACTCGATGAAGCCGAGTGATTCGACTGTCTTGAGGGTGGAGAGAAATGTAGCCCTTTCCCTTTGCTGCTTTGGTTATTGGAAACAATCCGCACGACGCTTCAACCGTCGCGTTGTACTGTACTCCCCTGTTGTTTACTGCTCTGTACAATGCAAAGTGCACAGGTCTCCACCATTCCATGCTGGCTCTGCATCCAGTTCGTTCTCACCCATTCTTCATTTCTTTGGGCCTTTTTCGCTTAGGATTCTCACTATGGCGCATCAGACGGCGTCTGCGAGTGCCTCTCCGCTGCCGCCGCCGCCCCAAGTCGCACGCTCGCTGCCAATGGAGATCAACTGGAAGGACCTTGACTTTGCGCGCTACACTGTCATCGGCTCGACGCTCCTGCTCGGAGTCCGCACATGTGAGGCCACCTGATCTTCCGCGCGACTCACTTCTGCGCTGCCTCTCTCACTCGCTCACTGTCGACTGGTTGCCCCATCATCCCACTCGCACATGTTGCACCTGTGCTTTTGCTCACCGAACGACGCACTCACCGAACGACGCTCTACGCTACGCTACAGTGGTCTATCCGCTGGCTCTGGCGAAAACACGGCTCCAAGTCCAGCGGTCGCATCCCGCGCCAACCGCACCGGGCGCAACCCCGCCCGTCGTCTATCGAAATGTCTTCCACGTCTGGTCCGGCATTGCACGAGCAGAAGGCCTGCGCGGTCTCTATCGAGGTACGTCCGTTTTTTTTTTTTCGTGGTTTTGTTGCGGTTCCACGCTTAGCCCGGACAGCCCCCTCCGACAAAGAAGCGCTTCGCTTTGCTTGTTCCTCTCGTGAATGAGGAACCGGAGCTGAAAAGAAGGAAGAAGCACTCTGCTTGGACTTGCCACAACTCGAATGAAGCGAACACACACACACACACACACACAGCTCACCAAACCAAAGCTCTGGTGCTGACTCACACGTTTTCAGGTTTCGATTGTTCGGCTGGCTCACTTTTTCGCACTTTTCGGCTGCACTTTCAGGCTTTATGACCACGGTCGTCGGCATCACTCCCGCACAAGCCATCTACCTCACTTCCTATGAATATGTCAAGTCGCACGCTCAAAGGTTTGAGCGCCCAGAGTGGTCGCAGGACAAAAAGACGCTGCACCAAAACTTGATTGCAGGCTTCTTGTCGTCCGTCTGCTCCCAGGTCATTATCGTGCCCATCGACGTCATTGTACAGCGCCAAATGGTCCAAGGGACCCAGAGCGCCGCCGGCACTGCCGTCGAGGCTGCGCGTGGTGGCTACGCCGAGTTTCGACACATTCTCGCAACCCAGGGCGTTCGGGGTCTGTACCGGGGCCTGCACCTGTCCTTAATGTTGTATCCACCGTCCTCGGCCATCTGGTGGGCCACCTACGGCGCCACCAAGCAAGGGTTGCACGATCTCAAGGACGCCTGGTTTGGCTCAGACTCTGCCGATGCTAACGATATTGGGCGCCATGCTCAAGGATTTGCCATTCAAACGGTCGCTGGCTTGTTTGCCGGCTTCACCTCGGGATGTATCACCACCCCGCTTGACGTGATTAAAACACGCTACCAGCTGGCGTCGCGAGGAAACGGCGCAGCGCCCACTGTAGCGGGAACAATCCGGACACTATTACAGGAGGATGGCATGGCCGGCTTCACCAAGGGTATGACTGCAAGGGTGATGCACATGGCCATTCCTTCCGTTCTGATGATTTCCGTCTACGAGCTGACCAAGCGGTTGAGCGTTGTCGATGCCGCCGTGCAATAGCGCTTGTGTTTGCTGCATGGTCGTCGCTTTTGTTTTTTTTTGTTCTCTGTGCACAATTCCCATCATCATCATTTAATACATTACAGTTTGGTCTTGTTCGTCCCATCAAACGAGTGCTGTGTCAACACTGGCGAGCTTTTCAATTCACAGTGGTCCCATTCATCCCCTTCTTTGTTCGTATTTTCTCTACCCACCTCTTTTCAGGTGCTCTTTATTGTTGTTGTTTTTGTGTTTGGTCATTTAATTTCCTCCATCACTCAGTCATCATAATCTTATTCACAGTCATCAATCCATCATCATGGGTCGCGACTTTTACCGCATCCTCGGTGTTCCGAAAGACGTCTCGGACGACGATCTGAAGAAAGCGTGAGTGAAGCCCCCCCATTTTCCAACATCCCCCAGTTCCCCACATCCAGATCCAACTGCAAACTCATAGGCTCCTCACTCGGAGGGGGGGGGGAGGTTGGAGATTGGATTGGACTTGGCTGCTCGTGCTAAGGGGACAGCAAAAAGCTTCCAGAACCATCTCTCCACAGTCAAGTCAGTCAAGTCAGTCAGTCAGGGCTCAGGGCACGAGTCCGCGCTCATTGTGTTCCCTTCTGCTGACCAAACAAGCTCAGCATTCAGCATTCAGCATTCAGCATTTGACTTTACAGAAACGAAGCGAAACGAAGCGAAACGAAGCGAACGGGAAAAAAAAAAAAAAAAAAAAAATAAAAGTTGGCTTTGATTTTTTTGGCTGCATTTTCCGCGTGGTTGAAAGTCTGATCACCGAAATCCCAAACAACAACAATAACAACGACAACGACAACGACAACGACCCAAAACGTTGCTTGCATTGGAATCACAAACCACTCCCTCCCATTGGCTCAGCGGGGACGGGTGGCGAGAGCGGGGCCAGCAGCCATCACGTTGCCACTCTCCACTCTCTCTCCTCGAACTACAATCCTCATACGTGCGCGCTGTTGTCTGGTTTCAATGTAGGTACCGCAAGCTTGCGCTCAAGTACCATCCCGACAAGAACAAGGAGAAGGGCGCAGAGGAGCGCTTCAAGGAAATCGCAGAGGCCTACGAGGTCTTGTCAGACGGTAACGTTCTCCGATGATGTTGAGGATGGTCAGCTCACAGTCGAACTCACTCGTGCTCGCTTGGCGAGAACAGCCGACAAGAAGGCTGCTTACGATCGATATGGCGAAGATGGCCTGAAGGCTGGTGCCGGTGGCTCGTCGGGTACGTCGTGGACACGGTTTGTCACAGTGATGCTCCTTGGAAGCTGGTGCTCACCTCCTCGCCTTTTTCTTGCTCAAAACACACACAGGCCACACCGATCCCAATGATGTTTTCCGCCAATTCTTTTCAGGTGGCCGTGGCGGCGGCGGCGGCATTGACTTGAGCGGTACGGCCGTTGTTGATCTCGTCCACCGGAGTGTCTGCTTTTGCGAAGTTATCCGGTCTCTTACTAGTTGTGCTTCCTTTCAGACCTTTTCGGCATGGGCGGCATGGGCGGTATGGGCGGCATGGGCGGCATGGGCGGCATGGGCATGGGCGGTGGCCATCGGTCGGCCCGTCATCCCGGCGGCCATGGTCACGGCTTTGGCGGACAACACTCGCACTACCAAGCGAACGATTCGGATGAAGAAGAAGCACCCCTTGAGCAAGATCCGGCCATCGAGCGCGATTTGCCAGTCTCGCTGGAAGACTTGTTTTCCGGCTGCACAAAGAAGATGAAAATCTCGCGCAAAGTGTATCAGAACCAGTACAATTATTCGACGGATGAGAAGGTGCTTACAATCGACATTCGTCGAGGCTGGAAGAGTGGCACCAAGATCCGCTTCCCCAAGGAGGGTGACAAGAAGCCCACGTCCATTCCCGGTACCGCGCGATTTATTTGGTTTTGTTTTGGGGTCTGAGGCGATTCGGTTGGCAGAAAAAAGAATGGTACATCTCACCCATTTTCCTTTGTTTCTTTTCCTTGCATTCCTGCAGCCGATATTGTCTTTATTGTCAAAGAAAAGCCTCACAGCCGGTTTTCGCGAGAGGGCGACAACTTGATCTACACCCACAACATTACGCTGCTCCAGGCGCTCGAGGGTAATGTTCAAGTGCAACTCCAATCCATTGACGACAAGCCACTTCAAGCTGTGCAGCGCGATCCCGTCAAGTATGTTTGAGTCGTGGTGGCGAGACCTTTTTTCGTGTTGCTGTTGCAGATCTTCAGATTGGGGCTAACTGCTGCTTTGCGGATGTTTGTGTTGTTGTAAAACACAGCCCAACAACCGAGCTGCGTATTCCTAACGAAGGCATGCCGCAATCCAAGCAGCCGACAACGCGTGGTGACTTGATTGTTCGGTTTGCCATTTCATTCCCCACTCAGCGACTATCGCCCGAGCAGCTCGCCTTGTTGCGCAGCGCACTAGCTCAATAAGCATCTTTGGAAAAGTTCCCTCCGCGAAGCAGGGGCGTGTTCTCAAACTGCCCTTTTTCTCTCATTGCGTTTTGATGGATGAAATTATCATGAATTCAATATACTTTTGCTTTGGTTGCTGACAAGACCGTGATCGACGGTCCTCGGCCATTTGTGTGTTTTCAGTCTTCTTCTCCCAATACCTCGTTCTTATTTTCTGCATGCAGTCCGCGACCTCCAACTCGGTCGAGTGGAGCGCGTCGCAGGCTCCCGCGAGAACAGCGACCATCTGCGGTGAGTTTGCCCTTGCCTCCGCTGCTCACACCTTCCCAATCCACGCCCAAGCATCCTTGTTGCTCTCCTCGTTCTGCCCAGTCAGAGGAGGCGGAGAGGGGGGGGGCGGCGAAGATGGGACGCTGGGCCGGTCGTCGCGATGGATTGATTAAAGACAGTGTGGGGTTTTGAAATTCCCAGGCGCCTCGCTTGCCTGCCGTCGCTGAGGAGAGGTACAGACCCAGCGTCAGGTGACGAAGGCCCACTTTGTGCTCATTGGCCACTCGAGTCGCCAGTCAGTCCGAGTCCGAGTCCCATCGAAGGGGCTTTGGTTTTGAATCCAATCCAAAAACACGATCATTCATGCATTGCCATTTTGAATGGCAGCTTCATCCTCAACCCTTGCAACGAGCTCACTTTTGTGCATTCTGGCGTTTTCTGTGATGATGGTAAACCAACCAAACAAAAAAACAAACAAACAGTGCGGCAAGGGCGTGATTTGAAGCCAACCGACCTCAATGGACTCGCCGACCCGTACTGCAAGGTTTGGATGCAATTTTGGGATGCTGGCACACCTCGTCTGAGCTCACTTTTTCAAACACGAATCAACATTGCATTGTTTAAAAAACCCCCGTGAATGGGATTGCTACATTCATGCTCCACTTTTGTGCAACAGATTGTCGTGCACGGTCCAGAGTCGCGGTCGAAAAAAGTCCAACACAAGACGACAGTTCGTCCAGAAACGCTCAGCCCAACGTGGGCAGAAAGCTTCGAAGTGCCATTGGAGGAGCATGATCCGTACATTGTCATTGAGGTCTGGGATCGAGACCAGTTCAATCAGGTAACATCAGAACAAAGGTCTTGCGCACTTTTTTTTTTTGTTTTTTTTTTTTTGGTTGAGAGCTCTTGGTGCTCACTACTGCGATGCTGCTCGTGTGGTGCATGCCTTCTCGCTAGGACGACTTTATGGGTCGTATTATGCTGCCTGTGCGGCTGTTGTCCGACACTCCCACGTTGAACTGGTACCCGTTGTGCCGCGCTACTCCGAAAGATATTGTAAAGGGTGAGATTGAGCTGGAAATCAGCATCAACCCGCCAATCGACACTTTCGAACAGTCCTCGCTTCATGCGGAGCTGTTTGAGATGTGCCGCTACAAGGGCCTGAATGTCATGGTGCTCTGCCACGACTTGAGTGACCATGCTCGGAGCAACACGAGCACGCTAGATGGTCGGGTCTTTACGCCATCCTTGTCACCACGCTCTCAGAATGCGATAACGCGAGCGGTGTTTGAAATACCCGGACCGGCCGAAACCATCGAGCTTGCGGTGCCCGACGTCCTCATTGATGTTGGAGGGGCACGAACAGCGGGGCGAGTGTTTCTGACCAACTTTCGGCTTGTGCTCGTGAGCGAGCGAGATGCGGCGGCCGCTGCGCAATTGTCGTCTCAGGCAACTGGCCCCTCACGACAGCCAGCCGGTAATACAAGCACCAACCCACCCACTTCGAGTGCCAGCGACGCAGCAGGACCCCCATTCACTGCTGCTTCGACTGGAGACCTTCTTGGTGTCGGCCGCTCGCCAAGTCTCCGCCAGTCACCATCGATCGGCTCGCTCGCAGCGCGCCAGTACTACTCACAGGGACCATCTGGCTTGCAGCTTTTGTCTGCCGGTGTTCTGGCTCTTGAAGGCGGCGATTTCTCAATGTCCATTCCATTTGGCGTCATCACGGAGGTGTCCAAGGGAAATCCAGAGCAGGTGCGACGACAGCAGACAGCCGGCACCGTCGACGGATTCAAGATTGATGCCAAATCGCTAACGATTCGGTGTTCCGATTTCCGCAACATTCGCATCATTTGCCATTCGGACGCGTCCATCCTGAACTTTAACGCGCTGAAACGACGCCTGCAGCACCATCACGCGAACGCTGCCGATCATCCTGTTGCCTACGATTTCGTCAAGGCCTATCCTACCCTGACACGCGGCTGGATGTACCGTCCTTCGACCGATTCCGTTTCTGCCAGGTCGGCCACCTTGCAACAGCAGCCTTCTGCTGGCGCCACCCCATCACCCCAGTCCGCAGATCCCGCCTCGACGAGCGCCGCTGCTCCGAGTGCTGATGCAGGCGGCACCGCCCAAGCTCCCTCCAATGCCGATGGAGAGTCATCCAAGCTCATGTATTCGTTGAGCATTAACGACCTTGATCTCGTCGGTAGCGAGCCGGATCTCGTTTTCCAGAGCCCCACTCCTTCACCTCATCCGTCGCAGCAAGCGGACGCCCTCGTTCCTTTGCCCGCCATTTCTGAGCGTCGCAAAGCTCAGCTGATACTCGACATGCCGAACGCTGCCCTGCCGCCTCAAACGCTCAATGCTGCGACTCGACCCCAGCTCTCCCTGGTGCAGCAGCCAGCGACTTCGGCATCGCCCGCTCCAAGACAGGAAATCTGGCCAGAACCCATCGCGCAAGCCGTCATCCCGGCACGTGTGCAGTCGCCCCCGTCTGGCGAGACGCCAGGGAGTCGCACGCCAGTCGAGTTTACTCCGTTCGTGCCCGTGCGGTCGTTTGACATGAGCTCTGAGATGCGACGACAGGGCGTCCTGCCCGACAAGTGGAAGCTGTCCACGATCAATGACCTCTACAAGCTCTGCTCGTCGTACCCCGACGAGTTCTTTGTGCCCGCAGAGATTGATGACGACATTTTGATTGAATCCGCTGCGTTCCGATCCCGCGGACGCCTGCCGGTGCTGACCTGGTACAACGCCCGCAAGGGCAACGTTATTGTCCGGTCTGCGCAGCCGCTGGTTGGCGCCACCAACAAATACTCGACTGCAGACGAGCGTCTCATTGAAACGATCCGATGCCTCGGGTCCCCTCAAAAGCATCTCGTCATCTTTGATGCGCGCTCAATCATGGCCGCCGGCGGCAACAAGCTCAAAGGAAAGGGCACCGAAGACACGGCTGGTCGGTACACCAACTGCAAAATCCTCTTTCTCGACATTGGCAACATTCACGCAATGCGGGACAGCTTTGATGCCCTCGCTGCCATGTGCGAGAGCGCCCCAGATGCCAGCTGGCTTTCCGCACTCGAGTCGACGCAGTGGCTATCGCACCTGCGTTCGTTGCTTTCCGCCGCTGTGACAATTTCGCGCTACGTCGACGACCGTGGCATGTCTGTTCTTGTCCATTGCTCGGATGGCTGGGATCGCACTGCACAGCTCACGACGCTGGCGCAATTGCTTCTGGATCCCTTTTACCGAACCTTCCTCGGCTTTCCAGTGCTGATCATGAAGGATTGGCTTGCGTTTGGCCACAAATTCCGCGAGCGTCTCGGCACGCATGATTCTCCGAACGAACGCAGCCCGATCTTTTTGCAGTTTCTCGACTGCGTTTGGCAGATTCAGCAGCAGTTTCCGAGCGCCTTTGAGTTCAGTGGCGAGTATCTACGTCGCATTGCCGAGCACCACAACTCAAAGTGGTTTGGCACGTTCTTGCACAGCACCGACAAGGACCGTCGGCTGAATCAGGCCGCGACTTCAACCGTGTCCATTTGGGCCTATCTCGATGCATCTCGCACCGAGCTCCGCAATCCCCACTACGAGTGCACCAATCAGGTTAACTTAAGAAGACGAGCGCAAACTCTGAAAAAACAATTCGAAAAAAACAAAGAACAAAAAGGAAGAAGAAACACAACGCTTCATTCGACGCATGCTCACTCATTCGTTGTCTTTCATGCAGGTGTTGTGCCCGAAAACGAGCGTCAAATCTTTGCGTTTATGGAGCCAGTACTTTTTGCGCTTTGACGAGCTGTCTCGCCTCGCAAAAGATGTACCAGAGGACGACGACGTGGTACGTGTTTGATCATGTTCGATTGTACATGGATGCGCAACAATCCTTCGATTTGAGTCGTTTTGAAGGGCGCAGCTGACCAATCTCCAATGGTTTAACACGTTCAGACCGACAGCGGTTCCATCATTCCAGGCCAAGGGACGACATCTCAAGTCGGGCCCAGCGCGACGCCGACTGTGGTTATGTGGGTGCCAGATCACCGAGTCAAAGCATGCCACGATTGTCAGCTTCGTTTTTCGCAACTCCGGCGCAAACACCACTGCCGGTAGGTTGCCTTTTGGAGCACAATACGTTTCGGTTTCGGATGTTGCTTGGTAGAATCTCACTGTGGCTCCATCTGATTTTTTTGCCCCCCCCCCGCCTCCACCTTTCAAAACGCACAGTGGATGCGGTCAAATATTCTGCAGCGAATGCGTCAAACAGAAGCTTCATCTTCCACAGCTGGGCTACACTGCAGAAGAGAAAGTTTGCGAGACTTGTTTTGCCAAGTACAACCCTCAACCGAACGTCGTGGCACCCTCGCAACCCGTCCCAAAGTCACTTGAGGTGCGCCCGACGCATCTTTTCGACACGTAATGATTGTAGTACTAAGAAACACCAAAGCAAACAACATGATTGATAAAGTGCGAATTGGTTGTTCGATGATCACACAATGAAGGGTTTATTATTTCGTGGTTCCGAATCGCTACTCTTTGTTCACAAGGTGGGCCAGAAAATGAAGTACTGTGAAACTCCTTTCCGCGCTTTCACTCGGGGTGCACGGCGGGATAGGAGCGCGAGCCAAAGATCGTGCTTCCAACCCGGATGTTGGTGCTGCCCATAGAAATCTACATCATCAGAATAAGGGGGCCCCGGTCAGCACGCAGCAAAAAAATCACCTCCTAAACCCACGAATCAACAAGGACTCACGGCATGCTCAAAGTCGTCCGACATTCCAAAGCTGAGTTCCAGGTCTGCCGCACGCAGCGACAAGCTTTCTGCTGTCTGCTGCCGAATCTCGTTGAGAAGCTGTTGTTCAGCAAGGAGTGGGGGGGGGGGAGAGAGAGTCAGCGCACAGAAGCGACACGATAAACAATCAACAACAGCAGTCTTGCTGGCTGAAAACCTTGCTCAAGTCCGCCCAAAACGTACCAAAAAGTCTGGATTGGGAGAAGCTTCCGAGCACTGACGGCCTGGTTGCCCAATGGTCATCAGTCCGCACAAGCGTAAATGCGGGCACTCGTTCACAATGTGTCGAGCCACAGCAATAGCTTCCGCCGCGTTCGATCCGCTTTTGCCTGTGTGTAACCGCGGCCGCCAATGAGCACAATGACACTATCGGGGTGGCGGGGGGGGGGGGTCACCGTGTCAACCAACAAACAGCTCAAGAAGTTGGTAACGCACTGGTTTCACCGCTGGTGTTGACTTGTACAAACACCCGCAACGGAGAATCGCGAGTCTGCTTGGCACAGGCCTTCTCCAGTGCAGTGGCAAGTTTAACGCTGTCGACTGTCTCGACGACAAAGAGATTTGGAATTGCTGTGCCAGTGCAACGAGTGGATCAGCGCTGCTGCATGGACAACCCAAAAACAAACAGCAAACCGCCCGCGCATACGTACCTGCGACATGGGATGCCTTGTTCGACTGCAAGTGACCAATAAAGTGCCACTGGATATCGCGTGGCAGCTGCCACACAAACAATCACGAGCCAGCGAATGAGACAAGCACCAAACTTCGAACGCCGATTTTTTCACAATGTGCATGGTTGATCGGCATCATCCATGATGACAAGCGACATACCCCGGACGCTTTTGCAACCAGCTCTTGAACCTGAAATGAATGATTTTGCACAAAAACCAAAACGCAGAATGCAGGCGCGAATTGAGAAAAACCAATTTCAAAAGCAGTTCTATGCCGACCCGCAGCCAATAGCTCAACAAACAGCAAACATTACAAAAATACGCACATAGTTTTCACCAAAGTGACGCTGACCCGCACCATACGCGGCCTGGAGCAGCGCGTTCGGCTTGGTTTTGGAGACGGCGACCAGCCTGACTGCATCCGCCTCGCCGGCCACACGACCGTGCTCATCCGAAGCAGAAGTAGAAACAGAAGCAGACGAGGCCGCCTTCTCGGCGCGCTTGGCGACTGCAGCACTCATGCGGCCACGCACGGCCTCGAGCGCAGCGACGACGGCGTTCAGCTCGGACTCGGTCGGCTGCTCCTGCGGCGCTGTACTACTGTCGCTCATTGCTTGGCGGCGGTTCTTGTAAGGCTTGTGAGTCACTGGTTGCGATGGCGAGGATGGGCTTGTTGATGAAGAGTAGCAGTAGCCGACAGTTGCAACGAGGCTGTTGAATCGTGGTGACGATGGACTTGAGGAGAGTAGACCGCGCGATCGCAGCAGCAGCAGCATGAGGACTGATCTGGATAAGATTCTGTACTGTATGATAGATGGAAGGAGTATCCCAGATGATACCCGTCATTCAGTGTCATCAAAGTGCACGTACAACACTGAAATGACAGCAGCAGCAGCAATCCAATAGAACAGGCATTGTTTGATCTCCTTCGCTCCCTCAGTGGTGAATGCTGGTCCAGTGCTGATGTCGTGCAAACGTGTGTGGATTGTTCATTGTACAAAAAATCCATCTGTCATTCCTATTTTGGCTCGCTCAGTCTCAGTTTTTTTTTGTTTCCCTCCTGCTTTGTTTTCTTGTTGTCTTGGCGTTGTTGTCAAAGTGGGGTGTTTTTTTTTTCCCTTTACTTTGACTTGAACCAACCACACAACAAACACAATGCAACGCCTGCTGCCAGTCACTGGGTGGTCTGCAACACGCGCTGCGTCCTTGCTGAGCGCTTGCTCGACCATTGCGCTGCGTCGCCGCGCTGCCAACCCGGCAATGTCGTTCAGCACTGCTGCCCAGGCACCGGCCAACAAGCAATCGTCGGGCCAGTGGACACGCGTGGGCACTGCCGTGGCTGTCATGCTGGGCATTGCGACGCTGCTGCAAGGGACCAAGGCGCAGGACCGACTGGCGCTGCTCGAGCAGTGGGCGGAGGATCAGCTCCGCTCAGTGGTGTGCACGCTCGGGTTGTACCAAGCGCAGCTTGGAAAGCGACCCGTGCTGCTGCCTGTGATTGAGCACCTGGAACGCGAGCGCGAGGCTCAGCGCAAGGCGACGATTGTGGGCAAGCTGCCGTCCGACCCCGAGCACATGGAAGCCATCTTCCGCGCGCACTCACCAACCCTAACGCGGATTCACGAGTATCTGGCCGAAACAGAGCAGTCTCACGAAGCACCGATCGTCCGGCGGCTGCGGGACGTGCTTCAACGACAAGAACAGCAACAACTGAGCTCTTCTTCTGCTGCTGGGTCGAGCTCGTCGTCGTCGTCGTCGTCGTCATGGTGGTCTTCTTCCAGCTCACACTCAAAACAGCAGCAAGCACAAGGCCAGCACGACGACCCGGCCATCCCGCTGTCGGTCGTCCTCGCTGGGCTGCGTCAGGTTGTTGCCGAGCTCGAAACCGAGGCACTCGACCTCGCTCTCCCGCTCAGACTCTGGCCACAAGCGCCGAGCAGCTTGCAAAACCCCGATTTGTGGAAGGACTACATGACAGAGATGGAGCGCAAGGCCGATCTACTCACCAACCGCAGCATTGGCGAGGCACGGCTGTCGATCGACTTCCAGTACGACAAGCAGCCTGCAGTAGCTCCTCACGCGCCCACCTCCGCCGCATCCTCCAGCGCAACTGCAGTAGATGCTGAATCATCCAAGCCCTCATCATCTGGCACGCTTGTTGCTTAATAAAAATACTCCCCTAGTAATGTAGAGTGCTCCATTCGATCCATTAGACAACCACAGAAAAAGAACTATTTACTGAGACAGTGATACTTGACAGGGGGCCCACAAACAACAGAATAAAGCCGATGCAACCCGCCAAAAAACATAAAAACCCCAAAAGAAGGACCCTCCTACTAAGCCCAATACCAGCAGAGCGAAGCGAAAGCAACCTTCTCGAGTCACGTCTTGCGTTGGAGAGCAATCACAAGAACGAAACGCACATACACACACACACACACACATCACGCACAAATACGCATGCTAGATAAAATGACCATGGAAATTGAAGCCTCGATGGTTGCCAAAACGACCGGGAATGTCAGATTTACGGCAATGGCTTGCGAGGAGCAGCGGCACCAGTGGGCTTGAAGGGTGGAGGCGTTGGCTTGGGGGCACCAGGCACAGGCTTGCTTGGAGTAGAAGAAGCACCAGCAGGTCCGGGCCCTTTGGGGCCGACGGGCTTGAGAGGGGCTGCTTTGAACGGCTGGGGAGCGGCGGGATTGGTCGGAGCTGGGCGTGTGGTGGGTGGTTTGGGCGGCGCAGCAGGTTTGGCCTGCGACACGGGCTCGAGGTAGTTGGATGGAACAACACCCGTACGATTGGTCGTCGAGTTCTTGCAATGGTACCACCCATCCTCGCCCTTCTTGGAAACAATCACCACGTCGCCGACAGACAGGGCCAGTTCGTCACCCTGCTGAGGGGTGTAATCGTACACGGCGCGGTACTTTTCGACAGCGCTGGAACTGGCGTTCTGAACGGGGGCAGGAGGGGCGGGCTTGCGAAGCTGCGAGGTAGCCATTGGAACGGCGGGCTCTTTGACCGCTTTGGGCGACGGTTTGGTCGGGGCCGAGAGGACTTCCAACGATGCACTGGAGCCGCCGGTCTTGGCTGAGCGGCGATTGCTGGAAGGCGCGTGGAAGGAAGGAATGATGCTCAAGCCTTTGCGACGGCGGTACAGCACTGCTGCCACAATCACAAGGAGGAGCACGACAAGGACAGCGACAGCGACGCCAATGGCGACAGCCGAGCTCGAGCTTGAGCTGGAATCACCATCCGGGTTGCCATCAATCGGCGCAGCGGATGAGCAAGGAATGGTGCACGATGTAGTGCTGGCCGGTTTGGAGCCAGAGCAGGACGCGTCGGGAGCAGTCGAGCCGTCGCTGCCAACGCACTTGACCAAACGTGTGAGCGTGCCGGATGCGGTGGAAGGGCAGCGCGGCGCAACACATGCGCCATACGCAAAGGTACTCCAAGAGTACGTCATCGTGCTTGCCTGGCACGTATACACGGTGGTCGATCCTGCCTGGAGTTGGCAGGTAGAGTAGGGCGCCACGCCGCATGTTGTGCCTGCAGGCAGGTAGTTTTCATCGAGACTCGACACGCTTGTAGCATCAGTGCACGTGGTGGATCCGTCAAACCTGCATCTGTAGAGACAGGGGTTGGTGCTGCTGACTCCGCCTGCCGGGCATGGTTTCACGTTGCTGTATTTGCTGCACCCGCTCTTATAGCACGTGCCTTCGACACAAACGCCAGTAGCCGCCACGCCATCCATGACGGAGCAAACCGTGGTAGGCGGACTGAATTTGCACGCGCTGCAGCACGTGCCGGTGGCGCATTGTGAGCCAGAAGTCAACTTGCAGTTTTTGCAGCACGAGCTGGACACGTCGCACTCTTCACTCGGCTCGACAACGCCGTTGCCGCACGTGGGGGAATACGGCGTCCAGCACGAGGGCACGCTGGTTGAAGCCAGGGTGGATTGGATTTCAGTGCACATTTCGGCCTTGTTCTGGGCAGTGTAGAACTGGTACTCGCCGAGATACTTGCCATCGCCATAGTCCATGATGCCGCCAAAGCCAAATGTGTGCTGGGCGCCAAAGTTGTGGCCAGTCTCGTGTGCGTGAGTAATCCAAAACTGGGACGAGTCGGACGACACGCCCGTGTTCGAAGTAGACGAGCACAGGGTTCCGACATACGCCAGCCCAACCGTGCCGGAAGGCGGGAAGCAATTGGTAAAGAGATGCCAGAGACCGTACGGCTCGGAGGCAGGCCGAGTTTGGCGCCACGAAGTGAAATCCGTCAGAACCTTGTTGATGTCGTTGGTGCAGGTCCGTTGACCAGGAGTGCTTGGCTTCTGGTTCCAGGCGGTCGAATCAAGCGAGCTCTTGAGGACAACCAACCCCAGCTTGAGGAACACACCCACTTGCGTGTTGTAGACCACGTTGGTCGTGGCCATCGTCTCGGCAATCTTGGTCTTGACGGCGGATGCAGAACCGCCCCAATCGAGATAGAGACCATAGTCGACCGCGACGCTTTGCGTGAGGGTGGACAGCTGTGTGTTCGAGTTGGTGAAGCAGTCTGCCCACTTGGACACGGTACGGCGGGAATCCTCCACGTTGTCAATGCGCACCGATCGAGGCAAGGTGCTTTCGCCGACTTGGCGCCTGTTTGTGGCGCCGTCACGGAACCTGGCTGCCGTGGAGGTCACTTCCAGCACATCCGCGCCATGGAAGAGAACGAGGCCTGTGGCAGCGGCAGCCTCGCGAAGGGACCGACGATGCTCGTCCGAGGGCATGGCGGCTTCGTGGCGCACGGCGGGTTCGATCGTGTAGTGGCCTGCGGGATCAAAAACGACCATGTAAAAGCTGTTTTCGTCGTCATGGAGCACGACTGCCGCATGGAAACCCTCCACGGTTTCACCAGCATACGCGCGCATTGTGTGTGGCAGGCGCTCAATGATCTCGGGCTCGCCGGTCTCGGGGTGTGCGCCGTGCACTTGAACGTACGTGTCTTCCGCAAACAGACCCACGAGGAGGGAGGCCTTGACCTCAATGTGCTTGCCGCCAGCGACGTACACATCAATGTTAATGTCCAGCGGGAACTTGCGATGCGGCGCCAGCTCAGAGATGGCGGTTGTGTTGTCCATGGCGGCCTGGCGACGGTTGCGGAGGATGGCGTCCTGGAGCGACTCTGCCACCGCCCACGGGCTCGTGACGCTGCCGTCCTTCTGGTTCAAGGTGGTCACCTTGGCGCCGACGACGGGGTACAGGCGACTCACGGTGGTCGACGGCATCGCGTCTAGCGCAAGCAAGCGGAGAACAAGAAAACAAAAACAAAACCAAAAACAAAAAAAAAGGGTTAGTCTGGTCATTGTCATTGGTGATCACCCCACCAGCCACACACCCTCAAGCTTAGTCACATTCGACAACAACAACAACAACAACAACAACATCAGCAGACGAACGAACGAAACGAAAGAACGAACGAAACAAAGTGAATCAATCAATAAAAAAAAAAAAAAACCAAAAGTCGCTTGAAATGGCAAACTGCAAAAAAAAAGTCCCATCCAAAAAACCCGCAAAAAGCACTTGGAAAGCGGAGGAGTGACAGGCAGTGAATGAAGAAGGAGAACAAGTCAGGAGAGGAATGGATGGGGGGGGGGATTAAGGATTAAGGGATGGGGAAGCGAAGGAAGGCAACTAAGAGGAGGAGGAGAGGGGGAACTTGCGGTTGCTTGGGAAAAGACTCGTTGGGCTTTGTGGCGGTTGATTCATCATCATCGCCCTTCCCTCTCGCTTCTCATCAACAGCCAACAGCGCGACGAGAGGACTCTGGAGAATGATGAGAGGAAGCATGAGGGCTACCTTCGTCGAGCGGTGCGGGAACGCCGCTGACCACGGCGGCAGTGAAGGCCAAGACCGAGAGCAGCAAGCCCAAACCACAGATTCGCATGTTCTGGGAAAGACAGATAAAGAAAAGAAAAAAAAAAAAAAAAAAAAAGAAGGAATGGAATCCCAATAGAATAAATAAAAGTGGAAAGACGAAAGAGATGCAATGAAAATGGAGTTGATGTAGATGTTGTTGTTTGGCGAAATACTTGTACAAAAGGATCAAAACAAAAACCACTTGCATTTGGCTGCTGCTGCGATCGTCACTAGATCTAGTACGCGCCAAGCACCCGCTGCACGTCGCACTCAAACACATCGCCAAAGTGCTTGAGTAATATTGGCAGCGTCTCTTCAGTGGAAACTGTCCAATCCACACCACCGCCACAGAAGTTGTAAGCGCTCAACTCTAGCATTCACATGCACACATAATACTGACTGGCTCTTCTCGTACCTTCACGCTGAACTTCGCGAGACAGTGATGTTACACTCTTGCCGACCAAGCCGCAGGGCACAATGTGAGAAAACCAGCGCAAATCCGTTTGGCAGTTCAGAGCAAAGCCATGCGAGGTCACTCGCCGCTCATGTAGCTGAATGCCTGTGGAATCCATCCAAACACACACAAACGGTATGAGTGATACTGCATCCAAGGGTTTGCCGCACAACGCATCTTGCTCTATCGATTGGCCCGCCGCGTCAAACTCACCGAGTGCGGCAATCTTGTTTTTGCCAACCCAGACTCCAGTGTCGGCTGTGAGCTCCGTCTTCACTCCGAAATCAGCGCACGTGCGCATGAGAACCACTTCGAGTCGCCGGACGTAATCCTTCACGCTGACCTGAGAGATGAGCAGAATGCAACCAGTTGAGAACGCGCGCAACAACGACATCCTCGAAGCGTCGTTAGGGTCACGCCGAGTTCAAGGTGATTTTCTATGCTTTCATACTCGATGGGAAAAGGCTGCGAGATTGAGTATTGGGTAGCCAACCAGCTGGCCTGGACCGTGAAATGTGATTTGACCTCCACGACTCGTCTGAGAAAACGTGCACACCTTCATCAGAGAACGTTTCACGCATAGCACAAGGCATATACGGACTCCCAGCTCGCCAACAAAAATAAGAAAGCAAGTTCCTACATAGACGTATTCGGCTCCCAGTGCTGCTAGCCTGGCAGCCTGGTCTGCATCGTGCTGCATACGGCGTCCAAGCGTGTAGACCGGATTGTGCTCGAGCAGTAGTAAATCTCCTCCATTGGCCGTCACAGCGCCGGACGTTAGCTTCGTATTATTCTGTAGCATTTAGATGACGATTTGCAATCAAGCGCACGCATGAGAACAAAGTCAGACCGAGGAATTGTCAAACCGATGGATGGATGGTGGTGTGGCCCCCCTCGTCATCAGAGCCAGTGCGATGGCCACTGGTCGTGCCTCGGCATCCGAAACACGAATCTCAGATGTGATTCAGTTGAATGTGCCTATACCTGATTCGCCAGCTTCGAGCTCGATGCGGGCTCGCCGAGAGAGCTGGGGGCTGCGGCGGGCTGTGGCGGCAAGACCACCGTGTTGCGCCCGGCCAGAACGTCGCCCACAAAGCGCAGTTGCGTATCAATGCCCTCTGCATAGCCAACACGGCCGAGAATGCGTGCAGCAACGGTAGGCCGAGCCGCAAGGTGCGACGATGCTGCAGCTAACGCTCTCGTGGCGGCAGGTGCGTTCGCAAGCATGGATTTGAGAAATGGTCCAGATTTGGCAATCACTAATCAAGTAATAACAAAGACTGCACAAAAGCAGCAGAACAAGAACATGCTTGACGTAGCGATCGGACAAAAAAAAAAAAAAAAAAAAAAAAATGAGCCTTCAGTGGAAGTGAACGACAAAAAAAAAAAAGTAAATCCTTTCTTTACACGAGTAAAAAATATAACAACAACAACAACAGCCTGTGTGTGTGCAACAAAAACGACTCGTAACGAAGAGCCACCGAGTTGGTGGCGCCAACCAACACAATTAGCACAAACAATTGGCGCAGAAAACCGATAAACAGATGCCGAACAACAACAATCGAAACAGTCGGCCAAACCTCGGTCTCTTCCGCCTTAGTCGTACAGAGTATCAATGAGATCGCTGTACTTGACTTGAATGACGCGACGCTTCAGCTTGAGCGTCGGGCCCAGCTCGTTGCCGGGGATGGAAAAGTCGACGGGACAGAACGCCCAGCGCTTGATCGACGCTGCGTTCGAAATGGCGTGCTTGTTGACCTCCGCCATGCTAGCTTCCACAACATCGTTAAAGACCTTGTCTTTGACGAGCGCCGAGACGGTGCTAATGTCGGCTGGCGACCAAACCACCCCCCAAACAAACAAACAAACCCAGAAGAATTAAAGGTCAGCATCCTAAAACGCCAAAACAATCCATCAAAAAACCAGAAAACACAGAATTCTCCCCCCCCCGTGTTTACCTTTCACGCCAGCGTCAGCCAGCTGCAGCTTGCATTGCTCGGTCAGCTCATCCAGCGGCGCACCCTCCTCGTCAAACTCGCACTTGATGGTCAGAAGAACGACAAGATACTTGCGCTTGTCACCAACAATCATCGCTTGACTAATGTACGGCATTTGGGTCTTAATGAGGGACTCGATGGGGGTTGGAGCAATGTTTTCACCACCAGCGGTAATGACCAGCTCCTTGATGCGGCCAGTGATGCGCAGGAAGCCTTCGGCGTCCAGTTTGCCAATGTCGCCAGTGTGCAAGAAGCCGTCTGCGTCAAAGTCCTTCTGCGAAGATTCCGCGTCGTGGAGGTAGCCGAGCATGACATTGCGACCGCGGACAACAATCTCGCCGTTGCCGTCGGCATCGGGCTTGGCAATGCGCACTTCCACGCCGTCAGGCACGTAGCCACACGATCCCGAGCGGTACTTGTTTGGAATGGAAACGGTGAGCAGCGCCGTTGTTTCAGACATGCCGTACAGCTCGTACACTGGAATATCCAGACTCAAAAAGTAGTGCAGAGTGGACAGCGAAATGGGCGCCGCACCTGAAAAAGCAGCTCGGCAGCGGTCGAGACCGATGGCCTTTTTGACCTTGGCAAAGACCAGGCTCCTTGCCAACCACCAGCCAGACGGCTTGCCCTTGGTCTTGCCTTCCTGAATCGCCAAGTTCGCGGCCAGGCCTTTCTTCTTGGCCCACCCAGCGATGGACTTTTTCACGGCGCCGTTCGACGCGCCAACCATTTGCATCTTTTCGGCAATCTTCTCCCAGACGCGCGGGACGCCCAAGAAGGCCGTGGGACGGACCTCACGCAGGGTGTCACCAAGCGTGCCCTTCAGAGCATCCGGCTGCGCGAACGCCAGCGTGGAGCCCAGCACAGCTCCGGCCATAACATCAATCATCATTGCGGCAATGTGGCTGAGAGGCAAAAAGCTCAGCAGCACATCTGACTCGACGATTTTAAGCAGCTGCGAGACGACGTGCACGGTGAACAGAATGTTATCGTGCGTTGTCATGACTGCCTTGGGATTGCCGGTTGTGCCAGACGTGTACACGATGGCGCAAGGCTGCTCGGGTCTCAAGTTGGCAATCCGCTGCTGCAAGGGCTCCTCCAGCGCGGCGTCGTCACCTGTTGTGTCGGTCGCGTGAGCGGAGGAGAGGTGACGTTGGTAAGTCTGCCCGAAAAGGTTTCAAAAAAAAAAAAAAAGAAAAAAAGAAGAAGAAAAAGAAAGCTGACAAACAATCATCAACGAGGTTTTGTTACCGAGAGCCATGAAATCGTCCCAGGAGTAAATGTTTGGCTCGGAGACAGAAGGCTTGCCAATGTACTGGACAATATGTTTGAGATCGGGCAGACCTGCAAAACGTCGTGACAGTGATGGTGGTCAGAAAACGTCCGACTCAAAAAGCATGTTGGGCAATTCAATTTGTCAAAAACGTACGAGCGCGGACTTCGAGAATCTTGCGCAACTGGACATTGTTCTCGACAATGACAATGCCGGCCTTGGCATGCTCCAGGACAAACTGGCAGGCGTCTGGGGTGTTGGTCGTGTAGATGCCAAAGCCGACGCCGCCAGCCATGATGGTGCCGTGGAACGCAATTAGCCACTCTGTTGCAGCCAAAAGAAAACCAACCCGCAAACTGGAATGTGAGTGACGCTTTGTGGGTTTCTCTCTGCAGCGTTGATGAGAGCTATTAACAAAATTGAGGGAGGAGGACTATTTCCTAAAAAGTGCGGCGGCAAAACCACAAACTGCGAAAATTGTGCTGCACGTGCAGGTACTGAAACAAGCGGTGGATTCGGGGGCGTCGAGAGGTGCGGATAGGAGTGTTTGCAGCAATCAGTGTCATGCCACACCACATGTGACGTTGGCAGCTTGATGCGAGAGGGGGTTGAGGGGTTGGCAAGTCGCATGAATAAGGCACTTCATGGTTACTGCTTGTTATCGCTCTGTGGGGTTTAGCTCGTTGCCTTTCAGCGTTTCCTCTTCGCACGCATGCAGTGATGTTGTTTACACATCAGATGTGTCATACAGTTGAACGGATTGGGGTTTTGGGCAAAGTTTTTTCGGGTGACCTCCTCCGAGAAGAAGCGATTTTCAAATCAAAGGAAAAGAAAAAAAAATCAAATAAAATCAAAAAAAAAAGACCACAACAACCAAACCAAGCCAAGCAAGTGTGGCCTCAAGCAACGCGCAGAGCCCTTCCGCCAAGCCAGGCGACATCGTAACGAAAGGATCATGACCGAGTCCCACGGAGGTGGAAGCCGTTCACTGGCAGCGTTGCAAAGGGGGCTCGAAATCACACCAAAATCATGAAAAGTAAAAAACAAAAAGAAAAAAAGGAAGAAACGGACATCTGGTCTCATCCGATGACCGATGACGAGCGAGGGGTCTGAAAGCAGTGCGTGGGGAGTGTGTGTGCACCGGTGGACTCTCAGGTGTCCCACAGAAATGGTCTGCGGTGCTCTTCCACAGCTCCGGACAATAAAAGAAAAAAAGAAAAAAAGGGTCGAAGCAAAGAAAAAACGAAAAAAATAAAAAGCACAACAAATTGTAGCTGTAACCACAAAGGCATTACACAAGTCCACGACAGCGGAGGGATCAAAGAGAGCGAGAGAGCGAGAGAGCGAGAGAGCGAGAGAGCAATGAGTTGGGTGGGTGCAGATGGGACGAGGGGCGACGACGATGCTGTACCGGGAGAGTTAAACCCGAGGATGCCAACAGTGTCGAAGGGTTGGACGCCGAGCTTGAGCAGCGCCTTGCCAGCGCGGCGGCTCTGCTTCCAGTAATCGCCATAGGTGGTCTCGACCCAGACATTGTTGCGCTTGACGGTCAGCGCCGTGTGGTTGGGCAGGCGCTCGGCGGTGCGCTGGAAGCAGGCCGTGATCGTGTCCGGGCGCAGCGCAGCGTTGCCCGTCGAGCCCAGCACCAAGGGGCGAACGCCGTCCAAGGTCGAGCGGAACATCGGGCCGCGCGGCTGGACTGCTCCAGCGGCGGCAGGTGCTGCAGCAGACGAAGTGGACGCCATCTTTGTAACGAAGACGAGAAAAAACAGAAAAAAACAAACAAAAAATGGAGAGTGAGCGATTGAGCTTTTCGACTGTCGGCTTTTGTCAGTGCAACGAACAATCCATGGCACGAAGATTTGGGGGGCGGGGGGGGGGCGTGTTCTTCGAGCCCGACTTGGACTGCACACACAACAGCCGTTCGCCTCTTTCGAGAGTCCAGCCGATTGTGCATCGTTCCACTGATTTCCCACTGGTTTTGAGACCCCCGTCTGACAGTGCAAGCTCAAACGCAGTTTTTTGTTTTTGGTTGTTTTTGGAGGAATCGTTTGTGAACGTCGCAACTCAAAACCGCAGCGTCGTAGATACTCACAACCAGTCATTTTTTTCAAAAACAAGTTCTCAGTTCGAGTATTCTCATTGAAACGAGAAATCAGCGCAAGGAATGTCCGACCCGTGGTTTAAAGTAATGCGACACGCCTCCCCCTCTTCACCGCTCCAATCACCATCGCCACCAGACTGGGCTGGAGATCGATCCTGATGCTGCTGGAAAGGAAAGGAGGGGCTGCATGATCTGCCACTTCCTTGCCCTGCGCCGGCTTTAAAGGCAAACCATGGAAGAATCAAAGAAAAAAAAAAAAAGAAAAAAGAAAAAAAAAATGGAAAAACCACACGCGGCTCGCTGTGGCACTGCTTCGCTGCCTTCACAGCCGTTGCAGCCCCCGCACGGCGACCCCCGCACGCATGGATGTACGCCGATGCTGCGTCTATTGCAGGGTCCGGTTGGGCCGTCCGCGATCCGCTGCGGTTCCTACAAGAAATTCCCGAACGACGCACATTTTGTTACCAATCGAAAAAAAACGAAAAAAAAACCAAGTTTCGAGCGAAGCAGGTTTAAGCTCAGATCACGAACGAAGGGCGGGGAAGGGGGGGGGGGCGACTGGAGAGAGCGGCAGACACTTGGCGTTAGCGTGGAGGAAGCGGAGGGTCGCGGCCAGGTTGGCGGAGGGGAAGGGAGCAGTTGGATTGGATCAGCAGCTGAAAGGGGGCGGAAGAAGACGAAAAAAAGAGGGAACCGAACGGACGCCGAGCCAAAGCGCCATGATGGCATGGAATCAATCGGTTGGCGTCATTGCACACTCTGTTGCAGTTCGAGTCCGATGCAATCCGAAGAAAAAAGAGGGAGAGAGAGAGAGAGAGAGAGAGAGAGAGAGAGAGAGAGAGAGAGAGAGAGAGAGAGAGAGAGAGAGAGAGAGAGAGAGAGAGAGAAAAAAGAAGAAGAAGGAGGACGTTTTGATCTCACTTGACTGGATTCCTTCAACTTGTCCACTCGCAGGGCCAGCAGCAGTGGGGCGCAGCGTCCACTCCCGATCGCCAGGCTGCTCAAGCATGGGCTTCAACATCGTCGAACGCTGAACGCGGCGAGGCGAACGAAATGCACACCCTGCGTGGCCGCTCGAGCACAGTGTCCAGCGTTGCCGACGATGCAGATGAGGCGGACGTCGAGAGCTATCTGAACGGCGCGGGTCGCCCTTCGCATCCCTCCGACCGTCAGCTGATCCCTGATGAGGACCCTCACAAAAAGCACGCAAAGGCCAAGCGTTATGGTGAGAATGGTCTCTCTGAGCGCTGTTCATGGGTGGATTTTGGTGTATTGGTTTTTGGGATTTTGGGGTTTTGACTTTTGACGTCCGTTCCTGGCTTTTCTCTCTGGCAGTGACGCACATTCCGCTCTGGCAGCGCTACGCCGTTGCCATCACTGTCCTTGTTATTCTGCTTGCCTTGTTCGCTGGCATGGCGGCCTACAACTTTGCCTCGCACGAACGTACGGAAATGCTGGTTGTTTCGTTGTCGGTTGACTGGTTGCACTTTTTTTACTCATCTATCTGACGCCTCGATGTTTGCTTTACGCTTGTCTGTGGATGCACCACTTCAAAATGATCAACAGGTCATGAAGTCGACAATTCTGCAGAGGAAGCTTCGTTGGCCACCGTTTCGCGATCGTCCGTCTCTGCCCTGTCTGCGTCAAGCGTTGAAGTAATGCTGGCCTCTGTAGCAACCGCATCTGTGTCGCAGGTATCGCTCGCGAGTGCTGTTTCAGTATCCTCTGTCGCTGCCGTTGCCACTTCGATTGCGTCCGTTCTCGACGTTGCGTCGTCGGCTGCATCCGTGCTTGACGCTGCATCGTCGTCTGCTTCTGTGGCCTCTGCCGTCGACGTCGCATCATCGGCTTCTGTGGCCTCTGCTATTGATTTTGCATCGTCGTCTGCTTCTGTCGCGTCTGCCATTGATGTCGCTTCGTCGGCGTCTGTGGCCTCCGCTGTCGAGTTTGCGTCGTCGGCTTCCGTGGCCTCAGTCGTAGATGCTGCATCGTCCTCAGCCTCTGCCGCCTCTGCCCTGGATATCGAGTCGTCCGCCTCTGTGGCGTCTGCCGAGTCGGCCTCTGTTGCATCTGCCGTTGATGCCGCATCGTCATCAGCTTCTGTTGCTGCTCTCACCTCGACCCCAGCGCCCACCGATCTCTCTTCCGCCACTCCCGAGGCCACCGATCTCTCGTCCGCCACTCCCGAGGCTACTGATCTCTCTTCCGCAACTCCCGAAGTCACTGACGTCTCTTCCGCAACGCCTGAAGTCACTGACGTCTCTTCCGCAACTCCTGAAGTCACCGATGTCTCGTCGGCCACTCCCGAGGTCTCATCCGCCACACCCGAAGTCACTGATGTCTCATCCGCTACTCCTGACGTTGTCTCTTCCGCTACTCCTGACGCCGTCTCATCCGCCACACCCGAAGTCACTGATGTCTCATCCGCTACTCCCGACGCCGTCTCATCCGCTACTCCTGACGCCGTCTCATCCGCTACTCCTGAGGTCACCGCAGTTGCAAGCCCGTAATTTTTTGTTGTTTCTCAGCTAGTTATCCTGTTTGTGTGTCTTGTTTTCTCTCTGTGCAGCAGGTTTGTTGCTGGAGCAAGTTTTTGGTGATGTGTTTGAGTTTGAATATTTTTTGTGCGCGTGAGTGTTGTATTTTTATAAGCCCTCTTCTGATCGTTTTTTGACTGTTCTTTTTCAACTTCTCGCGTCATGTATTGCTAAAAAGTTATATTGGAATCGATGCGGACGGGCAAGGGGGGGGGGGTGACACAAGTCAATGAACGAGAAAGCCTTTTCAAAACAATCAACTCGAAGCTGCTTGAGATCGAAAGGTTCCCTAATCGTCGACTTCGGGCCTCGTAACTTCGATCAGATATCGCAGCTGCTTGCTGCGTGTCCAGCTGTAAGTGTTATCCCAGCGGAGCACATAGACACCTAGAAAACCAAATGGAAACAAAAGTGAGTCAAACACCAAACAAACAAAGCCCCCTTCCCCCCCCCCACAATCACGTCAGAGCTTGTCAAAACACCGTACCAGGCTCATCGCACACAACTTGCTCGCTCATCATGACCAGATGACTATCTGCTTGCGTAGTTTCAGTGATGACGTCCAGATCCTTGGGCACAGTGCCCTTGAAAAGCTGGTAGCGACGCGTCACGTTCGAGTCGTCGCTTGCCGCGGCAACAGCGTGGATGTCGGGTACACTGTTGTTTCCACGCTTCATGGTTTTGGGCTGTTGGTCTTCTGCGGCTTCTACTGTTGCGACTGCCTGAAGCGAGTGGGCAGCGATATCGGGAACACTGTGGGCTTCACGACGCAGCACCGGGGCCGGTTGTTGCTGTCGAACAGAGCTCTGACGGTGGATGCCGCGAGGGTGACGCTTGCCCGAGGAGCTCTCGACATAGTCGCCATTCTGGAGCACGGCATCGTCGTTTTGGAAGTACCAGATACCAAACTTGACATCAAAGTCCTTGGTCATGTACTCGACGCTCAACACGCTGCCAGGCTGACGCACCAAGACGGCCACGTCGAACGTGGCAGCGCGGCCAACGGTGGTCGATTCGCCGCCGCTCTCGCCGACCGCGCTGTCGCTGAGCGCCGAGTCCAGGAAGAACGTTGCAGGAACCTCGCCACCAGGACGAATGAACTTTTTGCAAAACTCATCCTCGCCCGAGCAAGTGCACGTTCCACCCAAGAACCGGGGAAGCACAGCCGGGTCGATGTACTCGGACAGCACGCTGACGTAGTCACTTCCTGCACGGGGGGATGTTGAGGCAGCGTGGACAGGCGACACAGCGTGTTAGAATCGGTTGTTGCAAAAAAAAAAACCAACCAAAAAAAACCCCCGTGCCGACACGCACAGCCACTGCACAAACACACTTACCCAAAACACGGATCTTTTGACGGGTTGCCTCGTGCAGCAGCGGCTTGATGAGATTAAACATGACTGGGAAGATCATGGGCGCGTTAATGATAAAGCAGCGCTTGACCACCTCGGGGTAGTTTGCCTCGTAAATCTTGGCGACGGCGCGGAACAGGTCGAGTCCAGGGCCCCAGAGATGCTTGCGGTTGAGACCGGTCAAGTCCATGATGATGGTGAGCTCTTGCACCTTGCGTCCGATTTTGGCGGACTGCTCTGCGCACACCTGAAGCGTGCGCTCCATGTTGAAAATGCGGAACTGAACAATGTCTGCCTTTCGCGCTGCTCGCAACAATCCTGCGCAAGCAAAAAGGAGATTAAAGTTAATGTTTCAAGGTCATTTGGCCATCCATCTCGGAACGGAAGCAAAAACACAGAGGTGTGAACGGCGATCGAACATGAAACCACACAACACCATCCACCACAACATCATCGAGATCATCAACATCATCAACAACATCATCAACAACATCATCAACAACATCATCAACAACAACGCAGAGATGTTCGTACCGCGAGGGTCGGTCTGGCCGATGCGATCAACATAGACAATGCTGCCCTCGCGATCATGGAAGTGCAGGCCGCCGGGGTAGTGAATGGTGAGCACCTAGCGACAACAAGGTCAGGGGCAAAACAGCAGAAACGTCATCTTGTGATGAGCAATCGGATGACGCGCGATCGTCCGTTCCATGAGAGCATGAAGTGTGAACGAAAGGAGGAGCGGCAGTGACCAAAAAATAAAATAAAAATCAAAACATGAAAATTGAAAACCCCAGCGACTCGAGACGAGCTGCGATGGATGGCATCAAGCGGACGGCATCAAGCGGACAAAAGGCGACGGATGGCGAAACAAGGAGAGAGAGAGAGAGAGAGTGTGTGTGTGTGTGTGTGAGCGTGCGTGTGAATGTGTGAGACGACAGAAAGTGAGAGAATAAGACAAGCCTAGCTGCCGCTATTCGATCCTGTCTCGCGACACGCACGGAGAGCGCGCCGCCGAGTCCCAGTGGAAAATGGACCATGATACACCCGCGTTGACGGCGAGATGCAGTCTGGCCAAGGTCCGCGAACGTCGGCGGCGCAGGGGGGCGCGGTTCAAAGAGGAATGAGGCGCATTGTTCGCCATCTTGTGATACAAGCACGGGTGCACCCAGGAGGTTCGGGGAGGTGGGTGGGCCTTGCCTTCGGGGGAACAAAGTCTCCTTTCGCCAGTGGAAGTGGTCTTCGAGCATCTCAAAGGTGCGGTCGACGTTGAAGGCTCGAGCCCGCAGGAAGCGCAGCAAGTACGGGTCGTCCAGCCACTCTTGATGCGGCAGCTCGGTGGTCATGGTGCGCAGCTGGGTGAGTGCATCCTGTTGCTTGGCCGTCAAGTGACCAACATGTCCTGCAGTGCTCATGAGTTTCGAGGAAGCTGAATGAACGAAAACGCGAAAAAAAAAAAAAAAAAAAAAAAAACGAAAAAAAAAAAAAAAAAAAAAAAAACAAGGACTGGGTTTTTAAAAAAAGTTCAACCAAAACAAAAACAAGCGAAAAAAACAAACAAAACAGAACAATCCCAAACCAATCGCTGAAACGAATTGTTGGTTTGCAACTCTAATGCTCTGGCGTGTGGAATCAGAAGAGAAGTATATGCAACATTTAGAACACCAAATAAACATGACACTCACATTCAAAAGGGATGCGGGCTGCACTCGACGCCAGCGTTTCGCTGCAACTGCAATCACAAACGAACATCAAAACAAGTACCGACACGCTACACAGCACTTTACAGCACAAGTGCACACAAAGCAGGGAGGCGGGGGGGGGGGAATTCTCGGGAGTGCATGGACTGTTGCTTTGCTCTAAGCATACTGTTGAATCGACGCCAAAAGAAAGTTTGTTAGCTCGCTTGCAATGTTCAGTCACATCTCATCTCTTGCAACGACCCCCTCCCGCTTGTCGCTCATCTTACGTATGCCATGCCCATCATAAAGCCCCAGCCGGCAAGAAGAGCAGCAACCTTGACCCAGAAGAAGATTTCGCTGCCTCCGCGGTTGGTTGCCACGTATGTCAGCTCAAGCGGGATGATCTCAATCAAGCAAATGTAAAAGAGCGCTCCGGCAGCAATGCTCAAGAAGATGCCTTCGGTGAGCTCCTTCGTCTCGGTCTCAACGCCCTCTTGCGCTCCCATGCCAATTCCAACACCAATGGGCGCGACCAGGGCGTATGCGATAATGATCAGCGACGCTCGCAGCGTAGACGCGTTCGCGTAAGTCAGACGTGCGCCCAATCTAGGTGAGCAAGCAACAGTATAGGAGAGGTGAATGCATTGTAAGCACCACACAAACCACACACACACACACACACACACTGAACAGAACGTCCGCCGTGACTCACGCCAGTGCCTCGACAATCTTGTGCATAATCATTGCCACAACAATGGTCGCAAATCCGGTAGAGCTGGACTCAGCGCCAATGCCCAAGCCCTCAAAGAGCGAGTGGACGGACAGAGCGATGGCAAAGATGGACGCGGATGCCAACTGCGAAAAGGGGAAATCGAGGTCAACTCGGGCAAACATTTTTCGAAAGAATAAATCGACAAATTCCCCCGCGGTTTCACGACTTACGCTGTGCGAGACTGCTGACGGCTGATCGGAGACATCACTGACCGGTTTCTTGGATTGCTCGGGCACGGTGACAACAGCAGAGGCGGGGGCGACTTCCGGACCGCATTTGCCAGTCATGCCACAGTTGCACGTTCCCGCGGCACAGTCGGCACAGTCAGCGTCACAATGGCAGCCGTCGTCAATGTCCTGCTCACGAGGATCATTGGAGGACGTAGCGAGCAACTGCGAACGGGTAGTGACGGGAGACAGCGTCGAGAGTTGCAGGTCGTGATTGGAAGTGGAGCTCTCGGGCAGGATCGAGTGCGAGTGACCTCCGAACGAATGGAGAATCCGACGATCGATGATGATGAGCAGAATCAAGCTCGCGGCGCACAGCAAGCCCGAGAACGGATAGTCGGCATTGACGTCGTCGTCCTGGGAGACAAAGTAGCTCTCAAAACCTTCGCTGCCATGAGCCAGCAAGTGGAAGGCAACTCCGAGCACCACACCGCCGGCCAAGCAGTTCAAAAAGCTGACGACCTGCGCAGCTCGGCGCGAAATGAACTCGGACCGATTGGCAACCTCACCACGTGCTGCAGCGCGACGCTTGGAAATCCAAAGCACCAGCCTGCAGGGTTGGAAGAAAAAACGGACGAAAAGTAAGATGTTGGTGAGATTTCGAGTTGCAATTGAAGTGTGTGATATTCACCACCCCGCCCCCGGGTTTGATCCCGCGCATGCCTCCGATAGATACACGTGGCAGGCGTTTTGGGGGAATTCTTTCAGAAGGCAACGATAACACGCTTCGGACTCCTGCTGATAAGATTCAAGCCAAGACAGAAAAACCAAAAAATATCGTACACCCATTTTCGGAAGGTGAGGGGTGATCGCGTCGAGCTCTTTCCCCCCCGTCGCCCGCGCATGCGTTGGCGTTTTGAACAAGGATTTTTGTTGCAAGCATGTCAAGGCGTTTGTACGCACAGGTTGCCGGAATCGTGGCCGCCACACGCGCCCAGCGTTGCGCTCATGTTGGATTGTTTTTATTGGTTGGGATTTGTTGCGTTTTTTTAAACTCTTTTTCTCATATCGTTGGCATTCCCTTTCCTCCCCAGCAGCCGCTCAGCTGCTCGCTCGACTCCTGCACGTGTTCGGCTACCGAGTTTCCCCACCTATGGGTGAAACTGGGAGAGCCTGACGGCGCAAGGATTGGGGGGGGGTAAAAGGAAGAAGGTATCGTTGGAATTGCGGTTGCACGAATCCCCGGTCCACTTTCTTACATGGGAATGAAACCGAAAAACGCGGAGCCCGCGAAAATCGCAACCAGACAGGCAATCTTGGTGGTACGGAGCTCGTCCTCGTCGGCATGACCGTCGTCGCCGTGATCCTCGCCACCGTGCCGACGCACGACCGCATTCACGAGCTGCTCGGGAGACATGTGAATTCGAAAAAAATGTTCAACGAACAAAAACACAAACAAAGACTGTTCCCACAAAATTTACTTTTGTCACGGCAGACCGCCAGAGAAGAGTGTGCAAATACGGCAGGCAACTGTTGGTCGAACGACGACAAGAAACATGGTTAGCGACAGAGAGACAAGGGGGATGGCTCGAGCAAACAAACGCCAAGGCGAATGAAAGCCAAATGATGACCGAAATGTCAAACCCTCGCTCCACGCCCTTTGCCCTTAAACGCCCAAGCAGGTGTTGCGCACTCGAGCCGTTTGCGGGAGGGAATCACAGCGCACGAAACTCACCCCAAAAGCAGGAAAAGCACAAAGGCACAATGAAGCAGCAGTTGCAACCGCCGACGGTTGGCACTGCAAGATTTCCATTTCCATTCGAGCCTTGCACCACAGCACACACGGCTGGCCTCTCCATATTTTGCCATGCAACTACCAGCGTTGATGAAAATAGCCATTGCAGCTTTCAAACCATAGGGCACTCTTAATTTTTCAGTTTCACTCCTATCATCATGACTTTGAGCAGCGCCGCGGCAGGGCTGGCTGCTGTCGAGTCCAGTCGCTGGCTGCCCGTCCGCGGCTGGATGCTTCTTGCCATCTTCATTGGCTTGTAAGCTTTGAAACAAAATCGCACTCTCTGCTTTTGTGCCACGGTTCTCGTTCGCCTTTGGTCGGACTTTGGTGGCTCTATTCGTTGTCAGAGTGAGAGAGTGTGGGTAATGCGAAAAGTGTGGGGTGAGTTGGAACAGAGTTGCGCCACGATTCCCGCCTCTCCCTTCGTTGCCTCCGTCCCCGCAAATGCTGCGCAGCCACCAAACCTCGTTTTCATGTTGTTCGCCTGGCTCGAGACGCGCTCTTTCTGGCTCGTGGAGCTGGTTGCTGAGCACTTTGTTGTTTTTCAATGCACTGTGCAAGGAAACTGGCTGCTTGGCGCTGGTTGGCTGAATTCAACTGCGCACCACTTAAAGTTGAAAAGGACGAAAAAAAAGAAAGGTTTCTGCGCTCGTCGTTGCTCACCACCTCGGTCGCATCGACCATACAGCGACGTAGTATAGTAGTGTGGAAGGACGCACATCAAGAGCGGGGGAGAGAGACCTTGCAGCTAATCAACCAAACACAAAAACCAAAAAAACCGCCATCACGCCACACAACCAATCCATCCACCCGACTCATCTGCCACACAAACACACAAACGCACACACACACACACACTGCGTAGTCGGTTCGGGACGAGCACTCAAAAACCGCCACTCGGTGAAATTTCGTGTCAACTCCTGGACGCGGGTGACACTGGTCGCAAAACCGTCACTTTGATGCGAACTGAGAATGGCTGAACTGAAACTCAACTGTGCTTGCTCTGGTAGACCCGCCATGATGCCCTCGGCCTCGCAGGAGCTCTTCGAACTCAGACTCCTTGTGCTGTATGCTATCGGGTTGGTGATTGTCGGAACGCACGCGGCAGCAACGTGCGTCATTACCGCGCTCAACAAGCCTCGCCCAGTGGAGGCTCAGCTGCTGAGACTGATCGACGTGCTCAAAGCCCAGAACAAGCAGCTGCACTTTGATGCACCCGCTGGGTCCACCTCGCTCTTCCCACAAGCCGCAAAACCCATTCCCGCAATGCTGGAACACGCATCAAGTACGGCTGTTGCCGCCCCAGGCTCGCCCTCTCTCAGGGTGGCAGCACAAAATGCGAGCCGCGGGTCAGTCGCGGTGCCTTCTTCAGCCACCATCAAGGATTTGCGCTTGTTTGGCAGTGATTGGCGCGACTATCTCGTTGGCCCATCGGTCTCCAACCCGGCGGACGAATCCGCTGCAGCTCTGCAACAGCCGTCCATTTCTGAGAAGCCTCGACAGGATGGGGCACCTCAAATCGCGGATAGTGATAGTGCGTCCACCTCGTCTGTCGACGCCGATCCCCTCTCAACCGACGAGCACAACAGCAGCGGGGGCGAGACAGACACCATCACCGTTTCGCCACAAACTGCGTCGCGCCGGCGTAGGTCTGCTTTCCGGCAGCCCGACCTTGGACTTAATCAACACGTTCAACAGCAGCAACCAATGCAGCAACAACAACCAACCACACAACAACAGCAGCAACAACAACTCGCCTCTTCATCCCAAACAGGTGCTCGCCGTGCAACGAACAGCACACGCACAGGTCGATCATCAACGACTTTGACAGCACCAGAAGCAGGAAAAGTCGCAAACAATACGGATGACAACATCCGAGCATTATTGGCAACCATTCCTGTGTCGCAAGTACACAGCGCCGATCCGAGTCGACCCTTCCGTTCCCTCGAGTTTGCCGAGCAGGTCAAGCTCGACGCCATGTGTGCCGGAAACTATACGCGTGCCACCGAGGATATCTCGCACGACCGAGAGTGGAAGCTGGTGCACACAGAAGGAGTGATGAATGTCTACCGCAAGGAAATTGTCGACGGCGAACGCATTCTCGATCTCCTCAAGGCCTATCACACTGTGGAAGGCGTTGCTGCAGGAGAAGTTGCGCGGAACTTTTGGTCGTTCGATTCGCGGCTGGAATGGGAAGGTAAGCGTCGTTTTAAACTTGCAATCAAATGGGACCGTTATGATTCGGGCATGACAACTCACTTGCTTCTGAATATCCAGCTACTGTCGATAGCGCTCATGCCCTCGCCATTCCCGACGACACTACGATCGTCATTCATAGCGTTTTCAAGCGCGTGTGGCCAGCAACACAACGAGAAACGGTGATTGTTGACCACATCCGACCCATCAGCGCGGCTCTCGCCTCTGAATCGCCTGCGCATGCTGGTCCCGGCTGGATGGTTGTGTGTGTTTCCACGGATCATCCGAAAGCACCTGTACGAGCCGTTGTCATTATGTGGCAGTGCAATGCTTGTTTTGGTTTTTTGGTTGTCGTATTTGTGCTCATTCTCCTCGTTCCTCCGGTGTTGCTGACATTTGCAGATTGTACCGAACGGACTGGTGCGTGCAACCTGCAACATCACCATGACGTGCCGGACGCGCATCAAACCCGGCACGCCGATGACAGGGCCCATTCCGCGGTCGTGCATTGCGACCGACATTGTTTACATGGCGAATGTTGATCCTGGCGGTTATGTGCCGTCTTCTCTCACCCGCGCCGTCTCCAAGCGCGAGTATCCCAAGTTCCTTCATGCGTTCGAGCGCTACTGCCAAACCAAAATTCAGAATGCGCCGACTGTCGATGCGCGCTTGCTTTGAAGCGATGCCATCTTTGAGATAGCAACGCACTTGTTTAGACTCAGATTTCAGTTAGGATTTGTATTTGTTACAAGACTAGCAAGCCTTCCCTTTGGTGTGGTGTGTAAAAATTGGCTGCAATACACAAACGGATTTACCTATTCGTTCTGAATGCTGGTCCGACGAAGCAAATCACCCACAGTGAAAAATGACGAGTGTGCGTAGCCGATCGATCAGATCCTGAGATTGGACGAGCACGCATTCAGCACACAGTGTGCGTCAAAATATGCGTGTTGGAATGATGATTTTTTTTTTCGGAGAATGACGACGATGGGCTTGGTTCTGGTGTGTTGTGCCCCTGCTTCGTCACTTGTCTGGCGTTTTGGTCGCTCTGCGCATATTTCAGACTCTTTTTCTTTTTGAGTTTCGTTGGATGTCTCTTGAGTGGAGCTCAGTGGAGTGACACTGCGAAAATGTGTGATTTTTTTTTAATTTTTTTGGTTTCGCCATGTGATGGTCGTTCCCCATGCGCGCTCACTTCTGTGGATGTGATCACACCCTTTGTAATTGATCATTCACTTTGTTGTACTTTTTAAATCCCAAACTTGAACAGTACCTTGCCACTCTTCATTGTTCATTCAACCCTAACCTATCCCTATTTCAAAATGGTCAAGTGTGCTGCCTTCGGCGTGGCCATCGTTTTCGCGGTCGCCTTTGCGGTTCTCGCTGCCGGCTTTGCTAGCCCCGTCTGGGTTGCGCGCAAGATCAACAACGACTACTCTGTCGGTCTCATCTCCCTCTGCATCAACGACGACTGCGGCCGCTACGACACCCTGAGCGATGTGAGTTGTTGACCGCAGCAGGCGGGTTGCCTTTTTTTTTTTCTTTTTTTTTTTGTGTGTGTGTTAAGTGGTGTTGATCTATTCGCTTTTTCCACTCTCTTCCCTTGCCTCCCCCCCCCACCTTTTCGTCCTCCCTCATCACGCCCTGTGCGAGTTATGCGCGCGCGTGTGTGTTTGTGTGTTTGATGCCAGGCGCCGGCAAACTCGCTCTTTTTTTCATCTTGGGATGGTGACGTCGGTTTCGCTTTTTTTTCAAAAAAGAATGTTCGTCACATTGTGAAAAAAAAAATCCATCACAATGATACCGCATGTGGTTTTTGCAAAGTGTGAGAGAGAGTGAGAGAGGAAGAGAGAGAGAGAGAGAGAGAGAGTGTGTGTGTGTGAGAGAGAGTGTGTGTGTATGTGTGTATGTGTGTGCTGCACGCGAGAGAGTTGCTCTTGACTGTGAAGCGAGGCTCAACGTGGCTCCCAAGAAAAAAAAAGAAAAAAAAAAAAGTACCGTTCAAAATATGCATTTTTTTTTTTGTCTTTTACAAACTGCTGTTCGTGATGGATGAGCAAGAAACTATTGTCACCGTGCTCGTTGACTTGTTTGTGCGGCCGTGGAGGCAGGCAGGGAGAGGAGCAAAAAAAAAAAAAAGTGAATGAAAGTAAAAAATTCAAAAAATCAGAAAAACCAAAGAGTTCTCAAAAAGGCAACTACCAATTGAACCACGCTCTTCTCTTTGCGCTCAATTGCTGGAATTGGGTGCTGAAGGGTGAGATGAAGAGATGTGATTGCGGAAAGCGAGAGAGACGTGACTGCCGAAAGAGCCATCGCGCGTGCGAGCGAGAAACGAGAAACGCGCATTATTGTCGCAATTGCACCTTTTGCACCTTTTGGTCTCACTTTTTTTCGACTTTGAATCCTCCAGATGCAAGATGCTACCAACGACTACGTCGTCGCCGCCGCCTTCCTGATTGGTATTGCCGTCATTGCAGTCGGTTTCTGCGTGCTTATCTCGCTGGTTGCCATCTTCAGCCCTCGCGCGATTGTCGCCTGCTATCCTCTTGCCACCCTCGCCATCATCCTGACTGTCATTGGCCTGCTGCTCGTCCCGGCCGGTCTCAAGGACAACGCCGCCATCCTGTTCACTTGCGTCTCTCCCGGTGACACTTACGAGCTGCCCGATACCTGCGAGGCGACCACTGGCCTGATTCTCACCGCCGTTGGTCTTGGCCTGCTGCTGATTGCCGAGATGGTTCTCGGTTGCCTTGATAAGAAGCACATCCGCGAGGACGGCATGTACGCGTAAAACGTGTATTGCTGTTGTTTGTCGTTTGCGCCCTCAGTTGTCAGTGTTGTCGGCAGCCGCGTTGCTGTTGTTGCACGCATTCAGCCGGTTGGTGCTTTTCAGTTTGTGACAAAATCATTAAAATGGTATTTCTTGGTTTGTCTTCAGTGTTTGGCTGCCATGAGTGGGGGAAAATTTAAAATCCAGGCCTGCACACTCTTCGCAGAAAGCTGTGCTGCGCTGTATTGTTGAGAAACGACCTGGGTCCTTTTTGCTCCGTTGACACTCCGCAGTTCAGTTGGCACCCTTGTTGATGAAGCTTTTCTTTCATTACCAAAGATTTGTTGGGATTTTTCGCGTTCGAGGCGAATCGTTCAAACACACCGACACCACCACCAACAACAACAACAACAACAACAAGAACAAAAAAAAAAAGCTCCGACAAGACCGCCTCGCCCTCTCAACCTTCCACCACTACGACAACCACCACCACCTCCCTCCTTTTTCGTCCACTTCACAGAGCGACCTGCCCACAGCACAGCACAGCATCCTCCGGTTTGGGCTTGTTTGCGAGTGGAGCATTTTTGCAGAAAGCCCCGATCACGAATTGAGCACAACAAAAACCCCCATTACTAATTTGGCGATTGCTACTCTTTTGTGCTTTTTTCTTTTGCCCTGTGATCATTTTTGCGCAATGCCGAGGTCAGATCTCGTCTCCGAACAACCCATCGCTCATCAACAAGATTTACGCGTCATCCCCTCTTGCTCTTCCAACCATGTACCAAACTTACTTGTGTACCACCAGAGCTGCCGTGAAGCTCGGTGGGGGGGGGGCCGGTGGGTGAGGGAAGGGGGGAAAGGGTGAAAAAAAAAAAAAAAAAAGCGACAAATCGCAATTCGCCAAGATTCTGATGCTTGTGACTTCATTCTGAGGTGACTCCGTGTCGCAACGCGTGCATCGACCACGCGTGCCAGGGCTGCGAGCAAGTGTTGCTTGTTCTTGCATTTAGTTGCTGCGCACTGGTTGGCGTCTGTGCTGGTTTGTGGTCGGGGTGTTTTTTTTTTTTTTTTTTTTTTTTGGTGTTTTTTTGATTTCAGTTGTCGGTGTTTTTTTTTTCGTTGGTTTCCTTCCTTCGTTTGCTTCTCACTCTTTCGCTCTTCCCGTGTCGTCCACCGACGCGCGAGCACCTTAAAATTAACATTCAAGTACGTTTTACAACGCACGCTAAACCACGAGTGTGTTGTTGAGTGCAAACACGAAAACACCCCAAAAACACAACGCCGAAAAAAACCCCACTCCAAAACAACAACAAACAAGAACCTCAAGCAACCACAAGAACCACCACCACGACGCAACAACCACCACAACACTTGCCAAGCCACTCGGCTCACAACAAGAATGCGTTCGGCGCTTGACATTGGCAATACTTGAGGGACGAGTCCGAGTGGAAACGACTACCCGTTTTGGTTCCATTTTCGCCGAAAAAGCCAAACCTTGTTGTCATCGAAGGCAAGGAGCGGGCGTGATTTTAGGTCGATCTGACTATATTGTCGCATCGTCATGGTTGGATGCAGTTTTCGCAACAAGATGAGAACCGGCACGTTCTTTAGCTCTGTTGCTCTTCTGCTCTTCTGTGTGGCAATGCACGCACAGCGGTCGGAAGCAATCAACGCCTGTCATTCTGATGGCACGAGTGATGCCTGCGAGTGCTCCGAAACGCATGTCTTTTGCGCACTTTCAGGAATGGGAATCACGGCTATCCCCGGCGGAATCCCGACCAACACGACACAGTTGTAAGGACATCAAAACGAAATCGCAATCTTGAAGAATTCGCTAACTGGCCCGACCATCATTGAAGCGATCTTTACTTCACCGACATAACCAGCATTCCCGCAGGTACATTTGCCAATCTTACCGCGCTAGAATCACTGTAAGCAAGAGATATACAAGATCAAGCCAAATCCGAAGTGGATCACTGCTCACATTGTCACCAGAAGCTTGGTCAGCGGCCAAATCACCAGCGTCTCTCCGAATGCTTTCGCGGGACTCGTTGCTCTCACTGAACTGTAAGTAAAAGGTCATTTCTTGAATGGAGCAAGAACCAGAGGCTCACCGTACATTTCCAGAAACTTGCGGCGCAACCCACTTTCCGCCGTTCCCACGAGTGCATTCACAGGCCTCACTGCCCTGCAACGGCTGTAAGCAGTGAATCTGTTTGTGAAAAATTGGAATATTGCGCACATCTCACCCACCAACCCACCCACCAGTAACTTGGACCACAACGAAATAACCACGCTATCTGCAAACGCTTTCCCGCATCTACCGGCTCTGACTTCTCTGTAAGATTGCAATCAAACGACGATCGAGATACTTTTGGCTCACACACCACAACTGCTAGTTCCCTGACCGACAATCAGCTCACCACCATTCCCGAAAATGCATTCGCTGGGCTTGGAGCACTGACGAATCTGTAAGCAAGTCTCCTCGCTTCACGTGACAAGCAATTCAAGCCACACTTTTGTCCCTCACATTACTTGAGCACCAGAGACCTGACCGAAAATCAGCTCACCACCATTCCCGAAAATGCATTCGCTGGACTTGGAGCACTGACGAATCTGTAAGCAAGTCTCCTCGCTTCACGTAACAAGCGGATATGCCCTCACGTCATCATTAGTCAACTACCATCCAACAAAATTGTCAGCATGGCTGCAATTTCATTCACAGGACTGGCTGGGCTGACAACGCTGTACGAATGGATCTCGCCTTGCGAAGCAACACTATGCATTGGCTCACTCGTCACACTGCGAACAGAATCATGAACAACAACCTGGTCACCACCATTCCCGAGAACGCACTACCTGGGCTTGCAGCGCTTGAAGTCTTGTACGCAACAGGTCATGTCCTGATTGGACCAGGAACTGTGAGCTCACGCCCTGTACCTATTCTAGAGATTTGAGGTACAATTCCATCACCAGCGTGAGCGGGAACGCGTTCGCAGGGCTACTGAGCCTACGGAGCCTGTAAGCAACGCTCGCTGACTGGACTACAGAACCAGCAGTAGCTACTCACTTACTTCACGTGCACCAGGTTATTTTTTGAAAACCAGATTAGAGACATTTCCGCAAATGCATTTGCAGGGTTGACTGCACTGACTCTATTGTAAGCAAGCGATACAACATACATATGTCAGAACGAAAGCAACTACCTAACTCTGCCATGCAATATAGGCACCTAAACAACAACCAAAATACCCGCCTTCCGGAATATGTGTTCAGCAATTTAACCGCACTGCACACGTTGTAAGCGTGCTCTGACGCGGGTTTAAGGGTCAGACGTATTGTATGTTAAATCTCTTCCTATTTCTAGGACTTTGGAAAACAACCTGCTCACGAGCATTTCAGCAAACGCATTCTCTGGACTTTCGGCGCTGACTTGGCTGTAAGCACGCGGACTTGTATTGAAGGAACCTCGCTTTGGTCTCACGCTGCTCGCGGGAACTAGTCATCTGGCATACAACCGGCTCACGAGCATTTCTGCAAATGCATTTTCTGGGCTTTCGGCGCTGAGTTCGCTGTAAGCACGCGGGCTCCTATTGAATGAAGCAGATTTGGACTCACAGAACACGCGGTAACTAGTTATCTGAACAACAATCCTTGCACCGCGATTGCCGCCGAGGCGTTCAACGGGCTCACGTCACTGAAATCCCTGTAAACAAGCGGCATCCAGTGATAGGATGAAGAACGTTCACTCACTTGCTGCACTGTCATGAAGAACGCTGGTCGCAAACCAGCTGACCAGCATTTCTGCAAATGCTTTTGTAGGACTGAATGCGCTCACGTATCTGTAAGGGAACTACAGGAGTTTTGCTTGCTAAATAGCAAAGCGGTCAGTTTACTCCCATCATGTACGCAACAGATACCTTCAAAACAACCGAATCGTTAGCTTTTCTGCAGACGCGTTCACCGGGCTACCCGTGCTGATATATCTGTACGCAGTATGACTATGCAAGGACATCGTGCGAACGATTAGCTCACGAGCGGCTTGTATCAGATCCGTGAACAACAACCAAATCTCCACAATCCCGACGAATGCGCTCGCTCGGCTGACAACGCTGATGCAACTGTAGGCGAGCGACATGATTGGAAGCCAAATGAGAACATTGACTCACTTTGGTGCTATTCCCAGAGACATCTATTCCAACCCAATCACCAGTATTCCTTCAAATGCATTCACAGGGCTGACAAAACTAGTTTTCTTGTACGCAACCTTTGATTTACTCGTCACTGAAACAAACCGAAGCGCTGACTCAAAGCTTCTCTAGACGTCTGGACACCAATCAGATCACCAGCATTTCCGCAAATGCATTCACCGAGCTTAGTGCATTACGCGGCTTGTAAGTACACAGCGTGATTTGAGAGGGCAGGAATGAGATTGGCTGAAGTGCCACACGATCGCTAGGTGGCTGCACTCAAACCGGATCACCACCCTGTCCGCAAATGCATTCATTGGCCTGACCGCGCTGACCAACTTGTAAGCAAGCAATGTTACAAGCTGACTCGCCATTGTTTCTCATTTTTTGCAATCTCCAGACCTTTGAATGACAACCCATTGACAACCACGCCCCCTGGTTTGTTCAAGGGGTTGCCAAATAGCCTGTTCTTGTCGTACAGTTCCAATTCATATGGCCTGCCGCTGACACCGAACGACTTTACTTTTGCTGGGAATACCATTGCTCCTCCCAGCATGTATGGCACCGCTTCTACGCCTTACCGTAAGATTCTGTGACATCTTGTTGTGCATTGATTCGCACTTGCACATCGCGCTAACTGCCTTGCGGCGTCGAGCCATTTTCTTTTGGACCGATTGGTTTTTAGAGTGTGATACGACTTGTGCAACCTGCTATGCCGCTGGGTCAAGTGCGTGCTGCGGAACCAATTGCCTGACTTGCAATTCCTCCAACGTGTGCATTCAGTGCTACGACGGGTTTGAACCGATGGATGGCTACTGCCTCGCCACCGCCGCAACCAATGCTTCGACTTCTGTTGCTTCATTTGCATCCGCAGCGTCCACGGCTTCTGCTTCCATTGCATCTCTGGTTTCGGCCACATCTGCACTGTCCGCTTCTGCAGCATCCACCGCTTCTGCCTCCGCTGCGTCGGCAGCCTCCAACGCTCCTCGCGACACAGGCAATGGCAGCGCCTCGTTGCCGATGATTATTGGTATCATTGTCGGCTTGTTGGTTCTCGTGTTGGTTTTGGCCATGTTTGTTGCCCTTCGTCGCCGGCACGCTTCTCAGACCCTCGCAACCTCCGCCAGCGCCGCCAAACTGGCCAAATCAACTTCCGAGCTGGGTCCAGCCTATGAGAGTATCCACGCGGCTTCTTCTTCGCATGTGGCAAACCCCACTTATGAAGCCATTTCCACGAACAGCACCCAACCCCTTTACGAGGCAGTCGGCTCGAGTCCTCGGGCTCCTGCGGGCTCGCCAGAGCTTGTCTACGCCGAAGCGTCCGCCGTGACCTCCGTAACCCGCTCCAATGCGAATGCGTCGGCCAACACAGCATACTCGGCGCTGGCCCATTCTGGGCCTCCGGTCGAATCAGCAACGTATGCTTCTGCGACTTCGACATCTCATCCTGCGGGCACGAACGAGGTTGCGCTCGCTTCCGTCCACTATGCTGATGCGTCGGGAAGCGCCGTCGAGTACGCCAACCCTGCTTTGCCTGCCCCATCCACAATTCGGGCGGCGGGCACCACTGCAGCTACCGCCTACTCGGAGATTGCGTCTCTGCCAACCCAATCGACCATTGGCAACGCTTACGAGTCAATCGAGCTCTAAAACGGTCTTCGTACATTGCAACCCGCCTTGTCTTTGTCTCCATTCTGCCCTTCGTTGGCCCCCTGCTTCTTTCTCATGATTGCTATAGCGTGAATCAATGTCATTGAAAAACGACTTAGAATGCAACTCAGTGCAGTGATTGCTTTGAGGTACCCATTTTCACAGCTTGTTCGGTGTCGAAAACAGTCTGATCTACCAACAATTTTTGACGTTGACGTTTGTTGACGCTGCAGCTTTGCTCCTTTTTGTACTCGCAGTCTGACGTCGATAATCACTGAGCTGAGTGAATGAACGAGAGCTCAGTCGTTTGTCCTTGGTTTGAACCAACTTTTTTGTTCAGCAATGCCGCAATCGGAACGTAAGTCCCTCTGTCTGACTTTCTTTGACCGTCGATAGCATCATCTTGTTCAAATCGTGCTCAGCCTTCCAAGCTTCAAAGCAGACGATCATCATGTCGCCAGTTGGACGATGACGACGGGCGACGGGAAATCTGCCCATGCAGCAGTTCACGCTCCTCACTCGAGCAGCGCTAGCCACCACGTCGAGCCTTCAACTCATCACGAGCAGCCTCAACAACATCACCAGAGCCAGCACGAGCAACACCAGCTGCGCCCGCATCCGCACGAGTCACAAGAAAGGCACCATGAGAAGGCAGAGACCATGGAGCAAGACCAACGCAAAGAAAAAGCGCACGTACACAAACGCAACGCCGATACGCTCGCTGCAAGTGACGAGGCGCTTGAGCGTGCCGCGAAAATCATCGAGGCCAGTGGCGGTGCCGAAGACCGTCGTATCACACGCGCCCAGGCGGCCAAGGCGCTGCGCAGTGGAACGACGCCGGATGCGCCTACTGCGCAAATGGGGACGCGGACCTCAGCTTCCTCCACCGCCTCCATGCGCGCGTCCAAGCCCAAAGCTGCGACAAAGACGAAACCGGGCGCACACAAAGATGAACGGGCACCCAAGCGCACAGAGAAAGGCAAAAAGGCACCCAAGAAGGCGAGCAAGACGGGGGCGAAAACAAAGAAGAACGCCGACGCCGCCCAGCAAGCCGTGTCCGAAGACAAAGCCGAGGAACGCGAGGAGCATGATGACAGCGGTGATGCTTCAACGCCTGTGGTCTTGCAGGGATCGGTGGAAAAGGAGCGCTCTCACGATGATGCCGAGATCGGCGCCAAGACCGACAGTGCTACAGCAGGAAGCTCGACCCCTTTGCTCACCGACTCTGACCCTTCAACTTTGGATCCAGCAACCATGGACACTACTCACGCCTTGGAATCCGTGAGCGCGAGCGGTGGCCATGATCGAACTTCCACCGCAACCGAGGCGGCAGCGTCCACGAGTGCTGACAACACCACCAAGAAGGACGAGCTCGATGTGCACAACAGAAACGCCGTCCAAGCCATGACCATGAATCAGCACCAGCACAGCGCGATGCGTACCAGTGAAGAGGCACCTAAGGCTCGCAACCTGGAGCATGGGCGGATTTTCTTCTTCTACCGCCCAAAGGTGATGCTGTCGGAGGCGCAGGGCATGGACGACGTCCAGCGCTTCCACATTTTACTCTGCCCCGAGACTGGATCTCTGGCCACCGCCGCAACGGCTGACATGAGTACTCACAAGACCGTCAAGCGCGTCATCAACGTGGGTCGCAAGCACCTGCCCAACATTGGCAAGCACGAGACAGTGTGGGCATTTGTGAGCAAAGCGTCCGTTGAGCTGTCCGAGGTAGAAGCGGTGCTCGAGAAGGAGCAGTACTCCACCAAAACAATAGGCGAGCGCACTGTCGAAGGCGAGCGTCCGGCAGGCGAGGGTGTGTACGCGTTGGTCGACGTTCACGGCCACTCGCATCTCGTGTACAGTTTGCAACTGCCGCGCGACCTCGGTGATGTTCAGCATTCCTTCAACATTGGAGAAGAAGGGTCCTTCCTCATGCAGGTGCGCAACCCCTTCTTCCAACCCACGGACGCTGCTCTCGAGCGAGCGGGCAGTCAACGCTTGGGCCTGAGCGACGAGGACAAAGTCGCCTATCCTCAGCAGCTCATCGACAAGTTTGAAGGCAAACGCTGGGCTCCCGTCCGCGACACTCGTATGCTGGACTTTGACAATGTCGAGCTCTTGTTGATTGGCGCGCACGAAGATGTCGCTGCTTCGTTGGGTGCACACGGGCAAGCCATTGTCGATGCCTCCAAAGTTCGCGTGAATCCTCGCCAAGTCCTGCAAGAGCTAGGACTCCAGCCTCGCGAGCACCCCATCGCACCTGTGCTTACCGGCGATTGGAAGTGAAGCCCCGAAAAGAAATAAAGAGGGGGGGGGAAATTTGGCGACGGTGTTTATACTGTGTTGTTGTCGAAGTTGTCGTCGAAGGTGTCGTCGAAGGTGTCGTCGTTGTTGTTCATGTGCTTTGAAGGTGGTGTGGCTTGAAATATGGCGCCCCAAAAGAAGGGAAATACATCGGCATGCATGAATGGCGAAATTGCAAAACAAAAAAAGTGGATTGTGTCAACAAGACATTGTAGACAATTGAAAGATAGAGAGAGAGAGAGAGAGAGAGAGAGAGAGAGAGAGAGAGAGAGAGAGAGAGAGAGAGAGAGAGAGAGAGAGAGAGAGAGAGAGAGAGAGAGAGAGAGAGAGAGAGAGAGAGAGAGAGAGAGAGAGAGAGAGAGAGAGAGAGAGAGAGA